TGTTCGATTGCCGGGAAGACGCGCAACCGTGCAAATATCTGCTAATAGCGGAGTTTAAAGAGAATACGGAAAACAACGAGCTAGGAAGAATTTCAAAAAACAAAACGTCATATTGAATACAGTCGAAATCAGACTATACAGTGAATTCAGATTCTACTTATATGAGTTGTGATAAAAGATAATTCGGAAAAAGGAGACTTCTTGGAAGACACCGTTTGAGTTGAGAAGATATGGTGAAAATTAGAGGCGCGGAATCTCTAAACGGAAAGTAAGACTGTAAACTAAGAGTATTCGATATGCAGGGATACATTGATCTTATTATTATTATCACAATTATTTCAAAAACCCCTTAGAAATTCAAAAAATGTCCCCCCTTCCTGATACACTCAATGATTTTATAACCTTTCAGAGAATGTGTTACACTTAATACTACTTATAATTACGAAATATTTTACTAGAATAGTTGGATTTTACCTACGAGATTACTAGGTAGTATAATTTTTCTATTTACTTAAATCCAAAGAAACAGGAATAAACATAAAATTGTGCACAACAAATACGGAGGTTTTCTCGTCTGTCTCATTTAAATCTACGGTTCTCAACCTTTTCGCGGTCACGGCTTATGGAGTAGCATTTGTTAAGTTTACTGTTTTAGGTGTTAGGTTTAACGGTTTTAGTTCGAAAAATCAATATCTTCGGGTTTTGTTTTAGTTCTAACTGTAGATGTATGCATTGAACTTAACGAAATATTTTCAAATGTCCATTCACGGTTCAATCAGTACACTAAAAATACAATTTTTACCAGTACAAAACTTGAGGAACACTGATTTGAATCGTCATCAATGTTCTCAGGGAATTATTTACCTGTATCGATGGTACATGTATTCACGCGTGTTTTAAAAACAATTTATAATCATAATCTGGTATTTACTAAAAGAAATAAATGACAAAATTCAATTACTTCAAGTAACAAAAATTATTAGCCATTGAAAACGAAAAAAACGATTCTGAGCGGAGTTCGGTTCATAGTAATGCTTTTTCAACAATATATATATATGTCATATTATGGTAAAATAATTAAATAGACATTATTTATATTATCTTTAATAATGTTTGTTTAATGTACCGATTTTCCCGTTTTTTCTACGTTTCTCCCGGTTATCTTGTGTTTTTTCCTGGTTTTTCACATTTTCTGGGAAAACTCTTGAGAAAATAAAAAAAATGACTAGCTTAAAGTACCTTTCCACACCGATTTCCTTTCAGAAAAGGTGCTGAACTTAAAAATTGGATCAAGGTCTCTGGTAGAAAAGTTGTCCATAGAAAAAAAAAAATAAAAAAAAATAAAAAAAAAATAATAATAAGAACCTGTACCGATAATTAATGATCACGTCGGAACCGATTGTATCCAAAAACCGAGAACCGGAACCGGCCCATTTTTAAAAACGGTTTTCATTTGATTCATTGTTTCAATCGATTCAATTTTTTTTTTTATCTATGAACAACTTTTTTACCAGTATTTTCACTCCGATATTCAATTATAGCACTTTCTCTGAAAGCATATATGACTGGCGTGGCACTTTATGTAGGTCATTTTTTAATTTTCCCAGCTGTTTTAATAATAAATGGGAAAAAAAGGCAGAAAAACGAGAAAACAGGTACAATATTGAACAAATATTAAAGATTACGTATAATGCATAATATTTCATTATTTCGCAAAGCAACACAATTAACCGAATTCCGCTCAGAATCGTTTTTCTTAAGCAATAATGTTTAATCGTTGCGTGGATTACAGATTCACGTGTACATTAACTTTCTCCTCTATTACCTGCTCAACACCTCACCTACAACAATGGCGCACTCATCGCGCCATCCGTGTAAGTGCGCCAGTCTTTTTCGAAACTATCGCGTTCGCATACTGTCGCTTGGCTCCGGAGGGTTATTTTTGTAAACGATTTTTTTGTTTTTTTTTTTTTTCCAACGGCGTCAGTGTATTCCGTACCGCGAAACACGATATTTCGCCGAAACCGCAGAAAAACCACAACGTATACACGTATTATACGTTATGCGATAGCCGTTGTACAATGGCCGACGTTGTCCGTGTAAAACGATGTTTAATTTGCATACATTATGCCGGACCGTTGTGACGGTAAACGTTCCGCGCGACGGGACCGCGGCGAATCCCGGGAGGGCGAAAGCCGTTTTTTCGGAATTCGATTCCGACGCGGGTTTTTTTCGTTTTTTCGTTTTTTCCATACGATTTACATATTTTCGCCGTTTTACCGATTTCAGCCCGCAATCGGCTCTCGTTGCGAGACCCGCAACACGCGGCGCGCGTCCCGTTTCAGTGCAATTGGTTTTTGCCGCCGCGGACGATACGCGTACAGGAACGTCACAGCGTTCTAACGCGATCACGTTTGCCGTTCGGGTAAACACGGTCTGCCGCGCCGCCCCCCCCCACCCTCTTCCTCATCCACCTCCTCTCGGTTTTTTTTTTTTTTTTTTTTTTTTTNNNNCCCCCCCCCCCCCCCCCCGGGCTCGAAACCGTCGTCGTCTACGCGTATTTACCCCTGCCCGTCCGACCGTCGCATAAATTACGCGCCGGCGACACGCCGACACGGCAAAAACAAAAAACACCGGGTATCATTCGACCGGGGCGAATCCCGACCGTTGTGCGAAGCGGGCGATTGCGATTGCCCGGGTAAAATTATAGTACCGTTTCGCATTGTGCGTCCGCAGCTTCGAGCGGCGCCGCCTCGAAAATATCCCGCGCGCCAGAATATCCCCGTACGAATTAGCGGGAAACGCGCGGTGGTCCGGCGCAGCAAGGACGTGTTTGAGAACGCGACGATGATTTTCCGGGCGTTTTTCATCAGCCCGCGCGGTCCGTTCGAAAGAAAACGCAAAGCAATGGACTTCGGCGCGAACCATAATAACAACTACTGCGCGGTCGAGATTGCCGCAGTGCCGTTACGATTCCCGACCGTTGTACGTTCGGGATATAGCGCGGGATATTTCCGACGGGCACGTTTTGTGGGCGCCACTCTCTCGGTCGTGGCAAGTGAAAAGAAAATACCGACTTATTTTTTTGAGGGGGGGAGGGCGCGCGTAAAAATTTCGGGAAATATTTGCTCGGAACAGTATTTTATCGGAAAATAATGCTGATACCGATGAACGATAAAAACGTCGTTATCATTAATAGTTTAATATGAATAGTATTTTTAGACACAATGAAAACACGAATAGAACACCTCTACGGTTGAAATTAATATCGAGTAGCGTTCGACAAATACATAGCTGTAAAGCATTCTGCGACTGAACTACGTTCTCAATGATAACACAACAAACGCATTTAGCGCCAACATAGCGTCATCGTTTATTATTATCAGTACGGTTCCGACAAATGCTTTCCGCAAAAATGCGGTTCCGGGCGAATATTTTCCAACAAAATATAGCCCTCCGACTTTTGCACGCCACTGTCGTTGACACGTGTTCAGTTTTATTCGAATCCGGTCCTGAATTCGAGAAATACTCGTCCTGAAAAAAACGCGATTCCGCGGATGGCGGGAAACGCGTGACTTTGGATACGGTCAGCCGGCAAGTGCATCGGTCGGTCGCCGCGCGGTCCAGTTCGTAAATCGAAAAAATATCCCCGGATTTATTCCCGCGAAACGTTGAAAATATTAATAACGCGAACCGAGCGGGCGCGACTGTACCTGCGTATTTATGTACGGGGTGTGTGTAAAGGCGGTGAGAGCGCGTTGGCCATTGTTTTCGCCTGTCCATTGATCGTTTTGCCATTGAAGACAAACCGTTTCGGACGAATTCGACCAGGCGGCGGCGGCGAGCGAACAGATTAGGCGGGCGGCGGCGGCTGCTGCTGCTGCTGCTGCGGCGGCTGTGGCGGCGGCGGCGGGAGACGGCAGGCGTGGGCTCGGCGCCTGGGTACCTCTCGGGTGCGTCGCCGTCGTCATCCTCGCCGCTGCCGCCGCCGCCGTCGCCGACGCCGCCACCACCACCGCCGCCGCCGTCACGCCACCCGAAACTCGTTCCGTATGAATGGGCACCCGGGGAGATGAGAAATTTTCAGTTTCGTTCTCCGCGATATTTGTGTGTGCGTTTATGTGTGTGTGCGTGTGCTTGTGTGTGTGTGTATGTGTGTGAGTGTGTGTGTGCGCGTGTGTGTGTGTGTGTGTGTGTATGTGTGTGCGTGTGAGTGGGTCTGTGTATAATAATATATAACGTATAGTTATAAAACCGTTTTCTACCCTCTGGGAGACGACTACGCGGGAGACTTTATAATATAAAAGTGCTCTTTTAGAAATATTGCGGATCGGCGGATCGGTCGGTGTGTGTGTGTGTGTGTGTGTGTCGCGGCGGCGCGCACATAACCGGCCGCCGGTCACTTCTTCTAATATTATTCTCCTAATAACCGTTAGGGGGCATAAAGCGACGCGACTTCGCTCGACTATATTATTATTATTATTATTATTATTATTATTATCATTGTATCGCTGCGGGGGCGAGCGCGCAAGAATCGGCGGCGCGAGTCCGGGATGAAATTTTTCCGTCTTATTATATTTTATTTAAGGTTTAAGCGAGGAGAAAGAGAGAGAGAGAGAGAGAGAGAGAGTGAGAGAGAGAGTGAGAGAGATAGGGGTGTGTGTGTGCGCGTGTGTGTGTAGTTTTAATGTTATCGCGACCGAGAGGTTTACGACGACGCACGGGCGGCACGGCGGCGTCAGCGGCGGGAGAGGTCGGCCCGTTGAATCAATACGGCGGCGGCGTGCCCGGCGCGCCGGAGGGTAGTTGCGCGCGTGTGCCGTATATTCCGCGCCGGGCGGCACCCCTGCGGCGGCGGCGGGGCGGGCTGGCGGGCGTCGTAGTCGTACACTGCCGCCGTGGCCGCCACTGAGCAGCTGCTTGCGGGAAAGCACTGCACGAATGCCCGGAGATCTCCGGGAACGTTCGTACCGGAGACACCGCACCGCGGATCGCGCGCCCATCGTGCTGCAGTTGTTTTCCGAACCGCCGTCGTGTCACGTCGGGGAACGTTAAGGATTTTAATTTGTTTACGTAATTTTTTTTTTCGTCTCCCGATATTTACGTTTGTGTTCGTACGGTGTACATTGCACGGCGGTTGTTTTTTTTTTTACCATGTGACGCGGCCGGCCGAAGACGACGGTATCAACCGACTACGCGTCACGAACGTCGGCGCTCACGCGTCCACGCGTATCGTCGCCGGGTCCGTGGAACGACGGCGGCGGCGACGGCGGCGGCGGTGACAGCAACAGCGACAGCAGCAGCTGCAGCAGCATCGGCGGCGGCACAGCGATAGAGCGGCAGCGGAAGCAGCAGCAGCAGCAGCAGCAGAGGCTCCCGCCCAACGACGTGCCGCAGCCGCCCGGGCAACAGCCCGGACGACGTCGGTGATGCAGAGGACGTACTACGACGATCGCGCCGCCACGCCCGAGCCGCGATGACCGGCCCAGCCGAGTCCACGGTCACGGCGGCATGGCTAGTGGCCTGCGTCGCCTTTCTGGCACCCGTCGCGCCACCGAACGTGCACGCCGCGTGAGTATCCCGCACGCGCCGCGTTATCCAAATATGAAAACACGCGCATCTTAGTCGCTAATGGCTTTCGAAGCTGTTTATCTAATCGTCGGGTAATCTGTAATAATATTTTTAACGATATCGGACCACCGGGGAACCGGTTTTTAGCGCATTTTTTAAACATTTTTCGCGGCTACAACACGACAGTAGGTGCGCGGTGTTCGCGCGCCTTTATAAGTCAACCGATTTATTTACACGCGACTAGCGGTTATATTTACCCGCGCAGACACGTCTGTTTTATACTCGGCCGGAGTGGCTGTTGTTGTTGTTGTTGTTGTCATTGTGGCGCGCGCTGCGCGGACTGAAACGCGGTGAAAATCGCGCGCGTAAAGTCCGTTCGCGGGAACGACGAGCCGGTTTTAATTATTTATTATTATTATTATCGTTTTTCTTTTTTTTCCTTTTTTGTTCCGATTTTTCACGAAGAGATTTTTGAATATTTAAATTAAAATTAAATTTTTCATCGTCGAGGGTTTACTACACAATATAATATCATATTATTTCATCGCATACATAGGTATAAACACGCGGCCAGCTTGGTGCGTACAGCAATGCGTTGTCGAAACATATTATTAAAATGGGGCCTTTAACGACGAAATTATACGGCACGCGCGCGTCTCTGATTCCTCATATTATTACGATAATAATCGCGCGTAGTAATAACGTATTTTCCCGTTTCCCGTGCCCGCGACCGCGCGCGCGTTTCTGCGTGCGGCGGGACGCCGCCGGCGAACAGTTATAATAACAATAATAATAATAATAATAATAATAGTAAAAAAACCGAACGCGTTCGCGTCACCGCGCGCGGGCGTTCGCGATTGTTGTTATTGTCGCGGAAACGATTTGGCACCGCACGCCACGGCGGCGCGGCGTCGTCGGCCGTGCACGCACACGGGACGGCCGCCGTACAACGCACGTAAATCACGTATAATATTTTACACGAAACGTTTATCGGCGCATCTAAAACGCTACCGTACCTATTGCCGCACGGGGAGCACGGGGAGGGGGGGCGCCCGTAAAAACGACAACGGGCCTATAATTACGGGGCGTTCCGGGAATCGCAACCCCCCCCCCCTTGCCGACCCTTGCCCCGCGGCCGCGGGTCCGCCGCGATAGCCGCCGTTTTCCGCGTTCGTCCCCGACACACCCGACAATGTTTGCCCCCGCGGTTTATCGCGTTTCAAATGATTCGCTTGTTAACACGCGACGACACCGAAAATAGACGGACAGTAGTAGTCGTCGACCGTCTAAATTGTTGCCGCATAGTAATTCGATTACGACGGGTGTGTAAAGACTTTTGATTATTTTCCCCTCCCTGTGTCTCACCCACTTTATATACATACATGGTGTTCAACCGAGATCCGACAAATGCCGAAACTCGCGTTTCGTACAAAATCCGAAACGGCCGTTCCGTACGTTTATTTCGAGACAAAACGTTTGCGCGACAAACGTTCGTTAATGACGCGTCATTAATTTTCGTCAATTTCTCGGAGCTTACGATAGTTTTTGAGGTTGCCCGCGTGGTCACCACCACAAGAATACACGAGCGTATCAATCCATTTTTGTCAATTTGTTCACGAAAAATAACGCGAACGTCGGAGAGTTGTAGAACATTTAAACGCGGTACGCAAACACTCGTAACACCGACACTTTGTTCGAAAATACATATTTTACGAAACGGCCGTCTTGGATTTCGTAAAAAACAATTCAAATCGTTTGTTTTGGGGTTTTCGAACAAAAACGCACGTAAAATAGAAACGATCGCGGAGCAATGCGGCACAAGTGATTACCAAAAGAGAAACGAATGTTGAACAGAACGGTGTGTAGTCACAGCGTACGTCAGATGTCCGTGAAAAACCCTGTCGTCCCATTGTCGCACACTATCGTCCGTACGTAAAATGATTATTGCGGATTTCGGTATTCTTTCGGTTTCGCGATGACGTCGCCGCGAACGTACGGGCGCCCTTATCGTTTCGTCACGTGCGCGCTCGATGGGACCCATCGACTTTCCGGAATTTCCGAAATGCGGAACCCCGCGGTGTTCGTAAAGCTCGACGGCGGTTACGATTCGACGACGTTTTTTCGCGGCGCCTACCTTTGCGGTACACGCGGAACAAGTGCGTGCGTTTTGAACATACCGCAACGCCGCGCGCTGTAAAACGATTCTGTACACGTACATAACACGATGCGCGTGTCGTCCGGGGGCGGATGGAGAGTGGGTTGACACCCGAACGTTGAAATTCGCCCGAAGAACGTCTCCAACCCCACCCCATCCCCCACCCCCAACACGTAGCGCGTGTCCGTCGTCGATATCGTACGTGTGAATCACCCACCGCCCCCGCCCTCCGCTCCCCCCGCACGCATACAATGGAAACGGAACACAGTGTAGGCATCGCGCGCGCCGATAAGCGTGTACGCCGTGTCGCGGGGGTGACATTGGAAATGCCATCGGCGAAATGATATTACTACGTCACCGCCACTGGTTGCAGCGCGCGGTGTGTAAATATAATATGACTGTGCGGGGCGCGTGCGGCGGTGCCGGCGGTGTTTTTGCAGAATGGGGAGGGGGGAAGCGGGGAGAAACGTCGTCGTGTAACAATGTTATTAAAAAAAAAAAAAAAAACCACCCCGAACATAAAACGCATTTCGTCTCATTAAACGCTGAAGGTCGCGTAGTCCATATTACGTTCGTCGTCCTTGGCCCGTCCCCTAAATAATACAAATTAGTTCGCGTTTAAACTTTCCGCGCCCCGCCGTACTGCTTATGATATATCGTATGTACACAGGGTGTTTCTGAAATAAATTACGAAACCGCGCTGCGAAAATGTGATTTTGCGTTTGCGGAATATTTCCGATCCAACGGCCCTGTGCAACGGCCAGGCGAGCACGGAATGACCACTGTCGTAGTGTCCACATAATATCAGTCCGCGGCGAAGTAACAATAATGCGAGCCCGTCTCCCGGATGCGGAAAAAATAGTAAGAAAGGCGTGCGTGGTTCAATCGAATTCTGGGTGAAAAGAAAAGAAAAGAAATTTTATTTTTTTTTTGTTTGTTATCTTCGATTTTATCGTGACAGAAAAGCTGACTGAAGTTTGAGCCCTTCGATTCAGAACAAACGTGACGACGCGCCGTTTAAAGGCCCGCCGAATCAAAAGCGAAACTAATATTCTCCCGTGAACGTGCCGATAAAAACCCGACGAAATTGTCGCGTCGGAGAAAATGTTTAATCTCCGTCGGAAGTCCGCATGAAATATTATCGTTTTGGAGTTTTTTCGCGAAAAAAAAACTTGTTTGTTTTTTTCCTTTTTTTGCATCTCCCACAGAACAGCTGCTTTTGAAGTTATAGTAAATTATGCGCGTCACTCGGCGGGTTGTCGAGATGACAATATTTTCGGAATTTTATTTTTCCCGTTCCCAAAATAAATGTTTTATCGATTTTTTTTTTTAAAATATTGTTAAAACCAAAGTTGCTAGAATGATATTTCTCCCGAAAACTCTCGCATACAAATTGATTATGTGTGCCATCGTTTTTACACCTTGGTTGCGCGTTTTTCACGACCGTATCGTTCGAATAATAATAATAATAATAATAAAAGATCAGATGTTGTAGAACGGTATACCACTGTTGCAGGTTGGAAATCGGGATATAGTAGGATACATCAAATTATTTAATTTATATCGGTACGCAACGTTGAACCGACGAAAACCAGTTCTGCGGAAAGCAGAATTGAATTCGTTTCCGAATTTCATCAAAATTTGATATCAATAAAACGCTCATAAAAAAAAAAAAAAAAAAAACACTACATTGAGCTCAACTTTTTTATTTGTCACTGAATGAACCTTATAATGAAGATCGTAATAGTTTTTTAATGAAACAATGGTATCTATCACTTTATATCAAATAACAATAAATATCAAATCTCGTAAATGTGAAATAACTATAAATAGCTCGAAAAACCCCAAATATTTTGAAAATTCGATCACGTTAATAAAAATCGAATATACGATTCTGTAAACATTAGTGGGCTATAAGATTATATTCAACCGAATCGCGTAAAAAAAAAAAAAAATCGAAAATAATTAAACCGTTATAATATAGGTAATGTTGTAAATTTGCCTGTGTTTCCCACGTTCTTTTTACAATTATTGATAATAAACTAATGAAAAAATCCTTTTTTATTCGGCAACTAGATAAAATTTTCTTTTAGAAAAGAAGCTCTAGTATATTTCGACCAAAATTGTCGGTAAAAAACAAAAATCGAAAAAAATGCATAGTAAATAAAATCGTGTACACCATAAGTTTTTCCCGATTATTATGAAAACCTTTAAAGAAACAAAAAACCAAAACAAAATTATCTCCTAAAAAACTCAACAAAAAATATCCCTTGTCATGTTTTGAATAAAGTGAAATTTCTGGTAAAAAAAAACTGGCTCACAGACGCACAATAAGAAATACATAAGTAAAAAAAAAAAAATAAGCACGTATCGTAATATAGTAAAACCGATACACGGCTCGCTGCGCTCAGGATCGTTCGTGTGTGAAGACCGTGAGGCAAATATTGTTTAAGTAGTTGTATTTTGTATATTCCAGATAATATTATCCTAACTAAAAAAAAAAAATCGATAAAACGGAAATGTTATGGCGATGGAAAAAAAATTACTAAAATATCGTCGACACTGAATGTATAATAATACACGTATTTACACAGCAGTTTATTCCTAGTTTATTTCAAAAACACCCCGTATGAGATTATTGTACGCATACGAAGCGCCCAGTTTTAATTTTCAAATTTCGTTTTTAGGCACCTCGCATTAAAAATAAATCACCACTCGTCGGCATCGTTTGTTTGTGTTTTTTATTATTATTATTTTTTTTTTGTTTCTCCGCGGTTCTTTTTTTTTTTTTTGTTGAATACAATGAAAAATAAATTTTACTCGAATCTACGTTAGGGTATAAGTATTAAGTATATATACTTACGCGCGTGTGATCCTGCCACGTTTTTGTATGTCGGATATTATCATAACGAAATTTATTTCACGGCAAACGCGCGCGGTAAAAACATAAGCCCCATAAATTAAAATATTTTATCACTGCGTTTTTATTTCGCCACTCGAAATCCTCTAATATTACTGTCGTATTCTCCCCGAAAACAGAGGCTATCGCACTGCACATTTATTTTTTTGACACTTTTAGCGGCACCCTCATGACCGAAAGGGAACGAAACTCGGGAATTACAGTCGTTTTATAGGTGGATTGCATTGACAATATAAGTCGGGTTGTATTTCAACACGATACATTTAACCGATGCTTTGAACACCCCTACAGAACCCCATCCCCAAATGGAGCCCGAGGGATGACATTTTGTATACCGTGGCGTTACCATCGGTGACGTGCCTTTTTCGTGTGGTTTCCCTTCATCAACTAGCGCCCCAATCGTTTTTGTGTTCACATTTCACCAAAATTTAAAAAAATAATATTTTTCAAGTTATACATCTATAGTATATCTAGCTATATTATAGTTACGTATTGTATTTGGTTATTCATTTATTTATAAAGAATATTTAAAATTTTCAATAATACGAAATAGGCGAGGGGGAGAATTGTGACTGCTCTAGTGACAGAGTCTACTGCTTAACGGGTGATTTATAACCTCTTACATTATATACCTCTTATATACATATATTTAAAGGTGAATATCGCAGTCTCATATTTAAGTCTTGATTGTGATAGACAATTTACGTATGATAGATCAGCCTTAAAGGATTAAGACTTTAAAATTAACGTGTATAATTCAATTGATAAATGATTAGCGAGAGAAGTGATCAAATTTGTCAGCAGGTGCCAAAAGAGAACCGTAAATACGTCACTGGAGTATTGATATAATCCACCGATACGAGGATTTTTTTTTCACTACCGACTAAATATCGAATGTCTTTGGAACAATGAAAAAAAAAGGTTGCGGTTTCAACCGACGTATTATCATTGGTCGTAACAAAGGTGGGCTCAAGTGAACTTTGTAAAGTGTTCAATAATGCGAGCAAATTAAATGTTTAAAACGTACAAATGACGTGATCGCATAATATTGCTGAATTGTTAAACGGATTATGTTATATACCTAATCACTTGCTATGCATTTTTCGCCGAATAAAATGTACATCACACTAGGTATCACAGTGACTTGAGGTATTTTAATTTTCGGTATAACGTGTGCAAGAATAGTGTGCATATACTATTAGGTATACATAATGAAAAAAAAAAAAAATGTCTGAAATCGATTTAAGCTCTTCTTATTCCCCGGGACCAAATGTATATCGGTAAAAAACAAAAAAAAAAAAAACAAAAATCGGTCGTATTGGCTAGGCACTAAACGTATTACTATTATTAACTATATTACGCGGCCATTTATTTGCGTTCGATATTATATAGTTTTGCAAACACCGTTTTATCGAGTGAAATCAATGAATTAATCGCGTAGTATACAGACCGTGTAAACCGTGTAGTGTTTGTAAAAGCGTCAAGTTGTCAGCCGTTGACACGTGATCGACTGCTGTAAATATGATAGCCGTTTAAAAATGCAATTCCTTCCGCCGCCGCCGCCGGTATTATAATAATATATACCTCTAAAGCAGCCGTTGAAAGTTTTTTTTTTTTTTTTAAATAATATTTTTTCTCCGAAACACGCATTCTGTTGTTTTGCGCGTAATACCATGCTATTACTATAATATACTTACCGCCCACATAACGGCAATAACTGTACCGTATAACTGAGAAATCTTCGACGATTAAATTTTCTCGCGCTTTTGCACGCAATTATTAATTTTATTACAAAGGCGAAACGGTGCGGAGCAGTAAAAACGTCACTTCAAAAATCGATTTTACAATATCATTGTTAACTACAAAATCGGCAAACGTCTTTGATTACAACAAACGGTGAAAAAACAGTACCTAAACAAATGAAAGTTATTTCCATTCCCTCGAAAATCGATTTTAAAATTTTTTCTACACGTTTTTATTCGAGTTTTAAATAATCCTGATCGCAACGATAAATTTATTTATTGATTTTACACTGATATGTGTGTGTGTGTGTTTTTTTTGTCTATAAACCATTTTTCCATACCAGAAATCTTGCTCCGATTTTCTGTAGCATCATTTCTGAAAGCAAATTTGATATATAGTTGGTATTTTAATATTTTGTTTCCTCTTATAGGTGGTAATATTATTATAATAAATTTAACAAATTATTACACACGCACACACGACGCAGCAACAAGGAAAATTTCACAAAGCAAATATAAGTTTTCTATTCTAATTTCAAGTCTCTACAAATATTTTTAACTGAATCACGACATAAAAACAAAGTTTTAAATAATACATTTCGTACATTTTTCCGTTTTTTCCTGGTTTTTGTCAATTATAATGAAAACCACTTATTCACAGAAAAATCAAAAACTGGTCTCCTTAGTACCACCCTGATAATATTACATTTTGGAAAAGGTTGTGCATTTGGAAATCAGAGCAATATTTCCGGCAGAAAAGAAATCACCGTTTAGAAAAAATTTGATTTATCTAACGTAATTCATCTAGATAAATAAATATACATACCTAATTGAGAAATTCGAAAAATTGAACGTGAAAGTTAAAACTCATGTCTAATCAGTAAACCAACCTTGTACAAATAGAGAACAAAATTAAAAACATAAAGTAATTGGTAATAATATTATCTGGTCGATTATTTATTTCTATTTATTTAGTTATTTCTAAATGCCAATGAAACTTTTAGACTTTAGAATCCAGTATAAATTGACAAAAAATTTTTAGAATAATTAATACAATTAAAAAAAACAGTTTTATCTTTTTTTTTTATTCAGATAAATAGTGTTTTATATTTTATCTCCATCTAGATAAATTGTATATAATTATCTTTATCTAGATAAATTTTTAGTTATCTTTGCGCAACACTGTCTTTATTGACGATGTATTCCACTTTTAAGTTGCGGTATGGAGAGCAATGTAGCTCTATGAAAATGCCGCACGCCATGCAACCACGTAAATGAAACTCCCTGAAATTCCAGCATTTTTTTTTTTTTTCTAAAAGTAGTACAATTGCAATATAGTATAGTATTGTTTTAATATGTATTCGGGTTTTTATTGTTTCGCAAAATGTTTTAATGCAAAATAAGCGGAAGGGCGGAAATTCGATCCAAGTGACGAGGACGTGACGTGACGGTTTTTTTTTTAACAAATAATATTATTTGACTTTATTTACATGCCGTAAAAAGGTAAAACGTCGATTTCCCAACGCGATTCACTCGCCGTTCGGTTGTCGTCGTTGTTGGCCGTCTTGGGCGTGTATGCTTCCATATTATTACGATGATGGGCGGGAGGGTTGAAATAAGAAAAACGATAAGAATTAATAATTGATGGCGAGCTGCAGCAGCAGCAGCACACGTATAAGTGGGTGTACGGAATTGTGTGTCGGTTTCGTTTAATTTTACCTGCGACCTTTGTGCTGCTAAGGGATTCAGACGTGTATAATAATATACGCTTACGGAAATTTACATACGAAAATACAAAAATGTTAGTACTTTTTGAATTATAACCCAATGATACTTACTTTTTGATTGCCCTACGTGTAATCGCGCGCCATCGCCGTTCAAAACTGCCGGCCACGAAATCTTATGAAACTCAACGAAAACTATACGGTGGAGTGTCTTTTTTCGCCATCATATCCCTCACCTCATTTTTCATTTCTTACGTGTATAGTTTTCGTTTATACAAAATGTAAACGCCTGCAATTCACACCACGGACGTCAAGTACTCATTTTTCCCCATCAAACGCACTGACAGGCGCGCGGCGCGAAGTCGAAACACGCAAACTTATTACGATTGTTATTATTATTATTACGCTCTTCCTCGTAGAAAACAGTACCCCTCACCTGGTAAAGCATCAAGGGGATTTTATATGTTTAAATCTCAGACATATTAATGAATTAATGAATGGACGGCGCTTAAGGGAGAAAATAGTGAACCAATATTAAGAGCGAAAGAGACTGGCACTATCTCTCTTGAAGAGCAATCATGGAATAAATCAATTTCACGGCATAATACAAATATTATAATATTTCATCCATGGTAGACCCTAGTTTCGCTATCCTTCTCATTAAATATCGTCCACAAACACCATATATGAGTGATGTGGAAAACGCATTATGCTACAGAGGCGTAATTACGGGGGGAGGGAGGGATTTTGGTGTCCCCCCGAGAATTTTATTTTTAAAAACTGAAAAACTACCATTTATGTATTTATTTATTTACAAATATTATTATATTATATAGTATATATTTTATAGAAATAATACAAAAATCTCCGAATACCACATGCTAGCTTATAACAACTTCTAATAGTTAAAATCATAGCAAAATTATTGCTAGGTTTATATAAACAAGCGTATACTTAACTGATAAAACGTCTATCATACCTAGTTATTTAAAGCTACAGGGTACTTTACTATAGACGTAACCTAATAATATATAATTTGACGAATGTAATTCGAAAACCAACGAATATCTCATACATAACTTAAAAGTTCAAATCGATATGTATATATTATTATACATTACCTATATGGTTAATAAAAACAAAAACAAATCGCTGTATCCTGTAATATTATCACACTCGACTCGGATATAATATGTTTTAAAATCCGAGATCACTTTTCAAAATATATAACGCAACGCTACTGATGCAATAATACACCTAACGTAAAATATATTTACCCGAGTTTTCTTAACACGATATTTTTTCATTTCAGAGCTCCGGGCGGCGGTATGTTCGGTGACGTAAACATTTCGGCGATACTCGATTCGTTCAGTTCGAGCTACGACAAAAGAGTAAGACCAAACTATGGAGGTGAGTGTATACCTCCATCACGTCATCATAATATAATACAATTTTCACAAATAAAAATGTTTCATTTATATTATTTAAGAACTATATTACACCTTTTAAAAAGTAGGGACACCCAATGGCGGATCTGAAGCTTATTTAGAAAGTGAGGGGGAGGAGTAATAAACCGGTATTAAAGGTATTGTTAACGAATTTCAGGAAAGTGAGTCTAAAAATATCCGTTAGGGCGTTGCACATATTGTACGCGAATGCATTGGTACGTTCCGATATTTTTATCTTATTTTTAAACGGGATACAAGTGTACGGAATATCGCAATAAAAAAATGCTTATACCTCGCTTCAAAATTTAAACATTAGAAAAAACCGACATGCGCAATACGCAAACACATCGCCTAATGTTCTCCCCTTTAAGTTTAATAAGTAAATTCGGTCTGATATCAAAACTGCCCGAAATTGGTACTGTCGTACGAAAATTCGCTGTGTCGTGCGTTTATAAGAAGACGACGGAGACGGAAACGACACAATATATCCCTCTTAATACAAATGCTCCATTTGTTCATTCAAACGTACAGCACTGGACTCACCTCCCATCTGGTTACGGCCTCGGACACCTATATAATTCAAGTAACAATTTAAAGGGACGGGGATGATGATCTCTACATCATTCCCCCTCTCCTTTAAATCCGCCATTGCGAGTCAACCTACGCCGTGTATACACGAACAGTGATTATATATAATACATTCGCGAGGTTAACATAACTCGCTGAGTGCCATATAAGACCCTAATGTTGGTCACTCGCTCGCGACCTTCGACCAAAGCGTCACGGGGTTTTCGCCACGGGTTTACTTTGGTAATAACCGATAGGAAAAAAATTACTGTCCAAATAATTCGGAATTTTAAGAAATCGACGACTAAATGAAAGGTTAATATTATATTCCGTCGCTACAAATATTTATCGAAACTGAGTGGCGAAAATACTTCGCGTAGCGTTCGAACCGGACGACGAAAATGGAAAAAATACCTAATACAACGATCGAAAATCGTCTTTTAAAATATCGATGGTGATACGGCGAAAAGGTCTAGGCGACACGGCTGGATGGAGAATTACGTGTTTCGTCCATTTCGCGCGTACCGTTATTTAACGAACAATTTGAATTTTAAGTTTAAAAACAACATTTTTTATTTTTTCTTCTCAATTATAGGGTCTTAACGACAATAAAAGCTAATCTACAATGTGTATTCATAATATTTAAATCAAACGCCCGACCGCATTATAACAAGATACGCTGTGCGTAACCTTTTTTTTTTTTTTATTCGTTTTCCCGCGGGGTTTGCTGTAACGCAATACGAGATATCATCGGTTCTGGCACGGGCGCGGACCGAGGGCGACCGTTGTCGCGCGGAACTCGCCGGGCGGTCAGCGTGATACGGGGACGAATTCGCGAAAAGACCGCGCGGAAAACGGCGCGCGCGCAAAATGGCCGCGGCGGACCGACGGCGGGCGGCCGTATATTTGCGGGAGAAAAAAAAAAAACCCGTTGTAACGTATTTGCGTACGGTGCCTGCGCGACTGTTTGCGGCCGGTCGGCGTGTGCCGTCCGAGCGTAAATACAGCGGGCGCGCGTCTGGACGCGTATTCGACGGCGGCGGCTCGCGCGATTACAATAATATGACGACGACGACGACGACGCGCGCGTCGTACCACGACGCGCGTACACACGCCAACGCCGCGTGGACGAGCCGCGCGTGTGCCACCGCCGCCGCGCGCGCGTGTGTGCGGGCGTATTATAAACTCGGTCCCACATCATCTTTGCGCCCCGGCTAAATCGATTTGACCTGTAGCGCCCGCCGCCGACGCCGCCACTCTGTCCGCGGGTGCCCCGTCGCCGTCATTTATATCGTACATTACGTGTACACGCGCCTTTCGGTTTCGGCCGGTTCGCGGATTCTGCCGTTTCGATTATTTTGTGTTCGTTTTCGTTCTTTTTGCCTCCCCATTGTGTTCCGGACCGGCCGCCAATGCCGGTCCGCGATCCGCCCGTTCCACGGCGGGCCCGCGTGTCCTTTCGGGCGACGACGAGATCAGAAAAACGACAACAACAACAACACGTTATAACAATAATAATAACCAATAATAGCGCGAGTATACGTGATAACAGGTGTACAGTATGCACACACCCCGTACAGTTATATACTGTGCGTGCTGCACATTACTATCTTTACGTCCGTGAGAATTCGAAAGAAAACAAATTCCGCGACGCGGCTCCTGTATAAGGCACCCCGCATATTATAGCGTATACGGTCCATGAATAATGATATCGCGTCGTACGATCGTCGAACGCCACTACGAAAATGTCCTGTGTCTCCGTCCTTTGTCCCGCTCTCTGTTTCTATACTTCTCTCGGCTCTCGTCCTTCCCGCGACCCCGTTTTTCTCGGCGGTTCGCCATTGTTTTCGTTTGTCCAACTTCCCCTACCAGTGGCGCGACCCTTGTTCAACGACACGGGTTTTCCTCTCCGCGCCCCCGACAGTTTCAAATAGTTCCCGGGTACGTCACTGCCTCGCGCACATCAGTGGCTGTCTATTTTCGTACGAGCTAACACACGAGTAACACCCCGGGTAATTTTGTCCCGTATAACAAAATTGTATTATGATTCTCTAAACCTGCGCATATTTCAGCTACCGCGACAAGAACCGAAAATCGCTCTTACCGTGCATAGTATTATGATTCAATTATAATTCACCGTCCACGATGTAACGCGTTACACACATTTAAGCCACGCAATACATTACCGACCTGGTGTAATAAATTTGCTCTGCGATGAATTGTAGGTTTTATTATGAGTGACGCGTGGCGAAAAAAAAAACAAAAAATGCTTGCTTGATGCCTATACTAATATAGAAGATTTTTAAAATATCTTTGAATTGTGCCAATTTATAAAAATCAAAGACTTGAAATCATTAACGTGACAAAAAGCGAACTGCCACGGGTTAAACGGTTTTTAGAAATATCGAATAATTCAAAATCGGCTTTTTGACACTCGGCACGTTGATTTCGAGTCGTCGAGTATACCAAGGTAACAGTGTTCGTTGTTATTGCTAGGTTTAATGATAAAGATATTGTCAATATTGATAACGCAATTCGTTTTCTATAGAGACGAAAATTATAAATTTAATTCATACACCTACCTAATGTAAAAAAAAAAAAAAGTTTGCACAGTTAATGAAAAATAAAAAAAAAATAACCCCTACCAACTATTGGTATTATACGAAAACTAAATTGAGGCGATTAGTGCCCACGCCATGATTTTCTTATCAGTCTGTTATCAGTAATGATTGGACAATTTGGTTCCCTACAATTTAATAGCGCAATTAAAAAACACACATCATATTTTTTTTTTTTTTTAATTGTAATTGACATTTGTTTTTGTATTAAAACATCAGTATTTACAAAATAAGATTTCACCATTATGAAATAAGAGCTATTCGAATGAGGTTTTTACTGTTTTTAGAACCAAAATAAATGTAAAAACTTAAAATGTAGAACGTAAGAATTATTTTAAATTTACTTTACATAGCATTTATTTGTGTATTTTTATTTGATTGGATTTAATCACACTTATTAAGGATTGTTAACGCATTATGTGACGTCGCACCAATCGCCTCTATTCTTCCCCCACGCAAACGATGGTTAACCAACTACAAATCGTCGATTATACCTGAAAATATCTGATGAGATGTACTTTTTACAAATATAAAGAGTATTATTTTTAACCTTGTTGACAATGTTTAGCCTTAATGATACATATGTTTTATTCCTACCGATTGGGAACGTTTTTCAGAACTTTGAGCCTATAATTTATTGTTAAACACTTTACACTTTTAGACACAAACGTTGGATCATATAACGATTCGTTCACTGTACCAATATTATATATTACTTACCCAAGTAAAATAATTAAATCATGCAATAATTATTGTGATTAAAATCTTAAACAATCAATGATAAAACGATGAATATAATGTATACAGATTGGATAAAGTATTGTATTTATTTATGAAATACAAGCGATTCACAACACTAAGAAAAATACACAAATACATTCTTATTCTTTTTTAAAAAATCTCTTTTTTACTAAATTAATTGGTTGTCGTTCAATACGTTTTACTTACCGTTTATTTTTCGATGCACTATGTTTCCTACTATTGTTCGTTGTTAAACATTGTTTTACCTCGTATTAACAACACGTATTTTTGACATCTCCCACTCTTTCTAAAAGTTTAAAAAGTATTTATTGTGTTTATTGATTACTTTTGATATCTACACTTACGGCATTGGAGACACTTTTCCCATTTATTGTTTTTTATTGTGCATATTTCCTGATTGCCATCACATGATATTTCGTTTCTTATTTTCGCACACCTTATTTCTAAAGGAAAAAGTCAACTTTGTTTTAAAAATTCCGTACACAATAAGTGTGATGGTTATAAATAATACATATAATACATATAATGTGACGGTATAATTTTTACCACAAAGTAAAAAAACAAAATCTATATTTGCAATAATCATTGAGTACAATATTATATTATTAAAATTCACATTTCGCACTAAACACGCATTTTCCTGAATTACAAACTAAAATGAAACTATTTGTTATCTACCTATATAAGTACAGGCCACGATATAGACATCTAGGTGTGAAGTATTATTTTTAAACAGATTATATTTATTTGATTCGTAATCAGTTAAGAGAAGGTAAAGCATACGTTATATTAGGTTAGGTTATGGTACAATAGTTGTATCAACATATCGGTAGTTATAATAGGTAACCTATTATAACATAGCAGTCTTTCAATATTATAAACTATTTGACAGGTATCCGAAAATTTCGCTACATTACTGAATGTACAATTATAAATAAATTTGCTCAATGTTCATACACAATTGTGTACGAGATGATTTGATTAAAATTGAAGGTGTACATTATGATATAATATAATATAATATTACATCCGTTTTTCGATCGTAGTATATTGTTTCGCAACAAAATATTGTGTCGAATTGCGTATACTGTGGCTTTTAATCAAAAAAAAAAAAAAAAAATGAACACACACATTTTTCTGACTTTTCTTTAAATTCGAAAATAAACCCAACAAAGAGTGTTTATAAAGTTTTTTTTTTATATATATACACATTACATATGTCGAATACCGTATATTTATTTGCAAGAATACATAATTCACTATTATTTTTTTTTTAAGATTCTCGTAAACGTATAATTTTCAAAAGAACACCGCAGTGTCTGTATACAAAAACTTCTTAAGGAATACCTATTAATTTAACTTAACCCTCGGCGAATAATAAAACTATACATTTATTATCGATTATGTATTTCTATACGAATACATCATTGGCGGTCTATAATGTACTTGCACAAAATGAAAATGTCGTACAAAGTTTTCCGTTGGTTAAGGAAAAATATGATCAAATTTTTGATAGTTTTCACGGTGTTGTTGTGATTGTTATACGATCAGATTATAATATAGGTTTATCGTTTAAAGTTAAAAAACACTATAATAGAAAGGAGGGCTATAAAGGAAGGAAGGAAGGAAGGAAATGAAGTTATTTCAATAGTCGTTCGAATACGCGCAATAAGTACCTACTTACGAAAATGGTTTGTTCGACAGTAAAAATTCACAATTACTTAATAAGACGACGGGCGGATTTATACGGTTAAAATACAAATGTATGAATAACGCGTCGAGGGAACGTTAGAAGAAAAAAAAATGTATGATTATATTCACACATCAGTGACATATTATTTACTTGGGCGTCCTAGGGGTTGAAATCGCAATTTCGATGAAGGTATATGCGAGAGTGAAAAACATCACGAGTTTATGTTCAATGTAGGGGAGAGCATTTTCAGGATACAATACCCCTCCCTTTCTCACCCCAAACAAAAATATCCAAAGTACACCACTGAACAATAATATAGATGAATATATTTTATCGTGTAGTATACATACTATATCATAACATACTCAATATCATACTTTTACTCGAGTGTCAATATACCCGTAAGTACTTAATGTAACACAATCTTAATTTAATGTCTTATTTAAAACAAACAAATCGACTATGGGGTAGTAATACGAGTAGGTACATATTATAAATAATTTTTCATGTTTCATCATACTATTGGGTATTGCAGTCGTTGTGTGCAACACATCATATATTTTAAAATAATAAAAATAAACATAAAAAAAAATATGTCTACATATTATTTTGTTTTAATGTACCGAATTTCAGGTACGCCAATTGACGTCGGTGTCACCATGTACGTGCTGAGCATCAGCTCTTTGTCAGAAGTCAAAATGGTACACACAAAAAATATTAACACAAATGCAAAACGAATTTTTTTTTTTTTTTTGGTTTTAACATTTTTTTTTTTTTAAATCTTCCGCCTAATAATTACATTTTTTTTACGCGTCATTCTGTATAGAAAATCAAGTAGTGTCTATAATAAATGTCTTAAAAATATGTGAGATGCGTGTTTTTTAATAAGATATTATATAATATAATAATAAATATATATATATATATATATATAAAAAAATATATATTCTTTATGCGATTGCGAACTTCTTTCCGCTTTGTATTATACATATTATTATATATTTTCCGCTATAGAAGCACGCTGTAGAATCGTCGAGCATTAAAAATAGAGACATATTATATTATATAAGTAAAAAATAACAGAAAAAATATCATATTCAAGTATAAATTTCGAATAAATAAATCTAGAAACGTTACATTCGACTAATGTCACATTATTTGCTTTTTAATGAATTTATTTTGTTTTTTATTATTATTATTCATCTATTTTGCTTTAACGAATAATTTAAATTTCACCATCGATTTACGTATACATTTAAGTAGATCAATAACTTACGAATATACCTAGAAATAAATATATATATATATATATATATATATTTATATATATATATATATATATATATATATGTATATTTTTTTTTTTTTTTGTTTAGTGTATACATATTATAAATTTTATTAAAACAATACGAAGTTTACTACATATAAAACATTACATGAAATAAACACAAAACTATAGGCTCGTGAAAATTCATCAATATCGCAGTATAAATAAAAACCAGTTTTAGCCTATTTAACACTGTAGCTGTGTCATTTGTTGTGTATGAAATTTGTTTAATAGCGTCTTAATATCCATCACGCATAATCACGTAAATAACGTTAAAACGGTATCTTTGTAATATATTAATGTTCGTATATACAGATTATAATCGGCTTAAAAACGTAACGGAAAATATTTTAACGTGTATACGAATTTCCCGTGTAGTTTGAATTTACGTTTTTGCATTTTTATTATATTCACTACATTGTAACTGCAGAATAGTATTACAGTATACGTATAAGTTCGTGTACGCACTTATTGAAAATAAGAATGTTAATATCACTACGGCCTAACTCGGGGGAAAAAAAATGTATAGGTATACGTGTACTTTTATTTTTTCTTACATATTATATTATATTAGTGTAGGTTATCACGAATAAACAAAATAGTAGTTAGGTACATAATATGATATCGCGTGATCGCGTGCGAATAAATTGTCCCGGCGGCGGTGGGCGGAGATAGTGGCAATTTCAAACGCACAAATAAAAACGCCAAGGTATTTAATTCTAGCAGCCCTCACCACTGCACGTGCCGTATAGGTAAACCGTGTCTGGCACACGCTATGCCTTGATATCCCACCCCCCAAAAATAAAAAATAAAAAAACATTACAGGTGTCAGGTCAACGACAAAACGTAAAAAATAAAATAAATAAATAAAAATAATAAAAAAAAAACTTTCGCAACAATTGCTCCATTATTTCGTACATGCAATTTGAATGCTTTAGCGTGTAAAAGCGATCATAAACTTTGATTCTTTTTATTTTAATATATGGAATTGTCACTTTTGACGTTTGAAGTGCATAAATAAACTGCGTACAATAATAATAATACAGCATATAAAGCGATCATTCCAATCATAACAATAGTATGTTAAAAACTTTCTGTATTTTTCTCGAATTACATAATTTTACCGGGAATGTATTTCGTACAAAACGATGCATAGCATATATACGTGGCCTGCGGTGTAATAGAATCCGACATTTCTGAGGTGAATTCTTAAAAATAAAAACCGGCACAATATATACTTCCCTGTTTCCCTGTTTTAAACCTCTATTCATTTTTCCTATGCAGGTAAATATAACAAAGCTAAGATTTTTGAACATCGTCATCTAACACTTGAAAATCTCAAGGCTATTCGTGATAATATTACTAGGATTCCTCGAGATATGCTGAAGAGAGACAAGTATATTAGCAAACTTCCGAAAACTTTTTTATATTACCATCGACCGACAAGGCCAACATTTTGAAAATACCATATTTCTGAAAATTTGACTAGAAAAAACTAGAAAACTAGAAAAAATATACAAACTTTTTTACTATTATCTTGTATAATTACCGTTATTTTAGATTCTGAGTAGAGCAAAGAAGCTTATGGTTTTACAAAGATGTTTTGTTTTTTTTTTTTTTTTTTTTTGTAAGCACTTTTCTACCAGAAGATTTCCGCGGATTTCCAAGTTTCTAAGTATAGCATCTTTTCTGAAAGGAAACCGGTGTGAGAAGGTACTCTAAGGAAGTCATTTATCGATTTTCTTAAGAGTTTTCTCATAAAATTTTAAAACCGAAAAAAAATGGGAAAATATGCGAAATATATTACTAACATATTACTATTTTATTTTCTTGTGCACAACTTTTTTACCAACAATTTTGCTCCAATTTATAATAATACCAATGTGTATAAAAGGAAATTTCACTAGGGAGGTGGTAGAGAGGCTATTTTTCGATTTTCTCAAGAGTTTTCCCTGAAAATGTGAACAACCGGGAAAACGTAGACAAATTGTGAAAATCGGTACAACATTAAGAAAATATATTAAGTCTATTTAAATTATTTTACTATAAAATGATATATATTCTTGACAAAGTATCATTATTAACTGAACTCCGCTCAGAATCGTTTTTTCATAAGCAATGATTTATTGTAACTTACGGGTATACATTAAATTATCTCTAACAGTGGCTGCATTCGTCCCCATTATCCTAGGATGCCTTTTTCGAATTAACTTCAGAGATTTTGGAGTTCATTAAGTCTAAAACTATATTATTAGTAAATAGGTATGTAATATTATTTATTTTATTTTTGTTTTGTTAGTTTTAAATCCTATTCATTTCTTAAATATATGTCCCGCATCCAATATAATACTTTAATAAATTATATACCGAATAAAACATTAAATTTCCAAACAACGAACCGCATTTTTTGCATTACAAATTGTCAGACAGTACCTATTGATTAAGAGATATGTATCAACGAATCAGTAGTAAATGGAATTAATTTAACCGTTCCGAAACATTTTCATTTAGTCCAATATTATACTATTTTCATCTAGTTAGTTAGTGTAAAACCTAGCCAACAGTATATCAACATCAACGCATTAGTATAAAGAAATCTACCTATTATTAAAAAAAAAAATAAAATAAAAATACAACGCTTTTTGTTAGTGTAGGGTTTTTGAAGCACGCCAGTAGTAGTCCTTTGGAGTCATTATTATATTGTTATTTTTTTATAAATTACTAGTCTTATTTATTTTTTATTTTTCTGTATATCTTACACTACAATACTTGTCCCCTCCGGAATAAAACATACATAATATATTCTATTATAAAGACTACGAAAGAAAGAGAAACTTGTTATGTAATGCATATTATTATTATATTCGTAGCTACATAAAGCTTTTGTATATTTTAGGTCTATACAGTGTACATAGTACATTTTAACAATATTATCAATTATCATTTTTATATATTATCACACAATGTCTCGTTTGATTATCATGCGATAAATCATAATACATAATTATTAGTATTTAGTATATTATACTATAGATAATTATGTATAAAATGACTATAGATAGCTCATTGTATAATTGAGTCCAACAAGATATATTAAATATATTATAACATAGGTATTAAGATGGCAAACTTTTCTTAAATTACCTAATTCGTGAAATATTTGTTTATGCCATGGATTTACGATAGATGATAAAAAAAAAATGCCATTTGTGATTGATTAGTGCCTACAACAATGCTCTTCTTATCAATTTATTATCAGAAATAATTGGATCATTTGGTTCCAAACAATTTAACAGTCATATTAAAAATACAAATTATATTTTTTTTAACGCTTATATTTTATACAAATATGAGTAATTACAAATTAGATTTTCACTATTATTAAATAAGTGTTCCTCAAATAAGGTTTCTAGCAAAAAAATTTGTATCTTGGTACTTAAAATGCTGAATATAAAAATCTTAAAGTTACTAAACATTGCATACATATGCAAATTTCTATTTGTTTGGTTCCAATCATATTTTATAAGGATTGATATATAAACCATAAACAAATATTTCCCACCGAGTTTATCGATAAAATGTTCTCTCTTTGTACATGGCCGGTGCTGAATTTCAGATTTACACGTATAAAGTCAGCTATCTATAGTCGTTTTATAAAATATACTTGATATTATATTATAATAAATATTAGAAAAAAACAACCGTGTTTTGTATGCGTAGTACCCATTTGTTCAACTAGATCACGGTCGTACTTTCAAGACGATGATAATATTATACCATTGTCGTTACACGTACCTATATACTATACGTGCGGTAGGTATTCTCTAAAAGGGAAAACATATCGCTAGCGAACGACACTGTTATATTATTATTACGTTATGATAATATTATGGATTTGCGGTATAATAAACATAAAATTAAAGCACTCCCGACAACGGCGCCGAGACAAAAGAAAAAAAAAGTGCACGTACCTAAACCGTAAGTGCTTTTTTTTTTTTTATCGTACGTATAGGTATAATATTTCTGGTTCGCGTGCAAATGTGTGTTTGTGTGCGTGCACCCGGTATATCGTATGTTTGCCGTCCACACCGGGGACATTGAATAATAATAATATAACCGGTATATAGGTTTTTTTCCGCGGTATTATTATTTGGACCGTAAACTCCACTCGATGCCGCAAAGGCTGTGTACCGACTACGTTTGCGTTATTGCCTACAATTCGGGTCAGTTCTGCCGGAAAAAAGATAGATTTATTTGTGTTTTACTTTTTCGCCCCGAATTTTTTTTTCTTTTTATTGGTCGCGTTTGTTTTTATCCCTACGACGAAAACTATCGCCAAACCGACCGTGCATTCGAAGTTTATATTCATTAGAACGAATGAAAACTACTTCACACTGTACATGTTCGTTTTGGCTACTTGATAAACTATTATTGAAACTATAAAGTTCAAATCACCCGGTATATATGTGTTTTTAAATAACAATACATATATATCTACTTCTTCTTATCTTCGATCATACGATTGATTTGCTACATATTTCCATCGTACTTCTATGTCGTCTCTTATAATTCTTTAAATCTTTGCGCAACTATCATATTATTATACTTATGTGTTTTATATGTGCACCGTTTTTGGTCCACATCTTCCAATAAGGCCCTTTTCAACGTCCACTTCTTTATGTTTTATTTTAGACTGTATTCGTGACGCATTATAGATAGACTAATAACTCTGTCCATTCTGATTATTATACTACGTACACTTTCTGTCCGTTGAACTTTTAAAAGGACATGCATCGTCCATAATCCTTCAAAACTGGTTTACATGGGAAAAAAACTAGTCAGGCTATAGTCTTAATCAAATTTCCATCATAGAAAAAAAAGAACTTACATTGTGCAGCATTCGTTTTATTTTTTCGATATTACAAATGTAAAACAACTTATTATTGTTTTGAACTCTGATGGTTTTAACATTTTCAAACTCGAATCAATTTTTTCGCAATTGTAATATCGAATAATTAAAATAAACGTTACATAGTGAAATTTCTATCTGTTTTTAGGTGACCATTTGGTTTTTAAACAAGTTCACAGCTCGAATAGTTTTAGCCCTCGAGAAACTATTTTTTGTAAACGTGTTTTGTTAATATTTCAAATATTTAAATATATTATAATTGTAAAAACGAAACTGGGATACTTTTAAATGTATTTAAAGGTATGTTTAAGTATATATTATTTGAGTTAATAAAATTGTCTATATACCTACGCAACCCCTTAAATACGGGTGGTGGTGACACGATCAAATAAAACATTTTTCAATATCACTGCATAATATCAAAAGTTTCTTGTTCGGTAGGTACCTATACAATAATATTATACTATACGAATATAATTATTGTATATTATTTCGTTTGTCGAAAACGGTTCGATAACATCATCGCTGTCGATAAATCAAACGACAACTTTTACTGCTGCAGTGTTACAAAGGGAGACAAATCGCTCATTGGCGCCTTAATTACTACGGAATTGGGTCACGGAACGACACGCAACCATCAACGGATTTCCTTCCACCCCAATTACGCGTTACATTGTAATAATTACGTTTTTCAATTAAACTACGCACGCACCATTAAAACGTTAGCTATATTATTATATTCGATTGCTCATTAAAAGGCACAAAGCCCACACTCATAGGTGCATAAAAAAAAAAAATATTATAAATATAACAGTTGACTTTTCTAACTCTCGTAAATCAGTTTTAATATTTTTTTTTTAAATAATATGCCTAATAATTTATAGCGACTATGAGAAATTTAATTCTGAATTTGTTACTCATAGCATATTATAACATAATACGGCTGTGATTTATGAATATTAATTTTTTCTAAACAATATTTATTTTTTTTCACGGAGAATTTTAATTAAACATGCCCGCGATAAACTTTATTATGACGCGCGTCACGTTGTATACCTTTGCTCGAAAGGTCACTCAAATTAAATTATTAACCATGTACAGCAGGTATGCGTATAATCAGATATTAAAACACTATCGTATACAATATAATAATTAAAATATTGGCCAGTCACAATAATAAAACTATAGACACCTATTCGATTTGTTATGTGTGAATAAATATTGTTAATATTTTGGTCGAATTTTCACTGGAAATCGAGATGATCGCACTATATTGTATCTATTAAATATAATATATCTATTGTATGTAACGTGGATATTTGACAACTTAAATAAATTTTGTTTAATATTTTTAAATTATTTTTCTCGTAATAATTACTGGAGCCTTAAACTAGGACTCTTTATTTTATATATTTTTTTAAATAATAATAAAGATTTAAATGTTAAAGTAACCATTAAAAAATATGTATTATATACATGGGAAAAAACCTCGAAAACAGAACAAAAGTTATTTCAAGTCTTCGCGTCTTTTTCTTGCTACGTTTAAACACTTAGTGGCTTCCTCTGGACTAAATGAGCTCGAATTCATTGACTCAAACTCGGGGATTAGAGTTGTTTTTAGACAGATTGAAGTAATACAATTTTGGTTGGATTTAAATATGAATTTCGCTATGCTGTCGCGAGAATGGTGGTTTTTTTAAATTGTGTACACCCCTATAGTCTCCTCAAATAAATCCTGAGGGACACAATTTTATGCATTCATGGTGCATGATGTATCAAGGATGTGCCTTTTGGAGATTTAAACGTTTAACCCCAACTATTGTAATTTGTTTCAAATATCTTCTCACCTATTTTGTATTATATTTATTATTTTTTAAAGAATTAAATTAATATAATACAAAATAAGTGAGAAGATATTTGAAACAAGTTTCAACGATGTTTCATGTTTTTGGGACTTTTTAAGTCTCAATTTTATATTATCTGCAGTGCATTAGTCAGTTAAAAAAAAATTATTGTTTTTTTGGACGCGAGATATCATCGGCACACACACACGCGTGTTGTTTCCGAACATTTTAGGTTAATTTACATTTCTACTGGCAACTGATCTGTATAATCTGTATATACAAGCAAGGGCGCCCACAGAATTATAAACCCGGGAGAGGGGGTAAAGTCAAACGTATATAATTTATTTTACAACTCACAACTTATAAGTAATCATGACTTAAATATTTAAGCAAGTAATAAAACAATTAATATTTAATATTAATTGAAATAGCGAGGGCCATGGCCCCTACCGGCCCTCACTTGTGGGCGTTTTGGTGTACAAGGCATTGCCATATGCGTACGGAGAATATATTTATTGGTTATATGATTAGAAAATGAAGGCACCAAAATGTTATCAAATATAATATAATTTAGCTCCATTATATCAAATCATTGTAGATTATATTTTTTATTTTGAATTAAATTAATAGCGAAATATGTAGTTTTTGATGTGAAATCGCCACGTGTTGGTATGAAGGAAAAATAAATCGATAACCTATAAGTCGATTTAAATTTATCAGTCACTTCTGTACAGCCATCTGTTGGCGTTTAAGTAAACGTTCGAGATAATAATAAAACCGGGAAACCTGCCGCGTTTTATCGATTAGAATACACGAAAAATACCAAAGTCTGTTCATTCTTATCGTGAAACGCCCTGTATATTGTATATTATTTACTTTTGTCAAGCGAGTCTATATATGCAATGCAACAAACCATAATGGTTTTGCATTATTGAATGCGTATCGTGTTTTGGTATTCATGGGGTTCCGCGCGCCGGTGTGTCTAATGCCGCGGACGTCGGTGTGAACGCAAGTGCAAATCCGACATGTAAAATGTAAAACCTTACACCCTTTGAATACGTTATCAGAGGACGTTCATAATTTTAATCTAATTCGGCTGTGGTAGGTGGGCAGCAGAGAGTAGCAGTAGAAGTATAGAACGTATATAAAAGAACCTGCAGATAGGTAGGTCAGCAGCGCATTATGTAATAATATGTACAGGGTGTAGTATTTGAAAATTGCCTCTATTAGTCGCAATTATACGTAGAAAATTGTCAAACCCCACAGATACATTCTGCAAAAATACCTATTATAAAAGTGTATTATTTATCCGCTTCCTCGTTGTCGCGGCTGTACCGAAGAAACGTGACTGCAGTTTTAGGAGATAGGTTTATTCGGTCGGTGTTTACTGCAGTTTTATTTTTTTCTCGTGCGTTTTTTCGCTCGCAAATTGCGCGTAACCTCGAACGAGAACACATTCCGTAATACAGAGTCGACAGCCGCGAAACTTTAATCTTTTGTACTATTTTTTTTTTTTTACGGTCGTTTAGGATGTTCTCGTAAACGACATAAAAACCCCGTATGTACGTATGTATGTATGTATGTATGTATGTATGTATGTATGTATGTATGTATGTATATATGTATGTATGTGTGTGTGTGTGTGTGTGTGTGTGTGTGTCTGTGTAAATTAACCGTCGTCGTCGGATAATATATAATATATAGGTAGGATAGTGTGTGTGTGTGTGTGTGTGTGTGTGTGTGTGTGTGTGTATAAAACATTAATCAATGTTTTCACGCGCGGGTTTCTCGGCGTGAACAACAAATAGGAAGCTGTTAGTTACTGTCGACGACGACGACGCCGCGGCACGATAATAGTACAGAAATTAATTCCTCGGCTCGCCTATTTCGCTAATTCCGGTTTTTATGGCCCGCCGTCGTCGTCGTGTATGGTATAGGGTAAAATATAGAGCCCCGTTCGAAAGATTTTACTTTCGTATCTGCGCGGCGACAACGACGACGACGACCAACCACCCCGGTGCAGTGTTATATAGTGCGGTGTGTATGGTAACGGTGACCCAGAAAAACGTCGTCATATAATACAGAACGTATAATAATTTATACGCCACACACGATTTATAACGCACCACTGTATATACATGTATAATACGTTATTACTATAATGCTGTATCGTAGTGTATATTATATACGACTCGTGTATAGATGGGTTACCCTGGCACCCCAATATCAAAATTTTCCATTTCTCTTTTTACCATCAATTGTACTATAATTTGTACCAATTTGTATCACCGAGTTCAGAATGTTCACCTAAATAATTCCCGCTGAAATTGTTTTTTTTCCACGGGGTGCCAGGGTATTGTTATCCCAGCACCTAATATAGACTTTTTTTAGTATACAATCCTTAAAACTATACAATCTTAATATTTAGGTACAAATTCTGAACTCAGTGGTACAAATTGGTACAAATTATAGTACAGTTAATGGTACAAAGAATAATGAAAAATTTTGATATTGGCGTGCCAGGGTAACTCACCTCTCGTGTATAGTATATATCGAAGAAAACCAGCTCTTCGAACGTATAAACATCACATCCACGTTGGTATTATTATATATTATTATGTGTATAAAATATATATGGTGTGCGTGCGTACGTGTGCGTGGAATATAATAATATTTGTGACGCGGAGGCGCCGTCGCGACGGGTTCAGAAAAACATGACCTACATATAATAATAATATTAACAATAACGTAAGTTCAGTTGCGTATGCCTATTTTTTATACTTATATACATTTATATTTACAAGTGCAAGTGCCGCACGCCTCGAAGTTTTCACACTACGGTGACCTTGCAGCTGTGGCGTACATGGGTATTTTATAAAGAGAAGCTCTGCATTTCACGACCAAATCAAGTGAGTTGAGGGGCAAGTGTGTAGAATTATTAACATGATTAGAATATTATATAAGTTAACGAAAAAGGTGAAGTGTTTTATACAATCTTTAAGATTATTTTAAAAATTATATTTTCAAACTTTTTTTTTTTTTAATAAGAAAAAAATGCAAAAAAAAAAAAAAAAAAAAAAAAAAGGGAATTTCGTAACTTGCCACAGTCGGGTATTGAACCCGAAAGAAATCCTACCTAGTCTAATTTTAAGCCCTATCCACTAGACTACCTGCCTAATTATTAAGAAGTTGATTTTATGACTATATAAGTAAATTTCAAAATATTATAAATTATAATATACTATATATACAGTGACATCTCGAAATTACGGATTTTTTGGGAACAAGAAATTTAACTTCCTCTGAATAGTACACACCATTTCCAGGGGAAAGATGCGGAGCGTGCCTCCCTTTTTTTGTTTATTGGTTATTTCGGTGTATTTTATCGTCAAAATATGGTTAATTATAAGATGATAAGTGCCCCTTCCAAACGGTGTAAGTTGGAAGAAGCAGGCCACTCATATAGAAAGCAAGATTCAATGGTACAAAGAGTGCTCCAAGAAACCCAAGGAGCTAAGATGACCAAGGCAACGATGGGAGGATGACATTAAAAAAGATTTCCTAAATGCTATAGGAGGGGATTATGGAGACATGGATTGGAAGAAAGTAACGGAGAACAGAGAGGAATAGGGGAGGATTTGTTTTATGGCAAGATGGTCTCAAAGGTTTTTTGAAAAAAAAAATATATATTCTTTAAATATTTCATTTATGGTGTTATATTAATAATATATTCACATTATTATTTTAAAAAAATATTAATTTGATATACTAACAATATTTATTTAATAATGTCATTTTTTTGATGAAAAATGTATATCAATATAATATTATTATTACGGATATGCTATCTGGGTTGCAGATAATAGTTATAACACCCATTTCGTCTGGGCTATCTTCGGGATTTTTCGCTATTTTATTGCAACTGCTTCTTATAAAATAATCTTCATGACACCGCTGATTGACATTAACCTTTCCGCGGAAGAAATGTCCGAATTGACTGCCGTTCGACTACAAATAGTAAATAATATTCAATACTTGTAACACAATGCTATTCAGTGCTATAAATACTATAATAATATATTAGTTATTATAATAGCTGTGCTGCTCGTACCAATTTAATTTCCAATTTTTTCCTCTTATTAACAAACGTTTTCAAAACCTTTTCTTTTTTTGAACACAAGTGCAATTCGACTTTGGCCAACAATTACAATTTAACATCTCTCTGTGTCACTCTCGCTGTGACAGCGCCAGGGATGGGCCATGGTGGGCCGTGGCCCACCCTAAACATTTTCCTGGCCCCCGGGTAGCCTACCTTGTATGATTATAAAGAAATTCTGTGTTTTACATTACACATCATATTTTTAAATTATGGTTAAAGTGCCCCCACACTATATTTATCATAGAAATCCTTAAATTTACAAGTAAAAATACAAAATTCATGAAGATCTTCCATTTTTCATAAGTTTAAAATTTTAGATATATGAGTACTTTCTTGTAATTTTTTATAAAACTGTTAGGATCCCACGAAAATGTATTAGATGAAGTAGCATCTGGTGGAAAATCCACATATTTTAAGGTGTACGTAGTGTGAAAGTTTTGAAGGATTAACCGAGAAACTAAAGGTCATCACGAAAAAAAAATAGTTTTTTGTAAAACTAATATATTCCTCACTACCATCAGAACCTAAAATTATTTTTTATATAATTTCACACCAAGAACCGTATGGAAATAACACATGTGACATGGCGTTTGCGAATATAAAACCAATAATAATAATTATTACACTCTCTCACCACATGTCTCTATTTACGAGGATGAACGTTTTCTGCAGCTCTAATATATCTATAGGTATGCGTCGCCGTATATATTATGTAAAACTAAGAATCGTTTAGGAAGAAAACTGCCGGTAGCTGGATATATTAATAATATTTAGTCCTTGAACCACCACCATCACCACCACTACCACCACCACCACCACCGGGTATAACCGCTTATAATTAAAATTCCCCGTCGCCGTCGCCGATTCGTGCGTGGAAGCTGCACCGGGTCTGCACCGGTGGAGGTAGTTTTATCTACGTACAACGGCCCCGACGGACGTGCACCGTTTATTAATAACACAAATTAATTCAACCGTAAATATTATATAGATATATTTATCTGCCCCCACGATTGAAGAATCGATTTTATATCCAATCGCGCGAGCCCTGCGTGTTTAGCGTGTATAATAATATATTTCCGTTAATTATAACTGTATTTTCATTGTATCTGTGTGTAACGAGTGTAATACAGAATTATACTAATGATGATTAAAGAGTAACGATAATTGGATAACTGTGCGGCCATTAATTGTGTTTTTCCCATAGATATAAAAAATAATTAGAGACAATGTAGTCTTATAGTGGTATGAAGTCATCACCTCTATATACTTACTAAAAGTGTAAACATTATATTGATTGATTCATGAGGTAATTCTTTATGTCATAAATTATTATGAAATAAATATACATGTCAGAAAAAGTATGCGTTTTCTCTAATCACTGCTATTGGGGTCATGGAAGAAACGGTACAATAACGATCTGTGCAAAACCATGATAGCACAAACCAATTATATTAAAATCATTTATTTTTCATGAGTTTATAGTTTATTTCAAATTAGGGTTACGTTCCATGTATGCAGAATAATAATTTTGCAGACATGCCTGTTTATTATTAGGTGCTAGTTGTTAGTTGGTTATATGCAACTATTTGTTTCAAATAAATTTCATTTTACCAAATTTTTTATTTTATTCAATAGAAAACGGATTTTTATTCGAAACAGCCAAAACCAATTAAAAAACGAGTACATATCTAAAAGTACTCATGAATTTACAAGTTATTTATGATAGATTCATATTTATTGCAAAACTGCAAGTTATAGCTTGTATATTACGAATATCTACCAACGTATCACATAATTCATGACTTAAACGAATATTTCATGAGTTAATCAATAGATTTTGCCCTTTTGGCAAATACGGCTGCCAAGTTTCAGATTACTATTCACATAGTCGGCTATCCATAGTTGTTTTATAATAATATACTTCTATAGTAATCTTTATTGTTGCGCTCTATTATTGTTTCGACGATAGTAATAATGATAATATAACAATATAATGCGCGTATGTGGTTTTTAATTAAATATTACTATTATTATTATATTGTATGCGGTTTTTAAGGATATTACTCTTGTACGAAAAGGACGGTCGGTCGAGTAACAAAAATTAATAATTTATTATATCATATTGCTTTGGCGGTTCGTTGTTTGGAATCAATTATATTATTATTTTTTTTTTTTAATAATAGTCCGCCGATCGATAATATTATGATGTTGATGATCATGTTGGCCATCGCTGTGTATTACATATTTTAAGTGCATACCTATTATTGTTATTATTTTTATTATTATTATTATTATTATTATTATTATTATTATTATTATTATTATTATTATTAAGGCCGAGACGAAAATAGCATCGGGAAAAAGAAATTATTATTAACGTTAATATTGCGCTAAGAAAATGTAATAATGAAAAACTCTGAACGCCTGACTTGGAGGAAAGTGTTAATTTAGTTTATCCAATTTACTTTGAGATTACATAAATGTGCAGCCGCTAAAATATACGCAGGTACCTACTACAGCCTACAGATTAATTAAATTTCTTGTTTTAAAATTAATAAAGTAATATTCATTATCGATAACAAAACATTTTTGTAGAAAAAAAAAATGCATATATGCTTGTTTAGAGGAAAAATTATGTGTAATAGACCGAATGAAATTATGACGGCTATTGACATCTCTTAGTAATGTAATATTATTGCAACCAAAGAAAAACGTCAAATTTTCTAAAATCCTTTCGTAAAGTATAATAATATAGTGGTAATAAAATAATAATTTGTCGATATCAAATAGAAACGAATATAGTTTACAAACGTTACAAAATAATGATTGTCCATATGTACAATATGGTCAATAGTCGAAATTTAAAAAAAAAAAAAAAGAATTAGTAAAAAATATATGTCCAATGTACACAATTTTCATGACATTGAAATCCAAAAAATAATGTTTAAGTTTAACAGATTGGTAAGTTCATTTAAATTTACAAATATTATAAGAATGTCCAAACAAATTAAGTCATCAGTAACTTGATATTACGTTTTATCTATGACAATGGTTATCTATTTTACGTGAATATGTTTTGTTGTTGTTTTTAGAAATTCAATTTAAAATTGTTAACTTAAATACATATTTCAAAGTACTTGGCCATTGGACAATATCGTAGTTATGTTTATTTTTTTATATAGAGCTTTCCTTTTTGAATATTTAAACTAGATAATGGACGTTTTATTTACAGAACATTTATAAATGTTTGAACCAAAATAATGTTATGCATTATTTTTTTTTCCAAGCGATAATCGTATAGACCCTTGTTACTTAACCCTATTTTACAACTTAACATAATATTATTTTCACTCTGTTCGGCCGCATAAAATACAAATATATTGCCGAGCCAATCGGCTACCGTATAAGCAATATTCCAACAATCATATACTATGACAGATATCGATTTTATAAAAATGTTTTATTACACATTTATACCTACATTATAATACTATTAAGATATTGATCCCCTCACGGGTTATTTGTTATTATTATTATTATTATTATGCAATAAAAATTGTTATTATTATAGGCTTATATTTTATTTTATATATTTTTGTATATACATATGTATTATAAATTATACTGTCATAAAATGTATTCGGAATGTTACAAAGTACCGAACTTATACAACATGTATACGGGTATAATGTATATGGTAAATAATAGGTACCTACCCGACTGCAGTTCAATTGAACCTTGTATAATGAATACTCCATGTCACACAAACTGTGTTGAGCCTTATCTAGATTTTAATTATCTTTTATCGTATACAGACAAATATTGCCAAGTTATCTAAATGTTTATCTTAGATAAAAATGGTACTTATTTAGATATATGTATCCAAATAAATTATTGTGTATAGGTATAGAAGTATTATTTTCAATAAAGCTTGATATTGACGAGTTGAAAACTTAAAATTATGTTAAAAAATTAGGTTACTTATAACCGATTCCAGAGTCGGATTTAGGGGGATATTTCCCGTGTATAGGTGTCCTCAAAACCCCTCGCCTCGCTCAGAATCTAAAAACATTGTTTTATATAAGTAAGTAAATTGAACTTCATAACAAATATTATAGTATACGTATTACACATTAGTTTGATAATTTGTATATTATTAACATCTAATAAGATTATAAAATGTAATCATTGTTTTTCGAAAACTGTAACTGTTTTTATCTAAAACAATTATATGATTATCCATTAGCTATTATCTAGATAATATTAGCCAATTATTCATCTTTTATCTTTATCAAGACTGTAGATTTTTGATGGTTTATATATTATTTATTTTATCCAGGTAAATGTTTACTATCTGTGTCTCAACACTGTCACAAAATTTAATGTACAATAATAACATTGAAACAATAATATTCGGCAACTTACTGTCTTTCTATAAAATATGCAAAATGCTTTCAATACATATCTACAGATAATATTAGAACTATCGTTTAACATAATATTATATACATATCATTGCAGGGCCCCCAGTTGAGGTCGGAGTCACCATGTATGTTCTCAGTATAAGCTCCGTGTCCGAAGTACTAATGGTACACACATATTATGAATGATTAATTAATTATTATAATAATATTACTTTTTAATACCTATATATTTCGTTTTGATATAATAATTATATTATAATCAATGTTTTTTTTTGTTTTTTTTTTTTTTGTTTTTTTGAAGAGTGTTCTACATATTGTTATTAAGTGTATACCTTGATGTCTTTTCGTTTTATTATATATATTATTTTTTTAAGCTGTATGTTTTACCAAATTCGTCCTTTATTATTTATACCTATATATAATATATGGTACTGATGCTTTTTTGCTTCTTCGTTTGAGAATCTAATAATGAAAAGAACTTAAAAAAAAAATAATAATAATAATATAATATATTTATTAAAAAAAAAATATATATATATATGTGTGTGTGTATGTATATATATATATTGCGTTACAATATTATATAATAATAATAATAATAATAATAAAAGTACGAGACAACACTACAATAATATAATATATTATTATAATAAATGATTATATGTATTTCAAAAAAAAAAAGGAACTAAATGACGTTCCCTGCATGCAAATCCGTTGCTTTGCCAACCGGTGCCACTCCCTAACATTAGCAACGTTTGCATTCGTCGTCGTCGTCGTATATTACGATATAATAATATTATAGTCACACCTGTGACCGGGGGAAAAAATAAAATGCTCAAAATCAGAGTCAGTCAACAACATTTATACATTATTACGTATACAGAACCCTTTTCAAAAGTAGCCACGTATTTGTGGTTATCTATATTACATATAGACTTCCAAACATACCTGTATGTATTATTAGGTATACCCATCGTTTTTCGCATTATTTTTCGACACGTCGTCACTGTCGTCGCGAATTCGTTAATTTTTCTAATAAACACAAAAACTCGTTTAATTTATAATGAATATTTTTAAATAACGATATTATCTATACCGTGCGATACCCATCTGCAGCATCACTGTTCATAATAATAATATGGCTGTATCAGTGATGTAGCAACACATTTTATGTATAAAGGTACGCACGATATAATAATATGCAATATATACTGCAAATAATATGACTTATATACAATACACTTAACGTAGCTCTAGCTGTTCTTCTGTAAATTCAATTTAGACAGTTTTCCGCCGCTTGTCTGTATACACGCGAGTATCGGTTCCATTATCGTTACCACCGCCTAGTGCGCAGATAAACATTCTATATGTGTGCAATATCGAATTTTCCAAAGAGAATCGATTTCGAAAATAGTCGTATCACACACACACCGTCCGCCGCTTTTGACGTTTTATTATTCCATGGACAGGGTACCTATGATACGCTCAGACTATCATTACAATAATAATTATAATAATAATAATAATAATATTTAGAACGTGTTTATGTTAAGGAGTCTCCCGGTTGGTCCAGCGTTCGTTTGCATTATAATTTATCCCGTATATAATATATATTCATAATGTTACACACAACACCGAGACGTGTGACCCTATAAGCCCGTGTTTCCGTGTGAGATAATTATTCAAAATTCGGATTTATACTATGCAATAGACACTAATAATCATAATATTAACGAATATTTGTACTGCGAGTACATTTAAAACGCATAATTACCGATATATTGTAGCACGTTGTTTTCCAGTAAAAAATTGCCTTAAAATATACTAAATAAAATGCAATAATTATAATATTGTATAGACGTTAATTTGTCGTATTATATACAAAGTCCTTGAGTTATGATTACATAATGGTTTAAGTTTTGTTATTGGCATAGGCTTATAAATTATAATAGTTTGACCATACATTAGTAAAATATTGTGAAGACAACACGTCATGTGCAAGAGAGATTGATAACTTTTTCAATGAGGTTATAGGTATATCATAGACTAGTGGACCACTTCTTGAACATGTTCAAAAATCAGATGACATCTGATAGTAACCAGAGACATCCAGGAAAAAAAAAAAGAAAACTTTCACGTTTTTTCCATGAAAATCATCGATTTATCATTACGAATTCTAACTCATCAAGTGTACATCGTGAATTATCATAAATATTATTATAAATAAGGTATAAAGTTCAATTATCTATACTTACTGTTTTGATGGAAAAAAAAAAAAGAAATAGGTAGTTATTTTTTTCTTCCCGGATACCCCTTTTTGTGTATAGTATGTCCTCTGACCAATAATCATTTGCAACACGGTCCATTGGTAAATAAGTCTATGGGTTATGTATAATTATATAATACTCCTTGACAATTTATTGATATAACGAATTGAATACTAATGAACAAAACGTTGAAAAAAATTTTAATTTACCTCCAAATTCAACGATTATTGTTAACGAATATTCAATTGTTATTTATTTATTTTCTTTTAGTATGTTTACTCGTTAAGAATTTTGCCACCATTTCTCTACCTCGCCACCTGTCCTTATCTAAAACAACCTCTCTTTAGTCTTCAAATTCGAAGGATTTTAAATCTTCTACTACATCAAACCATCTTAACAATTGTTTTTAATTATCAAGGAATATTATAAAATTGAGTACGTAACCGCATAAAAAAATCAACTCTCATAGTCACACACTTATTTTGGCTTCAACGTATTTACACGGGACAATTCAATTGTATAGATTCTATTGTATTGTCGTATAGAAAATTTGTGAAGTTAATTTTAAATTTATAACAGTACAATATAATCGAGGACTTTGGTCATGTTAAAAGAATATTAAGAACATATTTTAATCTTTCAATCATTTACCTATTACAATTATACCATTACAAAATACGCGTCAAATTTCAAACATTCCTTATTTATACGTACATTTTTAAATTGAAAATAAAATGGAACTATTTATAATATGCCTACTCGGTTATAATATATACGGCGGGCCGTTTAAAGGGGCGAAACGTGCGCAGTATTATATATTACTTTTGCGAAGTAGTGAAATAATAATATATCGTTTTTGGCGTTTCGATAGGTTTTTTTTTTTTTTTTTTTTTTGTTGTATTTTGATGTGATTTTCTACCGCGGCGTCCTCTCGAACCGTATTTGCTATTCGAAATCCAAACGTCCGTCGGTATAGGTACAAAATAATATATACTCGTAAAAAAAAAAAAAAAAAAACCGAAAACAAAACAAAAATAAATAAATAAATGAATAAATAAATGAATGTAAAAAAAAAAAAAAAAAACCGAATGCATAATTTATGACTTGGATTATATACATTCTATATATATTTACTATACTGTATATATATAAATGTGTATATATATATATATATATACATATATATATATATTCACTATACAGTATACATATATATATATGGGAATGTATTTTATATATTATTGTTGTTTGTGTGTGTGCCGTATTTCGATTAGAGACACACAAAGCTGCGGAATACCCAATGAAGTTACGCGGGAGTGTCGGCGGAGATGTTTTGCATGTTTTGCTCGGCTAGACGCGGGTTCGGTTAGGCGGCATCGGCCGGTTAAGTTATACTTATAGACTTACCTCAGGTACAACACTATACGCGCCCAATATATTTTTTTCCCTTAACGTCCACCGGGCGTTTAGGGGGCCACAAATAAGTCTTATGCTTTCCCAGGCGCATAATTGATTTGACCCCTCCCCCCCGGAAACAGATGTACCTTACCTATACACCGCATACTTACTTATATATTGTATATTTTAAACAAAGTTTACGCACAACGACCTTTGTGTACCTATATATATATATATTTAATACAAGTATAAGTACATATACTACGCCGCAGTGCGTTAATGCCTTAATGGGAAACGGGCCAAATAACCGCGAAATGTGACAACTGGAGAAAGGGCAAACTTTTTTTTTTTTATTTCTTTTTTGGAATACCTTCCAAAAGCTCTTTTTTTTCGTTAAAAAGGTCATGTCGAAAATGTTTCCGATTCAACATTTTTATTTTTAATCATATAGATTCACGTCGGATTTAACATCACATTATTTCATAGATACGGGAATGTTATTATATTAGGTATACACGGGTACTGCTAGTCTATGTAGAAAAAACCAAAAATATAATATTAAAATGTAATGTAGTAACACGTAAAGTACAATATTTTATAGTAAACAATTATATAGATACATCGGACGGAAATAGTTCACGAAGATCAGTGTTATTAAAAATTTGACGTAGTTGGGTAAAAAATTATTTTAAGGTTTTTTTTTTTTTTTTAATTATAATATTAAATGATAATTTATATATTTGGCTCAAATGTAGTACCTTAAAAATACTGTACATCATTATTAGAAGACTGGTTATAATACCCATATATGGGTTATTTAGATACACTTATAGAGTATAATATTGTCATATTATAGCGATCGACAATGGAATAATAATATACTCATACTATTGTTTATTCCTGACATTTATTAAATATTTTCACAACATTTAATTTTCATATAATGTTATTGATAAGCCGTGCTAGCCGACAAATGGTGCATGGTAAATAATTAAAATTGCATGTTCAACGCATGTTATAGATAGACTGCACGACACGCAAAATTTGAATATCACTGTTGTATAATTTGTAAAAAAAAAAAAAAAATGGGTTTTCCCCAGAAGTATGTCAACCTTTGGCGTGCGATTTTTTTAAAATTATTTATTTAGGCTTGTTGCATGTACATATTTTTAAATATATCTGTATATACCTACCATACGAATAATAAAAAAAAAAAAAATATATAGTTTCTTAATAACATAATAAATAATTATTTTAAATTTAATATTATACATAAATACGTCATATTAATACATAATAGTTTATACACTTCGAGTAAATATCAATATTTTTCATTAAAAACAGAAATAACATTATTTAACATTCATTTTTTTTCTATTTTTATTATTATTAAAATAGCGTAGAAAATCATTAACATGTTGAGTATTTAAAACGTTTCGGTTAATATTTTCAAATAAATAATAATATAATATTACCTGTGTTTTCGATTTGTTCACCATTTCAGTGAAATATTATACTCGAAACAATATTATATTATGCATTTTAAAATTATAACCTAAAAAGTTTGAAATACTCAATTAAAAAAAAAAAATATAATATATGTATAAATATTAATTTTTTAAATTTATTATAGGACTTTACGTTAGATTTTTATTTCCGGCAATTTTGGACCGATCCCCGGCTGGCTTTCACGAAACGTCCGGGAGTAGAAACGCTTTCTGTGGGATCGGAATTCATCAAAAACATTTGGGTGCCCGACACGTTCTTCGTCAACGAGAAACAGTCGTATTTTCACATAGCTACCACCAGCAACGAATTTATAAGGATACACCATTCGGGAAGCATAACGAGAAGTATTCGGTAATAATAATAATATTATGATAATTATTTGCTGTATAATCGAGAGCCACATAATATATTATATTGTTATTATGTAAATGTATAAAAATATGTTATATTTATAGCAGACCCTGAAAAGTTTGTTAAAATTATAACCAAGTTCACGAATTTGTTAATTTTTTTTTAAATTAATTCGCTTAGGTTCAAATTTTGTAAATAAACATAAGTTCTTTAAAAGTTAATTTCAATATTGATTTCCATTAACTTTAATTTTACGTAAAGTATCAGTGATTTTGTTCAATATCATAATATTAGATTTGAAGTACATTGATTTACGTTAGTAATCTCAAGGGGGCATCACAGTGGAACTTGCGATCTCTGGTGAATTTCTCTAGCAAAACCGATTAAATTATTTGCTTAAATTCACAATTTATTATTTTTGAAACCCGAAATAAAAAAAAAAAGAAAGATAACGTACCCTATTAACGACTTGACCTTATTAAAAATAGTAACTTAAATAAAATACGAACTTAATTCACCTTTCGTTCATTATACAAAACTTGTACTTTGAACACGGACAAACGAGTTCACATGAACTCCATTCTAACTTCATTTCGACGTCTGATCTATAATTTGTGCACCTCAAATGTACGTACGCATCACAAATACAACTACACTAGCTAGATATTAGGTATTTCGCGAACTTAATACTTTCAAAGAGAAAAATCATAAAAAAAAAAATTTAAATTCAAAAATTATAAAAACCCTATACCAGCTGCTCTTTATGGGCTGAATAGATAAAAAGTAGACAAAGATCTTTCTCCTGTGTAAAATTCCAAAAATGCAAAGTTCATCAAGAACGGAATAATACTGTAGATTTTTACATAGAACGGATAAACAGACATACAGACAGAATTTCAGTTCCGAAAATATTTTCAATTTCACGGAGACAAACATAGAACCATGATAATATTTTTAGGCTTAAAAGACTAAAATTTCAAAAATATCTCCACATTTATCTTCCTTAATTTCAAAGTTTTCTCCGGCCTCCTTTTACTTACACTTTCCGGTGTCTCAAAACTATGGATTCAAAATAATCCGGTATATAATTTATGACGTTAATATCCCAGATGAACTCCCAGCACTACGAAATAGCAAGTTAGATTTATTTGCTGCAAGTGTAATGTATTAAGTTGCAATATGTATTACATAATATATTATTCTGCAATACGTAAATATAATACTCAGAGTTTTTGTTAAATTTAAGGACTTTGTAGTTTGTGTATTATTTATTATTACGGAACAACCGCTAAATAGCACGTCTAAGTGTCACATTTTTCATTATTACAATAAAATGTGTCTCTTCAACTGACCTCCAGCCTATAAAAACACGGCATTGATAATAATATTGTCTATCGATAATAAGTGCTCGTGCACTTTGGGCGAATGTTCAAATTACATTATTATCATTATATTATACACGCGGACCCCGTCGGGTGTAACCCGATACACGAGTAGTCCCCGAAGAACAGCACTACTTGTATTATATAATATAATACCTATAATAGCTGTATAATATTGACGGCACTATAATAACTTTTTGTACAATATGTTCGATGTTGTAGTTTGACAATTACTGCGTCTTGCCCCATGAACCTGCAGTACTTCCCGATGGACCGACAACTGTGTCACATCGAAATCGAGAGCTGTAAGTGTCTTACATATTAGTAACTATAACAATAATAAACAAAACGATGATAGTATACGAAATTCGTCAATAAAACGAAAAAAAAAAAAAAAAATGTAATTAATTAATTATTTAAATATTATATATTATCTATCTATTTGTATTATACTAATTGTTTCTTGTTGATTTCGGTGTCCTTCTACCCCATAAACAGCACTGAGTCACGTGCCCGAGGAGAAGGACCAGGCACATCGCACGACTACTAATTTTCACCCGCGGGTAACGAACGCGAACGAATATATTATATCGTCAGAAATATTAATTACATGTTTCCTTTGGCAATAATTATAATAATTTCTCCAAACACGCACCACACGACATAATAATTTAATATTACGATAATACAAAATCTGTAAAAGAAAACTTTTATTACAAAAGCTGCACAATTAAATGTATATTTTAATACATACACACACACACACACACACACAAACACACGCAACGACGCTTATCTATACAAACTTGCTATCGCGTAAATTTTCACGCGTCACACTTTTTCTTTGAGACGACTTTGAGTGACGTGTGACATTCTGTACTGATAATTTTTGTCACATTTTCACAGTCGGTTATACGATGCGTGATATCCGGTACAAATGGAACAGTGGTTTTAAATCGGTCGGGATTAGCAACGAGGTGCAGTTGCCGCAGTTCCGGGTTCTCGGGCACAGGCAGAGGGCCACCGAAATTAACCTATCTACAGGTAGATTGACATGACCTAACCATCACACGTGCGATTTTTTTTTTTTTTAACAATTATATATAGATTCGAACAATAACCATAATAATTGTTTACCTATGCGTATATAATAACGCGAAAGCCAAAGCTTATACTATTATAATATTATAAAGTCCCCTCGATCGTTAACGATACCTACAAAACTATATAGCGCGTGCCCGTGACGTGATGGGTGGGTCTTGAGCTCTAAAAACAGGTTTAAACGTTAGGGATGTGTTTGAATGATTTCCCAGTTGGTTATACGATGCGAGATATTCGATATAAATGGAATGAGGGACCAAACTCGGTGGGCGTCTCCAACGAAGTGTCTCTGCCACAGTTTAAAGTGCTGGGACATCGGCAAAGAGCTATGGAAATTAGTCTAACAACAGGTAATGTTTGGAAAAACAACTACTTCCGACGCAAGTATTGAATCTCTTGTATTATATTTATTAAATCAATCCCTACATATAAATATATGTATAACAAAATTAAAAAAAAGTTTTGTTTTAATAATAGCGTTTGTATCCGTAACCTATATTAAATGTATTTGTGTTTTGGAGTCGACGTATAGATGTTAACATTGATTATAAATACTACAGATCGCTCACTGGCCCGTTTTACGATGGGATTAAATAAAACTCTCGATGGATGGTGATTAATATGATACATGTATGAAGAATGTGACTTGTAATACAGTGACAGAGCAAGATTTTTTCAGCTTTTGTCCAGGGCCGACAATTTTTTGTGTAAAACTTGCATATTCATAATAGCTTTCAAGTTTACCAATGAAAATAATGTTTTATTGAAAAATTGTTGAACACAGTCCTTATCGACTTTATCACTCCCCCTTTTTTTTCCAACGGTCTATCGACGGAACGTTTTTTTTTGGTAATATTTTGCGCAGATTTACAATTTTTTTTTTAAGGATCTCATGTTTAGCAACTTTTTTTTGTGAACTATTCATACTTTTTATACTATTCATAACTTCTTGAGGACGCATAAAATCGATTAAAAACAATAGGTAATTTCTCATAGTTGGTGTTATTGATAACGATGGGCTGTTTTCCGGGAAAACTAAAGAAGACTATCTAAATTTGCCACTTTCATACGTACGTACCGGTGTTAATACTTTTAAAATACTTTGAAATTTTAAATGGAAGATACAGTTTGAGTTTGCACAAAAGAAATAAGCCAATGGTAAGATAATGCTGACGAGTGGATCACCATTATATCTGTAAGCAACTACAAACAATTGCAAATGAAAGACGATTCAGAGCGCGATTCGGTTATACTTACTAACATATTTTGAAAATAGTGCGGGTAACCACAGAAGTAAAATCGTGAAATCTTACAATTTTCTCTCGAATACTGTTTCGAAAAAACATGTTCGATATTTTTTAGCAAGATTTCTAGGAGAAAAAGTGCTTATACAGAAGAAAAATAAAAGAGAAAATTAACATCATTGTAAAACCAATACATTCCTCGCTATGCTCTGAATTTAAAATATTTTTGATGCATTTTAAAATACCTACATTTATAATATTACATTGAAAAATGTATTTTTTATAACAATTCAATGTTTCGATAGAATCTAGAGGCGTTAATTTATAAGTAGTTAAAAAAGGTATATTAAATTATATTTCGATCCCCATATATTATCTTAAAATATGTCTCTTTAGATCTTAGAATCTCTTTAGAATCTATTTAGATTCTGGGTGAAGCGAGGAATGTATTGGTTTTACAATGAGATATTTTTTTCAGCGAACAACTTATCTACCAGAAATTTTACTTTGATGTACGAAGTGTAGTTCCTTTTTGAAAGGAAATTTTTTCTAATTAGTGCAAGAGAGGTCAATTTTTGATTTTCCAAAAAGTTTTCAAAATACTTCGGAAAAACCCAAAAGAAAATTAAAGGTAAAACAGCAAACGTTGTGGCAACGTTGCGTCTCAAATTGATTATTTTAATTTTTGCAAACGATAATTTCTACCAAAAATCGAAAAACGATAAGTGATCAATTTTATTTCATTTAATATTTATCCACCGACAGAAATAATAATTTTTCAATATCTAAAGTAGTTTATAATAATTGGGAAAAATCAAAGAAGATGAAATATGCGATTTTTTTTTTTTTTTTAAAGTTAGGGTCCAACAATTTCATTATTTAAAATATGTAAGATTATATTTTTTTACCAGAAATCTGATATGATTCAAAATTAGAATATTTTCTGAAAGAAAAAGAAAATAGTCATTTTATTTTTCGTTTAATTTTTCTAATAACTACGAAAAACCAAAAAAATAAAAAATGTAGTTAATACGGTAAGGAAGACAGTATTTTGTTTTTTCGCTGTTATTCGGTAAACAATAATTATTGAATTTCGTAAATGTGGTAAAAAATTCTAGCTATTTTTAGACTATCTATAGGTATTTTATATTTTCGTATTTTTATATGTATTTTTGTTTGGTATCTGTTATTAAAATTATATGACTTAAGAGAAATGCTTGAAAATTTAACATGAGGTATATAATAAGTTGTAATTAGTGTTTTAAAAAATATACCACTAAATGAAAATAAAAATATTACCACTAGTAATAGGCAGTATTATTTGTAACAATACCCATTTATAATCAATTATAATATTAATTTCAATGCCGCGTGTTGACGAAGGCCGGTTAGAAGAGAAATGAATGCGACACTAGCGCAATCCGCCAATACTAACCGAGCGACTGCAGTGCTTTAAAGCGTTATCCGCCAATTGTTGCACCACCGAAAACCCGGCCAGTGAGCGATAAATAGTATTTATAATCAATGATATTAGTAAACATTAGAGATTATACTATACTTAACAAACAATATAACTCAATGCAAATATTATATTTTACTAAGCGGTTTTACCAATACAGTATCATAGTATTATATATAAATCTGACGAATCGGTTTTCACGTCCGCCTTTCATTTCCTAGGTAATTATTCGAGACTGGCGTGCGAAATCCAATTCGTAAGATCGATGGGCTACTATCTCATCCAAATATATATCCCCAGCGGGCTGATCGTCATCATATCTTGGGTGAGCTTTTGGTTGAACCGAAACGCCACCCCGGCCAGAGTCGCGCTGGGCGTGACAACCGTGTTGACCATGACTACGCTTATGTCTTCCACCAACGCTGCGTTGCCCAAGATATCGTACGTGAAATCCATTGACGTGTACTTGGGCACGTGTTTCGTCATGGTTTTCGCGTCACTTTTAGGCAAGTAAAACAAATTGCGACGCGATAACGCAGTGTAGTTTACTGGAATTATACGCTTTCAAATGGTTTTACGTTTTATTATCTCATGTTGGCTATGTAGAATACGCCACTGTCGGGTATATGGCGAAGAGGATACAAATGCGGAAAAATCGTTTTCTGGCCATACAAAAGATTGCCGAACAGAAGAAAGGAGTAGGAGTTGGAGGAGTAGGAGTGGGTGTGGGAGTAGGACACCATGACACGCACGGTCGCAGTCACTCGCACCTCTCGCATAATCATGGCCACGGGTCGATACAAGGTCACGGGACTTTGTCCGGTCACGGGACCATGTCAGGCCACAGTGCATTATCGCACGGTATATCGGGACACAGCATACCTGCTCACGGGACGATATCCGGCCACGGCTACGACGGCCACAGACTCAGTCACGGTGGCCACGGTGGCACCATGCCGGTTTCGATTATGTCCGGGGATATAGACCACGCGCACAGACAAACTGTAAGCGTCGTTGTAACAACAATGTTTTTTCCGACCCGTCTTCCCCCCCCCCGAATCTTTAATTTTCTTTATATAAAGTCGGATTTTCATAAGGACATAGTAATCGGCCGAGTTACTATAATAAATTGCTAAATCGAGTACTCAATCATATCTATTCACAGGTCAGTAAAATTGACTTATATTGTAAGTTCATATACATATTAGTAATGTATTTTTGTAAAAAATAAATTGAAAAAAACAGGTTGATCTAAATATTCGAAAATCGCACTTTGATCGAGTGATTCAATAAAACAGGAAATAGAAAAGGAAAAATAATTTGGACAAGAATATGAATTGAGATGTTCAGAGATTTCCTCTTGAGTTAACATGCAAAAGATGATGTGACACAGATCACACGAGAATGAGTCTCTCGACATTAAATACTTTATATTGTTAAATAGACACTAGGTAACAGTGTTAATTCATTGATAACGCATTTCACTAACGCCAGTGATGTCTAAATTGGTTTAGTATATAAACGAGTGCCACTAGTAGCACGTCGCACTCGGCTGAAAAAATAGAACCGTTTTTTAATAGCTCAACTAAAATATTTAATCTAAAATCAGCACTGGAATTATTACTTTATAATTGACCATATTTAAAACAACTTTAGCAATTTGTTTTAGTAACTTGCCTACTCTGCGTACTATCCAAGTGTAAACCCGGTATAACGTTATTCCCCCTCCCTCTAACTGATCCACGCAGTGCCCCTTGTAAGTGATTCCCGTTTGTTCCAGGAGGTACGATTCAAGGCTCACGATTCAAAGAACTATCTGAAAGGCGGTTCGTTGGAGAACACAATCAACAACCGGGGAGACGACGACATCACGCCGTTACCGCCGCAACATATTATGCATCCCAACAAAGATATAAACAAACTCTACGGAATCACGCCCAGCGACATTGACAAGTATTCCAGGATCGTGTTCCCGGTGTGCTTCGTTTGCTTCAACCTCATGTACTGGATCATATACTTGCACATCAGCGACGTGGTCGCCGACGATCTAGTACTGCTCGAAGCGGACTAGGCACGTTATGCGATAATTATTAAGGCTCACGGTGGTTTTCAGACTTCATTGACAACACTGTCAAAACGACTAACATAAAAACTACTTTTTATCTAGGTTTAGTAAAGGCTCAATGAAGTATACAACCCCAAGTATATATAATAATATGACGTTTAGTAGTTGAACTATTATTAATATACACAATAATAATAATAACGTAGGTTGGTACATGTTTAGATCTAGACAAAATTTGTATGTCTGCAGGGTCTTTCACGTAATTCGTAGGTTGCTAATAAACTACGCACACGAAATCAACCGAAGAAAATTTACTGAACGATAAAAAAACCCTTCGGTTTTAATGTTTTTTTTTCCTAACCTCCTTCCCCTTTTCCTCTTGAGATTTATTTTAACGCGTGAGTTATAATACACTTCCGACATTAACGTCTTACGTCTTTATCTATAAACATAGTATTAGACTGAAATGTAAGTATAGGTATAAACCGACATTTATTATAGTCCACATTTAGGTAGATATCGTCGTAATATACGAATGCCGGTTATCTCGAAGTAAAATGTTTTACATATTATTATACGGTTATTGCGTGTAGTGGAAATTTTCCCCGAGGTTTTTTTATTATTATTATTATTTTATATTTTATGTATCGACGGGATATAAATGACAATATTATAATATGTAGGTATCTTTAGGTATTATTTTACTTGGCGTTGTATTAGAGTTGAAATATTTATTAAAGTTACTTTATGAGACACCTATAATATACTATGATTACAATACTGTTATTCTGATCGATATTTTAGTGTTCGTTTATACATAAGATACTTATTGTTAGGGTATATTATTGCCGTTTTACACAAAACTTCGTCAATATCGATTATATATTTTCTATTCGCAAAGATTTCGCATTATACGCGTACAATATAACTATAAAGTTTTTTTTTTCCCCAAGCAATTAAAAAAAATAAAAAAAATATAGCGATAGAGTAAGATAAAGTACTTCTTTTTCGTCCGACTTTCAGTTTTACAATGCACGTTAACGCAAAAATATGACGCTACACTTATTATATATTATATTATATTATTGTATTATAAAAAAAATTGGTTGTGAGAATTTCGGGAATAATAATAATTATATTAACCGATCGGTATAAATTACGCGTTTTTTAAACTTCTTCCACTCTTACCCTTGCACAAAAATCTTCGACTATACGATATAATATTTAATCGTCATTCAACAAATATTTTAATATTACGATTATATTATTATAACATTATATACTTATTACGATGCCGATTATTATCGTTATTATTATTATTATTGATAAATAAATAATAATAATAACAATAATAATAAAAAGTTAACTATTTGTAGCGTTTTATACCAAATGTAATAAAAAAAAAAAATTTAAATAAACTTGTAATATAAAACTGAAGTGGCATATTCGTATATTATAATAATTACAATACATGGATATTTGAAATTTATTTATTATTATAGTTAACATTTCAGAGTTGTTTTCATTGAAAATGAATAGCTCATTCGATTTTAACTCGTATCTATATAATATTATAATATTATATGATTGTAGGTTAAATTAAAAAGGAACAAAAATTAAACAGATAACGCAATTATTATTATTATTTTCGATTATTGATTTTTTTTTCACCCATAAGAAGGGACACGATTTTGATTTCTTAAAATTATTTTTATAATAAATGACAAAACTATAATAAATACGCATGTACAAAAAAAAAAAAAAAAAATTAAATTAATTATAAAATTAATTATTATATAATATTACGATATATAAATTGAAATATTTTATATAGGACAGAATATACATAATATACATTATGAATACTTTTTTACAACACTTTTAGTGATAACGATATCATTGTGTTTACTGGGGGTTGGTGGCATGTCGAGACTCCGACAGCTCTCCCGTGAGTATTCTGTCAACATAATAATATTTTATTATTAAAACGACCTTTCACTTTTACGATTTATAATAATAATAATAATAATAATCATACAACCACCTAGCCACTAAAAAACATATTGTATTAGATATTTAGTTTTGATTTCAACGTTTATCGTTATTATGTCTCATCACAGCAATTCAAGAGACAATTTATTTTCGTCTCCCTTTCGGGACTCGTTGAGAATTTCCCCTGATTATTTTTCAGTATAATATATATTGTTCCGTTTTGTTTTTAAAACGTCCGTGGTATAATATTATTCAGTCGGGGTCTCAACAGTTCCACACCACGACCGGTCGATCATCCATCTAAATTATAAAAAAAAAAAAAAAAATAATAATAACGATACAAATTGATAAAAAAAATATATTATATTATAATTTATCTTAAGGGTATAAAAGGGACATGACAGTGGCCAGTCTTGGGCTAATTATACACTAACTCTTAGATGAAAAAACACTTATACCGATAAGCCTATACAATTTCATTTATTTTAATTAACACACACTTTTTAAAAGCACTTTCAAATAATATTGTGATTCGCACATTTTAAAGATATAATAAAAGTACCTAAATTAACAAATTATCGATGCCGTGTTAGATTATAATAGGATGTAATACGCATTTTGTATAAATAAGAAGCGTTTGTACGTGCATTTTAATTTAAAAAAAAAAAAAAAAAAATTGACTTCCTTAGAATATTAACGGAAATAAAGTGGTAGTTTTTGGAAACGTATATACACAGTAAGAACTACCGTCGAATATTCTAAATCTTGTTAGATTTAAACAAAAATAATAATAAAACATCTATATAAGAAAAAATTGTTATTATTTTAAGGTTTTTATTTTTAGTTTATCGTAAGTTGTTTTGTTTTATTTATTATATTATTATTATTACCTTGATCACTTGTTTACCACCTGTTTGTATTCGCTGTTAGTTAAAAAAAACAAAAAAAAAACAAAACAAATATATTATATGTTTACCCTTGTTTTCATTTTGAAAAAAAAGTGTTAAAACACTTTGATTTTAATATGTTTATTAATCATTATTATTATTATTATTATCTTTTGGTGCTTCCGTTCTTTATGTTAGCATATTATTATTATATTTTATACGAACTGATATACAATATATGTTTACACATATTTCTTATATATTGTACACAATATAATATTATAATATTATATCCAGTTATACTTGTCTGAGACGGACAATGTGTAAAAACGGAAAATCGAACGGTCCCAAAATTGAATTTCACGCGTACACGACGGGATTAATTAGTCGGGGTTGGTGTTATTTCGGTCAATTATAAGAGGGTGTGAACATTTTGTTGGGTCAATTTCCACTGAATCGCCAGTCACCAGGCCATTGTTTAAAAAATAATAATTGTTGAAATTTAATATTATGCGATTGAAAAAAAATTGTCAATAAAAAAAAAAAAATAATAATAATAATAATGATAAATTGAATAACCAAGTCCGGATGACCACGGCCGTATAGTATCGACAGAATATCGAGGCCCGTATAATTATTAAAGACACAAATCGCAAGGAAATGTGATTGTACACAGTGTCTCCCCTTTCCAAATGACCCCCCCCCCTCATTAACACTTTTGTAAAATGAAAACCTGCACGGCAATGGAAATATCAATATTCCATTTCTCCGAGTACCGTTTTAGACCGTTTTCTCACTGTATTTCATGTATATTATATTATAATAATATGTTTGTACTACATGATGTGTATTCGTATATTTTATATTATTATTATTATTTACGTCATCGGTAATATTATATTTTAAGTTATATTATTATATATTATATTATTATACGTTTAAGTCCTATTATAATAATATTACGATGTATATCTGCAGTGTAAGATTATAGAATTTATAGTCTACTAATCTCACTGAGCTCAATAAACAAAGTGAAGCAAAACTCTGCGTGTGCACATGTGATTTTCTTTGTCCGTCTTAAGCGGGGATGGCTCAATTGGACGTATTGTGTGAAATATACTTTACTGATCAGCTCCTAATATTATCACGGTAGATAAATTTTGATCGTGTCTATACCGATACTTTACCAGAAGTGTCAGTGGTGGTCAAATGATTTCGTCATTGGATGTGGGGGGGGAGATAAGCTTAACCTTTTTAAATTTTTTTTAGATTCTGTGTGGAGCAAGGAATGTATTGGTTTTGCAAAGATGTTTATTATTATTTTGTTTTAATGTGAATACTTTCTACCAGAAAGCATATTCCGATTATAAAGTTTAGCACCTTTTCTGAAAGGGAATGCTCTCTGAGTGGTACTTTAGGGAGGTTATTTTTGAAATTGTCATTTATATACGAGACAATGAGGAAAATCTGGTTCTTTACGTTAAAAAATATTGAAAGATTAAAAATAAGGTTGTCATTAGCAACCGTTTGTATTTATTTTTTGTTATTATTAAGCTTTCATTATTTTATAAATCTTTTTTTAAACAATCATGGTTATCATGGAAACACACATTGTTGTAATCATTTTACTATAATATAACATAATATGTATTGTTGACAAAGCAACACTATCAACTGAACTCCACTCAGAATCGTTTTTTCGTTAGCAATGGTTTATCGTTGCTTACAGGTGTACATTAAATTCCCGTCTGTATCATACCTTCCCAAGTTCTCACCTACAAAAATAACTACACCCACGTGCGATGTATATCCTCCTGTCCTTTTTTTTTTTAACAATAATTATTATTAATTTTTTATTTTATATATTGAAGCGAAATGAATCATAGGAGGATATATATTTTATTTTTATCCCCTCCCGTTTAACCGGCCCTGTCAAGAGTAGAATACATTTAATTGGGAGTCGTACTGATTGTCATAGTGTAGACCGAGTGCTAGATGTATCTTATTAGCAAATTATTTTACAAACAAATCTAAAAATAATTCAATTTCAGACGACACGACGAATTGTGAACTTCGTTTCACGGCAGTTCTTCCTACAATATATATATACAATTTTTTTCTCGTTACCTCTTTATAAATCCACCGTATTGTGTTTTTTTTTTTTTTTATTTCCACACATGATCATAGCTGCTTTTTACTATTCATGTTATATATTATACGTATGGGCATTGTACATACGTTTTACATAATATATATATACATAAGGATATATATATTTAGGTAACCAGAAACGCCGATGATAAGAGGTCGACGTACCGGTGTTTACACGTCAATATGATAGTGCAGTATTCAGAAATATTATATCTAGTGCAATTTGATATTGTTGACACGAGACCGCAGCGGGTCGTATTAGGAAAATCAATTATAATTCAATGCTTTTCGACATACTGTGTGAACATATAATATTATATACCCTCAGAAAGACTATTGATCAACTATATGCGTTTTATCTACTTTGGAACTTTTTTTCAAAGTGCATAAATCATATTAATAATAGTATATTATGACAAATGTATAGTAGGTAAATAATAGGTAGGTACACGAAGAAAATTAACTATTCAAAGACGTAGGTACAGGTTCTGAGAAAATTTTGTTTTTACATTGAGTTGTACTCGAGATATGTAAATACTATATATCTACAAGTACATTTATAAATTGTTGTAAAAAAAAGTTTATTAATGGTTTTTTTTTTTATATATATATATATATATATAATGTAAGGTAATTTATTCAAGAAAATCAAATAAAATAACAGAAAATACAAATTTACATGTATATATTTTGATTGAATTACTCCGAAAAGAATGGTCTATTATATATTGAAGGTTACTAGTGCAAGTTACTCGTTATCAAAAGTTAAAAAACAAAGCTTAAAACAAAATATTAAATTTGAATTCCTATAAAAGGTGAATTTTCTAAACAAAACTATAGTTTACAAATTAAGATTTTTTATCAAGTAATAAAACATAATTGTTTTATATATGTGACATATGTTACATATGTGACAGATTTAAAATAATTAAATTTTTTTTTTTTTTTAAGTTGGCATACAGCTCTAAATTTGCTATAAACACACCGACCCCTTAATCCCCAATATATTGGATCTTGAAATTATTGGTTGCAAATTTTAAAAATATGGTTGCAAATATTTGCAAATCAGTTGCAATATAATTGCTTTAGTTTGCAATCGATTGGCCGATATGGGGGGACCTACGTGAAATTGGCCCCCCTCTAATTAAATCGGTTTGGTTGCAAATATCTGCAAATTAGTTGAAAAATAATGACACAATTTTTGAGTTGATACGTTTATGTCGGGAAGGGGAAGGGGGCAACTTCACGCACATCAAAACTTAATAAAGGTGTTAAAATGTTTAATAATTTTATGGGTAAGATTTTATTAAATTTGTATATTTGTATAGTTGTATATATTAAAGCTAATCGATCTTAAACATAAAACTAAATTTTTAATATGTGCATTCCAACGCAGATAACAATCTAAAATAAAAAATCTCCAAGTACATAATTCCATTTACACTCAATTCTTATTTTCTAACAGTTATAGCAAATATAACTTGATTAGGTCAAGTATTATTTTATCTTTATTAATAAAGACTATAATAATATTATATGCATTATCATATACATTTGCATACGTACATATATTTATTACATTGAAAGGTAATTATGATAAATATAATTTTTTTTTTTTTTGTGGGGGGAGATAAAAGGTATAATTTAAAAACATTTCATCCCCTCCAAAGACATCACCAAATTATACTACTGCAAAGAACAACATTTTTAAGTTATATTAATTATTTTTATTATCATCTAAATTACTGTCTAGGTTGACACTGTGCTGGTAAAGTACAATGTCCCAACAGCGTAGCCATCGCAAGAGGCTGGTCTGTTTTTTTTCCCAGTTTATTTGTGAGCCAACTTAACGAAACACTGTCAACAAAAAATAAACATAATATGTCAATTAATAACAGCATTGCGTAATTTATAATGTAATAATATATTAGATACCATACACAAGTGAAATCGATGAGGTAGATGGGAAAATTAAATAATTTAAATTGCAAATATACTTTATAAACTAGGTATTTTTATATACTACACGTAATGTGCAGCTATATGTGTTTTTATAATGCATAAACTATTATTTGTCAACTATCATCCTAAATAATTACAAACGTGTTTTGAATTACTTCCAAATCGGTATTAATTTGGTACTAAAGTGAGTACCGGCTTTAACCAGTCGTTTGGACCGTCGACACAACTGTTTTACTTTTACACAATTCACCGAAGTTCCGTTCACAATCGGCAACATTATATTGTCTAAGGTCGACACCACGACCCATGATAAATCATTGATTTCCAAAATGTCTTGAGTAGTACCATTAACGTAGTCCTGTATATCTCTGCCAGCTGTTGGCTGAGAGTTCATCAACAGTGTCGCTCCCGGTTGAAACTGAAATGTCCACGAGCACGATTCAGACTTATCGAATTCACAAATTAATACTTACCCAATATTTACCTTCATCGCGTCCATTACGAGATTTATGGCGAATGTACCGAACCCCAAAAACGCAATAGCGGTTAATGTCAGGTCGTATAAGTCCGTTGCAGTGAGTCCCGAATTCGTTGTTTCACCTCCATCGTTATTAGTATTCCTCTCGGCATTTGTGAGTTGATTGGATTTAGTCAATGTTTCAGCATCTCGTGTCGTAAAGTCTGAGCCTATATTTCAAATACTTTTATTACATTTTCATTTCGATTTCAAGGAATTTATATTTTATAGTTTTATACACAACAAAAGTAATATAACTAAATTTAAAAACGAAGTTTACAATATTTAATAATTTGTGACGAACAATAATTTTACGGAAAATTAAATGGAATAATTGTAATCTGATAAAAACCGTTAAGTACAGTGTCTTATTTTATAATACTTTAAAATAATTATACTATTTTTAATATTTTTAAAATTATTTTAACGTTATAATTTGTAGTTATTTTTTAAGTGTGTTAATATGACTGCCGACTTTGTACCTTTTTATGGATACGAGTGTATATAGTGTGAGGAATAAAACATATTTAAGCGGTTATTTCACATCCCTTCACAAAAATTACAGTATGCATCTAGGTCAGGATTTCCAAAGTGTGTCTATTAATTTAGACATTTAGTTAACATAAACAATAATTTAGTTAATGAAAATCGTAGATAAAAAAAATATATAATAAATATAATTCTCGCTGCGCTCTGAAACTAAAATAATGATACAAATCCTTTCGATTCACATGTAATTTTTCTGACTTTTAATAAACTATTGTAATTTGGAAAAATAGTTAAATTACCCGATTGCAAATTTTTTAAACAAATTATATTCGTGTGTTGTATTTACTAGGTTCGGTAACCGGTGAGACCACGGCTGCGGATGGTTGCCAGTAATATAACGGAGGATAGCTGTACGACGGCGACGATGGTGTTCCATATGATGACGGTGGTGTTCCATACGATGTCGGTGGTGGTGGTACGTACGGCGGCGGTGGTGGTCCATATGGTAGCGATGGGGGAGGCGTATCTGGGGGCAAAGGGGGACCGTAAGTTGGCAAAGAGGTTCCATACATTAGCGAAGAGAGTCCGTACGTTGGCGAGGGGGGTCCGTAAGTTTGAGACGGTGGGGGCGGTCCGTACGTCACTGTAGGGTTTCCATACTGAGATGGTGGCGAAAGCGACCCGTAGGAAGACGGGAGTTGCGGTGAAAATTGTGTAGAACTGGAATGTTGCGGTTTATTATGCTCATTTTTGTTTTCACCTTCGTAATACTGCGACGATTGACTTTGTGTGATGTCCACGCTAACTGTTTCGCTGGGGCTCGATAACGAATCTAAACCAAAACATACAAATATTCACTTTAAAATATTATGCTAACAGCAATAAAAAATACCAATTCGAAATAATTAATGGGTTGCAAATTACAAAATTTTCAGAACCCCATATGTACCTACGTCACCATTTTCTTCTAAAAATAAAATACCTGTTCATTCTTTTTCTTAAAAAATGATACTTTACATTTTTTTAAAAACATTGTTTCAAACCTGTTCAGTGGGGCCCATTATATTTTCGAAGAAATTAACAATAATAATAATAATAATAATAATAAAAAAAACCTAAAATTACGTATATTTTCTTCGGAATATTAAAATAAATTTTAGTAGTCATAACACTTTTTCTGAAAGGAAATGTGACTAGGAAGGTACGTTAAGTAGGCCCTTTTTCGGTATTCTCAAGTTTTCTCAGCAAATGTAAAAAAAAAACTAGAAAAAACATGGGATACCGGGAAAAACGGGAAAATTGGAAAATCAATATTAAACAAATATTATTAAAGAAAATATATGATGCCTATTTTATTATTTTACTATAATGTGACATAAATATTGCTGAAAAAGCATCACTGAATTCCGTTCAAAATCGTTTTTTCGGTAGCAATGGCTTATAGTTGCTTACAGATATACATTGAATTCCCTTCTGTATCCTATCTCCCCAACTTTCCATCTACAACAGTGGCTGCACCTATCCCCATTATCCTAGGACAGCTTTTTTAGATAGTATTTTTAAAATATTCGAAATACATTTGGTAAAGTATTCAGAATATTTTGGGAATACTATTGTTAAGAAGTATTCCAATATAAATTCTGAATAATTTTTTCAGTATGTATTAGAATATGTACTATTAATACATTTTAAAAGTATTTTACCTATGATTATTCAGATGTAACCATTCAGAATATTTTCATACAATCAATTTTCAAAAATCAAGCTCTGGAATGCTCTAGATTACATTTTGTGTATAAAATAAATTGATCACCAACAGCTTTTATAGACATGACAACTTTTAATAATATGCGGTTTGTTGATTATCTTATTTTTGTATTATGATTTATAATCTGGCCATAAATAAAAATCAAAAAAAAAACCTAATGTTCAAATCTACTCTCGATTTATTTGTAGCTTCCACGGTTTTAACAAAATTGTTAAAATCATAAGTTTTTTTTTGGTGTTTAAGAAATTGTTTGATTCAGCAGAAATTTGATTAGAGTTTATTATACAGAGTACCCCACGAAGATATTAATTCCCATTGCATTATTTCTTGAGATAATAAAGATAAATAAATTATGTTTTTTTATATATATTACTCACAGAAATAAGGACTACAAATATTATATTTTAATTTAATTTTTATGTTTTATTAAAAAAATTAAAAAATATCTTTGTTTAACTTTTTTCTTGATATTTCACCCCAAATATTTTTATTCTGGGTTTGGACGATTATCTTTACGTAATAATAACGGTTTTTAATCCTATCATGTTAATGGGCTCGACACACTATGTGTACATATTGTAATATTATGTCGCAATTTGTTTTTTTTTATGTATTTTTATTCTCCTACACCTTTATTGTTTATTTTTTTTTACATATATATATTATGTTATAATTGTTGTTGCATGCATGCTATCGGTGTGCAACACTAAACATACTAACACAGTTTACATACGTTTGAAACATTTTTAGTTACTTAATTTACGTTTAAATTTAAAACTGTTCGTTAAACTATATAATAAAGGTATAGTGAGTATAAAGGTATACCTTCTTCCGGTTGTTGAGGTTGTTTCAAATCGTTTGCGATATCTGAGTTTTTTACAGTAACGTCATCATGTTCTGCGGAACCTAGAAAATAATTATTCAATTTATACACGGACATACATTCGAATAACGGTTAATTATATAATTATATAATAGGATGGATATAGGCACCTACTGTCGTTATAATATTTCGATGTAAACCCAACAGGGTTTTCTTGCGCTTTGATATTCAAGTCGTACTCGTCGTAAATTCTTTTTAATAGTTTAGTTCTATAAAAAAAAACATGAAAACAATTTGTCCGCAATTAAATTACTATAGTTTTTTCAGTGCACATACTTGATCAGCCATGTATTATAAGCCGAAGAACCTTGATCCGTCTGCATTGTCATCGTTTTACTTACACCAAAATTATCTAACGGCATTGAACGGCTTTCGGTCGATACATAATAATCGGTACCGTCTGAAATGTCTTTTAATATTCTGTCAACGATGAATTGCCGGCAGAGATAATCGTTTATCTTTTCTCTACAACAGTATTTCTTTTTGTTACCATAAGTTAATTAAAACTAGAATCAATTATTACATTAAAACAGACCAGTGATTCCCAACATAAATGATACTGCCCATTTGTGAGCTTAATTTTGAAAGGGGATTTATACTTGATGACGCCCTAAGAGGGAGGAAGAGGTTACTTTACTTTTATTATACAAATTTTTCGATATCATTATAAACAATTATATTATTATTAAATAAATAAAAGCGGACTCGACTCATAAATTATTGCAGTGAAATGTATAACTGCTTAAAACAAAAAAAAAGATGTCCTAAGGTAATTGGAACGAGTGTAGTCACTGTTATAGATAATTGAATGTAAATCTGTAAGCAACAATAAACTATTACTTACGAAAAAACGATTCTGAGCAAAGTTCAGTTGATAGTGATGCTTTGTCAACAATATATACGCCAGTTTATAGTAAAATAATTAAATAAGCTTTATATATTTTTTTTAATAATATATATTTAATGTTGTACTAAGTTTCCCAATCTACCTACGTTTTTCCCGGTTTTCCTATAGTTTGTTCCGAGTTTTCACATTTGCTGGAAAAACACTTGGTAAAATCGAAAAATGAACGATTTAAAGTACCTCGTTAGTGAAATTTTCTTTTAGAAACATGACTATCATAAAATGTTAGAAAAGTTGTGCACAGGAAAAAAAATCGTAATATTTTAATAATATATTTCTTAAATTTTCCGTAGAAGGTTTTTCAAATTTGATGAGAAAACTTCTGAGGAAATTGAAAAATGACTTCTTTAAGTACCTCCTTATGTCTATTTCCTTTCATAAAATGTATTACACGTTGAAATCCGAGCAATTCTCCTGATAGAAAAGTTGTGCACAAATAAAAAAAAAAATAAACATCTTTGTAAAACTAGAAGCTTCTTTGCTCCACTCAGAATTTAAAACACTAATTTTATTATTTATACACATTAAATAGCAGCAAAATGGAAATAAAAGCTTTAATATTATCGTATCGATGCCTATTAACTTCGTTTGATCTACTATCATACGGATATTTTCGGCAGTCGTATAATTGCATTGAATACACAAAGTTATAATATAATGTCCGAGAACAAAAATTTTAGAAAATATTTATTTTTCACTTTAATTAAATGGCTGATTTTAAAAATTAAACTATAATTATCTTTTTTAATTTATCGGGGGAGGGGGGGCGAAATGGTTTGAGTTTTTAACAATCTAAAAGGGGCGTTGTGTAACAAAGGTTGAGGAACACTGCATTAGGCGATATGTTATGTTTGACCGAATCATTATACAACTTAAATTGTAATTTATTTACCTAACGAATTTAATTCCTAATTTTTATAATTCTAAGTAGTGGTTAAAGTGGGAAAAATTTTGAGAGGGGACTGTAATCACCGAAAATTGAAGAGCGTTCCTGAGTACTTATATCCCACCAAACTATTTTAATAAGCCCACGAGGTCTAAACCTTTATCATTTTTTTCTCATAGATCCTTGTTCATAAAAATGTATTTTAAAAGGTTTTTAAAATATATTTTAATCTAAAAAAAATGATCCTATACTTATTATGCATTTATGTATTATTTATTTATTTATTTGCTCGGCAAAAATAATAAATAACAATTCATAGCCTCAAATTTAAAAAAAAATATATTTAAATTTTAAAGTTGTTTTAATTTTAATTGCATAGGTATACAATAAAATAGTATAACGTATCAACTTATCTACTGAGCTATCTATTAACTTATCTACTTGTATTACTTATAACTGATAAAAAATACACCATGGATATCACCGAAAACAAAAAAACCAAAATATGCCAACTTATATTAATAATTAATTAGGATGAATTACAATTGTCATCATGACTATAGATCATTATTTTCTATCATAGTCATTCTTAATATCGCATCAATTTTATTGGTACAATAATATTGTGTCGTTGCTTAACTGGTTTATTTTCACGGACGGTCCGTGTGCGCGTTTATCAGATTATCTATACACGAGCAATAGGGTATCTATAGATATCTAACTATAATTAAATATAGCGTTTATATTAATAAATTATTAAAACTAATGTAGAATGTGAATTTAAAAAAAAAAATGTTTTGTCAAGCGTCCCCCGGACTTGGAAGACTTATATTAAGGAGGGTGCATTATCTTAAAATAAATAATAAAGGCGATTCCATCACCTTTCGCCTCCCTTCGCAATTAAACCACTGATTCTAATTAAAAAAAAAAAAAACTACACTCTTCGTGTAGAATACTGCTTATGGATTGGTCACTCTTGTAGGTGGGAAGTTCGGAATATGTGACGACTAGGATAGTAGGGTACATGGAGTAGGAGTAAACAATTTAAAAGCAAGACAACATCAAACTTGGCGCGACGTACGTGGATGAGAAGTTAGAAAGGTAGCAGAGGGAAAATATAATGTATTTTATATATGTAAGTAACGATAAACTATTTCTAACGAAAAACGATTCTGAGCGGAGTTCAGTTGATAGGGTTGCTTTATTTACAATATATATGTAATATTATGATAAAATACTTATATAATATGCACTGTATATTTTCTTTAATAATACTTGTTTTACCGTTTTTTTCCTGGTTTTTCTAATTTGTTAAGAAAATCAAAAAATGACCTTCCTTAAGTACCTCTCCAGTTCGATTTTTTCAGAAAAGGTGCTACACTTAAAAAGTTGATCACAGAAAAAAAAAAGTAAACATCTTTGTAAAATCATTTGCATCTTCGCTCCAAAATTTAAAATGATTTTAAAATAAAGTAGATTAATAGAATGATTAGAAAAAAAACAGAAATAAAATTCATTAAAAATCCTCTGAAATAATAATTACTGGTTCATGATAAAAAAAATCACCTTGTATATATATAGGTTATAAATAGAAATATATAACCTGATATATATCAGGTTAAGTTAACCTTATCATACAGAGCCAATGAATGAACCATAAATAAATAAAAAACTAAATAGCTGACTATCAAAAATGTAAATAAACCAATAACTATTTCGTCTCAGGTGAACACAAATAAACAAGGAATTCCTCAACAAAAAAAGTATAGGAATTTCAGCATAATTTTAAATTCTGAGTAGAACGAAGAAGCTTATATGGTTTTACAAAGATGTTTATTTTTTAAATTTTTTATCTTTTATTTTTTATGCACAACTTTTCTATAAGAAGACTTGCTCAGATTTCTAAGTATAGCACCTTTTCTGAAAACAAATTGGTGTAAGGAGATACCTTAAAGAGGTCATTTTTCGATTTTGTCAAGAGTTTTATCACTGAATTTGAATAACCGAAAAAAACGGAAAAATTTAGGAAATATATTACGAAAATATTGCGATTTTTTTTTCCTGTTCACAACTTTTCAACTATCAATTTCGCTCCAATTGTTAATGATAGCAATGTTTCTAAAAAGAAATTTCACTAGAGACGTATTTTAAAAAAGTTATTTTTCGATTTTATCAGGAATTTTTCCAGCAAATGTGAAAAATTGGGATAAAACATGGGAAAACTGAGGAAAACAGAAAAACTCAGTACAACATTAAAAAAATATTATTAACGAAAATATATAATGCCTATTTAATTATTTTACCCTAATATGACATCTATATTCTTTAAAAAGCATCACTATCAACAGAACTTCGTTTAAAATCGTTATTTATATGAAATGGTTGATATAGTTCATTATTTACAAGTAAACATTAACAAATTCACAGTGTAATACCTAGTTACGATATATAGTTAGAAAATGATCTCTTGAAAAATTTTCAATTTGTATTTATCCTGTACTGTGACAGTATAAATTATAACAACATATCATTAAAAAATATAAAAAATATATATTGCAATTATAGGATCATAAATATTGTAAACACAAATTGTACCTGTGGAAATTCATCGTCACTAATGCATTTTTCAAATCTCCTTCGGTCACCGTGGTGGTGTCAGTACGGTTTTCACCGGGAATTGAACTATTTATCATATCGGGTAAGCCCAATCCTTCAAACACCAGAGCTTTGGGAAAAATTTGACACCATGTACTAGTGGCCAATAATAATAAAACGACGTACACTACGAGTGACATTTTTAAACTGGCTGACACGACAATACAGATAAAGAGCTAACCAGAGACGATTAGTGCGTTCAACAACCGGTAAATCTAAACCAGGCTGTATGGTTAGATGAGTAAAATTAACATAGAATTATTTTAATACGTTAGAATATCAAATTTAAAATATATACAGAACAAGCTGAATTAAATATTTGAACGGTTTATACCTAAGCATATAGACGGATTTTCTCATTTATGATTAAGTATTATACAATGAAACATATTGAAATAACAAGCCATACACGTTGGATACATATCTGTATTCTTACCTGTAAATTTCGAGTAGGTTTATGCACATAAATACATTTTACCAATTTTCCAATTTTTTCTAGGTTTTTCCATGTTTTCCAATGTTTTATCCCGATTTTTTACATTTGCTGGGCAAATTATTGAGAAAATCGAAAAATGACTTTTTCTAAAGTAATGATGAAGAATCTTTAAGTAATTGTACCACATTTCTTTGACCAGATATTAACAGTTCATTTTTTTAGCAGCTCATACAATTTCCGAAGAAGTTATTATAGATTCGATTTTACGTATCTGCGATATTCCCAAAAATAATAAAAAAAAAAATTGGTGGCCGACCTTTATTTCCAGTAGTTGCAGAATAAGACATTTTATTTTTTTTTAACGGCATTTCAAAAATTTTTTTTTAATTATATAGCATTATTTTTTAAAAAATAAATTATAGTTTCTACTTATTTTGGACCATTTTTGCACTACTATTAAACAAAATGTCACGATTTATTAAAAGAGAAAAAATAAATAAAAAAGGATTAACCGGAAAAAAAGTACGATCTTTTCATAATTCCGTTATTTTAAATAAGTACCTATCATGTTTTCTAGTATAAATAGAATATAGGCTCTAATTGAAAAACGACTAGAAACCTTTTTTGTTGATTTATTAATCTTGTTTATAATGATGCCGTTCTTTTTTTAGATTTTCGAATTCGTTTTCATATTAATCAGAAAAAAAAGTAGGAAGGCTAGGTTAAAAATAATTGTGGCACTTCATATTATATATTACCGAACTACGCTTGGAATCGTCTTTCGTCAGCAATGATTTATCGTTGCTTCCCCACTACCCATCTACAACAGTGGTAGGACTCATCCCCAGTATCAGCTCTTTTTTTAGATTTTATTTGGTTCCTATGTATTGTTTGTATAAAACGATTTGTCTAAACAGAAATGCTTAACAATATACCACGAGGTTCGTTACAAAATATACTTATTGGTGAAAGAAAATTTTGTATAACACTAAACATTTTAATAGTTGTAGACAATTTTTTTTTTAAGCAGTATAAGGTCAAATTCTGACAAAAATTATTCTAAAAATTATGGTATTTCAAAATGTGTGTAACCTCATTGCTATATTTAAAAAAAATGTTTTGTTTTTTAGTTTTAATTAGGTTTTATGTGGATAAACCGAAACGTTAGAACATTTTACTATAAGTTTATCGTAAGTTGTATTTATTCGTTCAAAAAAAAATTCAGCATAATGTAGGTAGTTGTTTGTTTTTTTTGTACGCACTAAAAATTTAAAAATTGCAAAAATTGTAAAAATAATGCGGCGTTTCAAATGTTTAACGGAATTTTGATCATAATCATATTTGTCGGTAATAATTTATCATTGCGTAAAGATATAAATTAAATAAGTTTGACTTTGTTTATTCAATATTTTTAATATTATTTAAACTACTACGAATAGTGAATTTGGTGAACACATTTTTTTTTTGCGTCGAATTGCTATTTTAAAATTTAAGAGTGACATCATGGTATCCACCAGGTCGCTGTCAGGTTATTCGAATACAAATATTTTTATGAGGTGCTCTCATTAATTTATTTATATAAATTTACAACTTTTAATACTAATTTGTTAAAAGCACCAAATTTTCAATAGAGTTACATAGAGTTTTATTGAGTTACATCAACTTGTCTCTTGGAAGGTCATTTTAGTTCTTTAGTAAACATTTGTGGTGTACGTTATAGTTTACCCAGGGCCACCTTCGCATGCAATGTTTTTCACCCTTTTTTTGGAACAAGAATGAAAAATAAAAAACTTTTTTTTTATTCTGAGTGAAGTGAGGAATGAATTGGTTTTACAACGATGTCCTTTTAATTTTCTGTGAACACCTTTTTTTTAAAAAAATGTTGCTCTGATTTTCAAATATAGCACCTTTTATGAAATGAGATTAGATTGAGGTAGGTTCATAATGTTAGTAGACGAACATTGAGCACTTATTTTCTTTCTAGTATTAAAATTTAGTGCTGAATTAATGCTGGTGAACGGTAAAGTTTTCAAACATAGTCAGGAAAAAAGAAGACCGTAATACTTTTTAACTAATACCTACATTTCTTATATTTTCTTGTTTTTCCTCGATTTTTTTTTCGGTTTTTCAAATTTGATGAGAAAACTCATGAGAAAATCGAAAAATGACCCTTTTAAAGTATCTTTCCAAACCAATTTCCTTTCAGAAAAGATGCTTAACTTAAAAATCTAAGTAATTCTTCTGGTAGAAAAATTAGGTACAGATAAAAAAAACAAAAATAAACATCTATATAAAATCATAAGCTTTTTCGTTACACTCAGATCTAGAAAAGGTGCGTGACTCATTAATTGTTAAGACGTTCATTTCGTCTTCTGTAGGTATTACTAATAACTAAATAAATTTTGTCTCTTAAAGAGTTTTTTCAATATCGAATAATTTTGGGACTATCAATTAGTTCGGATCAATTATTAAAATTTTCAATAGAAACTGTTCATTAGTGTCCAACGCCATGTGTTACCATCGAGTATTTTTTATGGTTTTATTTTTTTTTTTCAATTAGTTAACGTTAATCAAGTCGTTAGCGCGCAAATAATGTCAAATACTAGTCTTCTAAGTTGTATTTTTGAATTACATAAATCATTGTTTATTGTTTGGAAACATCATGTTAGTACTGTACGTGCATTTTACCATCATTTGATCGCTGCAATATTTAAGTCCTATATATCCCAACCATTATATAATGATCGTTAGTGGGAGTAAAAACAGTCCTTTAAACAACGTGTATCAACAGTGAACAAATATTACGATTCCTTCGTTTAAATATTCAACACATTCAGTTTAGGTGATACATGTTATTAATACATGAACCATTCACAAATTATTGTTTTTAAAATATTATTTTATAATTTATATTTCATTTATAAATGAGCATCAGGGAGCAGGTACTTAAATACACAAGAAACCTTTGGTTATAGATCTGCCTGATTATTTTATTTTAAAATAATCAAAATCTAAAACTTAATTTAATCTATACTTGATATCCTTGATAGTTAATATTAATATTACACATGTAAATGTATATTTATCTGTTAGGTTTTCACACCTAAACCGCTAAAGCAATTTTACTCAATTTATGTAGAGACAAATAGTACCCTGGAAATATGAAAAAAAAAAACACAAAAATGTTTGAGTTTTTTATGACTCCATACAATATTTTACTATTATTATCCTAATACGCGACTTAACAATTAGGTATTCTATTTTTTTTCATTTTAAATATTTAAAATAACTAAAAAAATTAATGATTTATCGCCCTATTCATTTTCAAAATATCAGAAAAAACCAAATTTGTCTAGTTTACTTAGCCATTATTCTAATTCAAAAAACATAATGAAACAAACATTTTGTATTTACACTGATAATCTTCTACTCATGAGATCCTAAAAAAATTTTTTTTTAAACATTGTTTTACTTTTTAATGACTTATTTTTGTCACCTTCATTTCATTCTCAGACCATTGTGTGACCACTGTTGTAGGTGAGAAGTTGAGAAGGTAGGATATAAAGGGAAATTTAATGTATATCTATACACAAAAATTAAACAGTGCTAACGAAAATAGATTCTGAATGGAGTTCGGTTATACATGATTTGAAAGGCCGTAATATTTTCGATTTTCGTAAAAATGTATTATTCAAATTCTTATATATATATATAAAAAAAAATTATTCTACATAACACTAAAATTGTTATTTATCGACCACAAAATACAACTTATAATGAACCTTCTGTTAAATTTTCAACCATTTAAATTTACAATGGTATTAACTACGCCGATAAATTACTAACATTTTATTGTTTTCAAAACTGTCAAATTTAAAAATACTAATAGGTACACGTATCTTCTACGAACATGAATATATGTTTATTATTTTCTATACGAACAAGGATATATACAAATCATATACGAACACGTATGTATAATAATATCAACACGTAAGTATATGAACCAAACAATACAAACAAGTCCGTATAAAAAATGATTTATAATTTTCATTTCTTGTATAAATAACCCTACGTCGTTCGAAAATGATTTAATGGTTAAACAAGCATAGGTGACGAATAATTGTTTGTAGACGATTTATTTCGCATATATTTTATTGGCCTTTTATAAAATAGGGTATAATTTGTCCTTCGATTGCCGTTTTCGTTTTAGCATATCGACTATCGCAATCATTAGTTATAATATTTTAAACCTACAAGAGATTTATTGGAGTGAAAATGGTTCGTGCTACTTATTGGAAAATCAATACGGTTTATGTTGCTTTTATAATATTATATTTTATCACGATTGAAGAAGTGTGTTGCGGTAAGTAAAATAATATTTTTTACTCATTTCATTGTACCCTAGTGTGTTTTAATATTATACAAAAAATACACTCGAAGACAATGTAAAACACAATTTACGACACTTTTTTAGATTCGGAGTGTAGCGAGGGATTTAATGATTTTAATATGATATGATTTTGTGTCTGTAATTTTTTAAATTAGACAAAAATCGTTAAAAATTAATAAATCTTTTCCTATTATTGAGAAGTAGTTACGAAAAAGATTTAAATTAATTTTAAAACTCAAAATGGAAGTTGATTCCCAGATTTTACAAAAAAATTTATTTTTCTTAATGATATTAATATTTGTATTTGATATTTGTAAATTTCAACATTTTTTAAATTTAGTAAATAATTGTATCGTCGAAATTTCGTTTCAAAATATATATATTAAATTACCATTAAAAAAAATTATTTTAAAAGTTCAAATTAACTATTTTTAGTTTAAAAAAATTATACATAATTATGGAATAATAATTAACAAATTTTAAACATTAAACAAAAAAAAAAAATAAAGGATTTTTTAAATATCCGTGGAACACTATATATATACTAGTATATATATAGTGATATATATATTCTATAAAATAGGCTATCCAATTTAGATTGGTCGTTAGTAAGGTTAAGTTAAGTAAAGTCGTGTTGTCAAGTGTGTGCCACGACACGTTTCCGTCGACGTTTTTCGTTGTCGATAGCATAAAATCGGTTCAATTTTTTCGTTTGTCGTCTCTATTTACGCATCGATTGGGGTCGTCGTGAACTAATTCATTACATTTCGCGTTGAGAGGATGGCATAAACACATGTGCTGTCTCCGACAAAAAACAACGCAACATAGCATATTTTCGTTCAGCATTATTAAAAATTCCATAAATAGATAGAATATTACTATTAATAATTTCTGGTGTCAACATTTTCGGTTTCCGTCAACCCGTTAACGAGATATATCACTTTTAACTTTATTTAAGTAGGGGGCGAGCAGTAAATATTATAATTTCAGTCAAAATTTGGTTTAAAATTTCTCAAAAAAAAAAAAAAAATAGTACATTTCACTCTATTTTATTTCCCTATTACCTACCCGACTTAGTTTTGCAAAAAAAAAAAAAAAATTAGGACTTAGATTTGAACTCGTGACTTCCGGGTCAACAATAGGTACATACTATCTATAGACTACGACAAATAATATTTCATAATTTAAGAATTGTTATTTTAGACTTATTATTTCCTTTTCAGTGAGCGATTGTGAAGAATCTAAAAAATTTACTGGATCACAGAAATACGGTACTTCTTTGAATAATAAATAATAACGAGAAAAATTGTTTGACAAAAAAATGTATATAAAATGAAAGAGAACATATATATTTTCAACTATTTGAATCATTCCACACATATATTATTAGTGTGACAAATTTTGGCTGTGCCCCTTGAGATCTTTCTTGTATTCGGTGCGTCATCTCATGGCACTATAATAAAACACATAAATTATTTCCTTGCCTCCTCATTGAAATTGAATTAGATGATTTACTAATTATGAAATGTATCCTGTTCAATACAGACTCTTTCCGGAATAGTAAGTGATATACTATATACAGTTGTATTTATTATTATGACGTTATATTTGTACAGATATTTAATTATTATTATAATGAGTTTTCTGTTGCAATACAAACTTAGGTTTTACCTTTCCGATTCTAAATGTGTATTATGGAATACATATTTTTTATCAGATGATTTTTCTAAAATTTATTACGTATCGTGATTTGAACGAGAAGATTCTGAGTTTTTCTACTTTTAAAAATTAAAATGAAAACTCGATGTTAGTGTCATTATAGGAAATTCTTTTTATGGGAAGAAAATGAAAATAAATGGAAATTCTAAAATACTTGTATTTGTATTAACGAAAGTTTAGGAACTTAATTATTCGACTCTTCACCGCTTGCAACACGTTATCCTGGTAACGTTTTGGCGTTAAATAATGTATACAGGGTAATCGACATAAAGTAGGACTTTATTGTCTCAGAAAATGTTAAATAAGTTCGGTTTCTGTTTTTAGAACATTTAATAATATCAGTAGCTGTTAATTTATATTTACATTTCTATTTTTTTGACGTCCTTCAATTAGAGAGCAAAAATTTCCATCTGCATTCAATTTTCAGAAAAAAACCTGAATAGAAAATTACCATAGTGTATCGAATGTAAATTTAAGTAAATTTTTGTTGTGACATTTTTTATTTTCATTAACTAATTGATAATAAATTACAATTTTTTACTTCGGAAAGTAGAGATTAGTATCGCATTATTTATGTGGTGCAAAGTGCAAGGTGAGGTGATAGTGTTTCCACACACTCCTTTGCTGTAACTTTTTTTTTTTAAACCGCCTGAAAGCTTTTATTGTAACGATCAATATAAATCTTTAACAATACATTATCAAAGGTGTACATAAATACTTGTGATGTATTTATATACAAAAAATAATAACACGTGTGGAATCTCACTCCCAGTGAAGTGGCTCCGATCTTAGTCTGAGAGTATTATACTAAATTATATGGTCTTCGACGTTTGAGACGCCTAATTTCTAGAGAGTTGTCTAGTAATTGAATTGCGGCTGGGTTAGTGTCTTTTTTCATGTTTGCGGGTAAACTTGGTAATCTCGTCCTGGATGAAGTTGATCATCATATCTCGGTGGATAATGTCGTTTCTGTCATACCGGTAAGCTGCGACAATGGTACGGAGAGCGATATTCTGGCAACGTCGTATAATCTCAATATTGGACTTCCTGGCACAACCCCACAGTTGAATTCCATAAGTCCATATTGGTTTAATTATCATTATGTACAAGAGGCGTTTGCTTGTGAGATCTAGTTCGGAACGTTAAGTACAGGATTGGTCCAAGGATTCTTTTATGTGGTATACTCGCCGATATGTTTTTCTAATCAGTTAATGCTTCTTCGTGAATGACCCTGAATTGACGTTCAGTCAGGTATAGTATTCGAAAAGTGCGTACCATGTGTGTGGCAGCTGTTCACGTATTTTTATAAGTAATGTTACATTTCACTCTATTTTATTTTTTTAAACAAAATGCATTTTGTTTTTTCCCTATTACCTACCCGACTTAGTTTTGCAAAAAAAAAAAAATTGGAACTTGGATTTGAACTTGTGACTTCCGGGTCAACAATAGGTACATACTATCAATAGACTATGACAAATAATATTTCATAATTTAAGAATTGTTTTTTTAGACTTATTATTTCCTTTTCAGTAAGCAATTGTGAAGAATCTAGAAAATTTAATGGATTACAGAAAAGCGGTACTCCTTTGAATAATAAATAATAACGAAAAAAAATTGTTTGACAAAAAAATGTATATAAAGTGAAAAAGAACATATATATATATTTTCAACTATTTGAATCATCCCACACATATATTATTAGTGTGTCAAATTTTGGTTGTGCCCCTTGAGATCTTTCTTGTATTCGGTGCGTCATCTCATGGCACTATAATAAAATAAATAAGTTATATCCTTGCCTTCTATTTGAAATTAATGTAAAAGATTTTCTAATTATGAAATGTACCTTGTTTAATATAGCCTCTTCCCGAAATAGTAAGTGATATACTATATACAGTTATTATGATGTTATATTTGTACATATATATAATTATTATTATAATGAGTTTCCTGTTTTATGTTTCCTGTGATTTATGCACTTCATAAATAATAATGAGAAAAATTGTTTGATAAAAAAATGTATATGGACTGAAAAAGAACATATATGTTTTCAATTATTTGAATCATCCCACGCATATATGAATGTGTCAGTTTTTGGTGGTATCCCTTGAAATATTTCTTGTATTTAGTGTGTTATGTCATGGCATTATAATAGAACACATACGTTATTTCCCTGCCTCCTATATGGAATTAAATTAGATTATTTACTAATTTTGAAACGTATTCTGTTCAATATAGCCTCTTTCGTGAAACGTAAGTGTTATATTATATACAGCTGTCTTTATTATTATGACGTTTTATTTGTACGGATATATAAATAATATTATTATGAGTTTCCTGTTGCTATGCAAACGTAGGTTTTACATATGCGATTTTAAATGTGTATTATGTAATGCATATTGTTTATTAGATGATTTTTTTTGAAATTAATTATGTATTGTATTCGTCATTTGAAAAAAAATAATCAGTATTGCATAAAAAAAAATAGTTAGAAGTAGAGAGTAAAGAGTAAGTTAGTACCATCTCCACAGAAAATAATTCGGAGACTCCGGTGTATTTATGGCAAAAAACATCAACTACGTTTTTTTAAGAATTAATCTGAGCTTATCAGATTTCAGAAGTTAGACCTCGCCATTTACTTTTGTCAAACTGTTGTTTTTTAAATTGTATTCTGTAAATGTTTACAGTTGTATTTATATATTAGATAATTAGGTTCATGGTATTTTGCCCTAAAGAAATAGGAATTATTTATGGATAATACAATTTTTATTTCATATTTTGATATAAATAATAATTAGCAATCTCGCATTGTATGCAGACCCATATTGTATTATGAAAAAAAAATATTTGTTTGTAAACTTTCATAATCCTATAGGTAAAATGGTGTATTCTGTTTTCAAGAAAATTGTACTAACCAAGATTATTGAACATGACCTTGAACATTCAACACAAATTCATTTCAGAAATTATTAACCTTACTAAAGATATCAAAAATTACGTTGTAAACGTTCTAGCTAACAATTTTTGTCAATCATGAATTATAGGCCTAATTTTGGGTAACTTGTACGTTCTGGAGTTTTAATAGTGTAAATAGTGACATGAATAAAAAGTAATTAATACTTAGATTAAATGAATTATTAAAAGCCCACATATGCCGTACCAACCATAAATTTCGGAGAAAGTTTGGCCCACAAAACTGTCCCCAATATACGTCATTTAGTGCAGATGGATGATAATAATTCTTAAAATTACCACAAATAAAAGTTTTACTTTTGAGTCACCACATTAATGAAGTGATTTCTCCACTTATACATTACTCAATAGGAATTTAAGGCAAATAGCTATGAAATTGGAACTACTATGATCAATATACTGTTTACAGGAATATTGTTGAACCTATCATGTTCAATTTCAATAAAATATACATTTTCGAGTAGTTTTAATCCACCAAAGTACAGAATTTTCGTGTAAATATGATAACTAGAAACCGAGATTTTATTTTCTTAAAATACACAAAAAATCATTTTAAAAACGTCAAAAAGTCATGAAAAAAATTACTTAATAAATATATAAAACTCAAAAATAATAGCAGGGTGTAATATTCCGCCCATTTGATGGATTTATAATATAAATACAATTTTCTTATATCATATAAATGATTAATAAAAAGTAATTTTTTTTTCTTAATACGGACGATTTAATTTAAAAGAAATTGTTTTGTGTTAATCATTATCGTATTGTTAGGAAATTTAATTTTATAAATTAAAGTCAATAAAGAGGGATTTAAAAATCCTCTCTATTATTTATTCTTATTAAATATTTTTAAATGCTTTTTTTTTAGTGATTTTTGGTGTTCTGGGGCTTACCCTTTTTGTGGATTATATAAAAATATAAATCCTGCTTCTAATGATGACTATGCGTGTATTTCATTTATGCCATAACTAAACAAAAAATTCAAAAAATCATTTTGATTAATTTAATCTAATGGACTAAAATATATCGATTAGATGCCTGGACTTGAGAAACTTTTCATTTCCACTGTAGTATATTATCAAGAAATGTACTCCAACCTAATGCAATTTAGATAAACCGTTGTGATCTCTCTATATTCTCTTTGCCATAAACTATAATTATTTTAAAAGAAAAAAGAAATACCAAAAAAACAAAACATTTCTATTAATCTTTTGTATACATCAGGAATGGTCAATCGGTGGATCGCTGAAGCTTTAACTGTTGTTTTGTTAGAATTTATTTTTATATAAATACTAAAGAAATTACAATTGTTAAGAATTTTTCTTATTAGATTATTTTGATACCAATAAATCATAAATCATTTCAACAGTTTTTATGCTGTTTAATTAGTTAAGTCTTAATTTATTTAACTATACATTTTACTTTTTTATAACACTATTTTGTACCACAGGGCTTGGAAAATCTTTTAAAGGATGTAAGTTTTTTTTAATGTTTTTATACTTTCGTTATGAATTGATGTTGACATTTTTTATTTAGAATGCAATTCTTGGTAGCAATATATTTTGTCATTTCAGTTGTTAGTTACTTTAAAATTTATTGGCCTTTTCATGTTGCGTAACATTTTATTTTTATGTTAATTTTATTATTTTTTAATAATTTTGTGATCGTTTGCCCAGTTTTTTTTTTTTTTTTTATATAATTCATTAACTCTTGTTTTTGATTAATTATTTTAAATTATTATAATTTTATTCGTATAGTATTTTACGTCCAAACAGCAATAAAGCATAAACCAAAATAATATTAAAAATAACATAAAACAAAATGGATTGGAATATAATCAAACAGGATTAACTAGAATTAATTTTGTATGTGGTCAAACAGTGCTAAGTTTAGAGGTAAACATAAGAGATATCGTTAGCTCAGGGAATTATTGATCTATGTCTATTGTCTAGGTCTTCGATCGGATGTATGCCATCTAGACTTAGAAATATGAGATATCTTTTGTTGTTTTAGAATGTGTGGATAGGGCAGGCTGGAATCATGTGGTTGATTGTCAAACAGATTGTTCCACAGTCACAGGAAAATATTAGCCACAGGCTACAACATTTATGGTAACCATTTCTTGTTATAAGCCTGTTTAAAGTCGACTAGTCTCTGCAAGGAAGGTGTTTAAACTTTATTGTAGATGTNTGTTTCGTTGTATACCAAACTGGGTTTCGTGATTTCAGTTTTTTTTTCGCCAGCTGTTTGCTATTTCATAGTGTATGGGAAGATTCGTAATTAGTTTACAGTTTGAAAATGCTTTGATCAGAGCTTTAATCAAAAAATAAAAACATTCCACAACCTGGATAAAGTTAATTTTATCCACTTCATGGAAAGGTCAAAAGCATTTCATGTAATGTCAACATCATAAAATGAGCGATTTCTCTAAATGGATAAAATATATAAAAAAATAATCTATGTATAATTATCGATGATATTTATAAACATGTATTTCAATTTTTATTTATAGATAGATAGTAATGATATTTAGTTGAAATCTAATATTATAATTAACTAATTTTTGTTTCTACTCTGTACAATATAGTAACCAGTGGAAATTCAGGTAACGTCAGATTATATACAATATTATAACGAGAATAATTTTCATGTGATGGAGTTAATTTTTAATTCAATACCCAGATCCAAGTATAAAATAAAATAATCATAATGTATAAAAAAGAAATTTGACCGTCGGGGTTTGAAAACCAATTTAAAATAAAACCGAAAAATATATATTTACGAAAATACGTTTTAACAGAATTTATTAATACAATTTTTATTACAAATTTAAATACTAGCAACTTTATTTTCACAAAAATTTAGAAAAAAACATTCAAAATAAAAAAGGCATTCATATTATTATAGTTGATATTTTGGTACTCCTGTAAACTCAGACATTATTTTTTTTACGTTTTGTTAAAGAACTCAACGTAATAGTACTCGTATATTAGTATATATACATGTTACCGATTCCTATTTGAAATGTAGTGTGATAATTTATAAATATGTGTATCTACTGGGTATAATATTGTTGGTGGTGGTAGTAGGGGAACCTACGGCAAGACGTGAAATATGATGGGACAGCGTAATGCCTCCGTAACCAGTGATAATAGTGATTTGAATAAAACCTCATTGCTAAAGAAATTAGAAATTGTATTCGAAATAATCCAATGGAGTCTTTGAATTATTTCATATTCGCTAGAAGATTTCTGAGATGACCGACTGATATAACATTATTTCATTATTAAATTGTTCATTTCACAGTCAGAGCCACATTTAACTGAAGGCAATTACCCCGGACGTCAATTTTATTATGTTTGAGAGGCGACAGATTTCAGTCAATAGTAGTTTTTTGGGATTTTGATTTAAATAAAATATTGTGTGTAACGTGGTCGGGTGATCAGTTAGATATATGATATTCTTCTATGGTTTTCTGGTCATTATGAATATATTTAACCACACTTACATTCACACATACTTTCCGGTACTCGTGAAGAACTACTGTCTCTTATATACTTCACGTTGGCCAGCGGCCTTATAATATAATATGCCCTATCAGGAACATAGTGTCTACTTAGCGGATATACTTATTTTATGTGTTGACTTATAATAATGTAACAATCGTTATAATTGAATTTATTACTTTTTTCATTGTTGTTTTCGTAAATTTACCCGTTCTTCCTACGTATTTTTCTGTTTTGCTCAATCATTAAAAAAAAACTATAAATCAAATCAAAAAAATACAATTTTGGTCACCAACAACATTAAAAATTCACCAAAAAGGCTTCTTGTTCTTATTTAACAAAGCAATATCTGTGGTATAATACATAATCCGTACAAAATTTAAATTATAAAATCGTTGTGTCTTTATTTGAAAAAAAAATTGTATATTTCGTCTTTGTTGGTATTTGCAGTTATTAAGGAAAACTTTTTGCATAAAAAAAATACTTTTTTTGTTAGAACAGAATTGATCTCATGTCATTTTTTCAACTGGAGAATGAGATCTAATAAAAAAAATCGTAAATCGTATTTTCTTGTTACGACGGAGACAGAAAATAAAAGAAACAAGTTTTTCGTTGAAACTTAAACTGACAAAGAAATATTGGAAGGAGTACAAAAGATAAAAATAAATGTGAAGTATTTTATGTTTTTATTGATAGTCTAGGTATGAATCTGTTTTACATTGATATTTATAATATTTTTGAGTAATAATACAATGAGTGATAAAACCCAGTAAAAATATGTATATCATAAAAATTTAAACAACTTGTTCATAGAACAATTGTTATCATTTAATAATATATTAAAATTGAATAAGTCTTTTAAAATGTTTCACTTATTCTCCACTATTTACAACATTTCCATTTGTAAAAATAGAATTGCGAATATTTTGTTAAGTATATGGCTCATCGAATGCAACTAGGGAACAATCATTTTCTGTATTTAAAATAATAATAAATTATTAAAGTTAGTAAATGGAAAATATCAATTATATCCGTATTATACATAATGGACGAACTTTTTAAAACAAAAAAGTTGATTGATCGGACATTATACATAAATTTGCAATTTTGAATTTGAGGAAAGAATGTATATATTTTGGATACAAATTTACTTGAATTTATTGTTTATAGTTATTTATTATAATTATTAATTAATTAATGTGTAAATACATTTTTTTAAACATTAAGCTTCGTAAAAAATAATAAGTATGAATTCATTGCAGATTTAGGTAGTTTTTAGTTCCTTTTTAATGTTTTAAAATTATTATTAATATTAGAATAATTAATTACTATTTATCGAATAATAATCAAATGTTAGTGTTAAATTTTTAATTTTTTAACCCTTTTACGAAATATTCCACTGTTCATTTTTTCATTTTGTGGATTAGAGTCTCCTCTCACTCAATTATTATGCTTTACAAATCCATCTGCCGAATCAAAAATATAGGTTGGTATTTAAAAGATCAAAAGATGTTATCATTATGATAACAAAACAGTATCAATCATGAATAACTCTAGTAGTTTATCTCTTGATATCAATTATATTATCATTAAATGATAGAGCCTTTGTGCGTTTGAGGCTTATGCAATTATTAATATATTGAGTGCGAAAACCTGATAGCCTGCAAGAAAGAGGAGTGGAAAAAAACTTGTCACGTGCGCAGTAGTGTTCTATGCAGAACATAAAAATGTACACTAATCCAATTCATGCATGTGAAAATCGCTGTCGGTATAATCGACATAGACAAATATCATAAAATCTTCGTTAAATTATTGAACAATTACATTATAATAATATCATTTTTATAACATATTAATATTATACGTATTATGTATATATTTTTTATATTAGATTATAAGATGTTANCCCTTTTACGAGATATTCCACTGTTAATTATTTCGTTTTGTGGATAAGAGACTCCTCTCACTCAATTATTATGCTTTACATCTCCTTCTGTCGAATCAAAAATATAGGTTGGTATTTAAAAGATCAGAAGATGTTATCATTATGATAACAAAACAATATCAATCATGAAAAACTCTATAAGTTTATCTCTTGATATCAATTATATTATCATTAAATGATAGAGCCTTTGTGCGTTTGAGGCTTATACAATTATTAATATATTGAGTGCGAAAACCTGATAGCCTGCAAGAAAGAGGAATGCAAACAAACTTGTCACGTGCCCAGTAGTGTTCTATGTAAAACATAAAAATGTACACTAATCCAATGCATTCATGTGAAAATCGTTGTCAGTATAATCGATATAGACAAATATCATAAAATTTTCGTTAAATTATTGAACTGTTACATTATAATAATATCATTTTTATAACATTTTAATAAAAATCTCGTATTATACGTATTATGTATATATTTTTTATATTAGATTATAAGATGTTATATTTCTTGTATATTTACAGATGTCGAAAATATTAACGGTGAGAATCAATGATATTANTAATCCAATGCATTCATGTGAAAATCGCTGTCGGTATAATCGACATAGACAAATATCATAAAATCTTCGTTAAATTATTGATCAATTACATTATAATAATATCATTTTTATAACATATTAATGTTATACGTATTATGTATATATTTTTTATATTAGATTATAAGATGTTAAATTTCTTGTATATTTACAGATGTCGAAAATGTTAACGGTGAGAATCAATGATATTAAATTTAAGTAACTGGTTTAGATTATAATACTTTTATTTCATTATTCCTTATTAAATATGTATTATTCTTATAATACAGAATGTGGATTTACCATTCCCTTGCAGTCCATGATCTAGACACACTCGTTTACTGTAAATTAAATATATTATCCTGACTATTTTTTAAAAATATAACATTTATCTAACAATAAATTGAATGATTAAAAAATATTTACGAAAAAAGTCGTTTTAATAAAAGTGTCAACATTTATATTACAGTGAATTAGTGTCCTGTAGGCTACAGATACTGAAATTAATGTAGTCCTAATATAAATTATTTTAACTGTTTTGTTCATTATTATTTTGAAACGCTAAAAATATATATTTATGTGTAATTTTTTTTAGAGATATGTTTGAGTGAGTTATTTTATTTTATTTTTATATAATATTCCTGTTGGTGGGGTTCAGAAAATTCTCACGGTATTTCTACCAGTCGTAAGAGGCAACAAATAGTGTTACGTCAAGTCGACAGCTGGTGTAATATTTATGTTCTAAAAAAGTTTTCGGTTAATTGTCATTCCTAATTGCATAGGGATAGAAGTAAAATTAGGTATTGTATTGCAAAATGTTTGCAGATGATATAACTTGAATAAGAAAAAATCTGGAACAAGTTATCAATAGACCTGAAGAACTGAGAGTAACATTTGAAGGAACGAATCTAAGAATAAATAAAATTAAAACAGATTATATGACAGCATGATTTTGGAAGAACAGGGCAAGTAAGCTAAAGTCAATAGCCGAGGTTTAAAGTTTTAAGTATCTTTTAACTCTATACAAAAGAGCGGTGGTTTGACGAGGAGATGAAACATAGAATTTTCAGGGACGGATCTATTGGGTCCCGGGTGCTCAAGCCACTCCTAGACATATTATCACCCCAATCGATTTTTTTATTAATAATATTAATATTACGTATACAAAAATATTTTGTAAAAACATTATAATCAATGTCGAGAATATTTAACTGAATTATAATCATTGCTGATGATAATTATTTGTTTAACAGGCGACATAAAGAATGATTTAAAGAGTAAGTTGTATACAATTTTTATCAAAAATCTTCCTCCGATAAATAAAGTGTAACATTTTTGAAAAAAATTTCATATTGTTTCTTCATTAAAAAGGTCATCTTTTGATATACAAAACATTTTTCATAATAATTTGTAGATTTCGGGAAAAACGTAGAAATAAATGGACAAATATTTACGGCTTAACGATTTCATGATTTTAAGTTTGTGTATTTTATGATTTTTACTTCTACTATAGATCTTATTTCATTTAAAAGATGAGAGAAGATCTCTTTTTCGAATTTTAAATCTAGATGTTCATGTTGAAAACCCAATGGTTTTCATAATAATAAGAAATATCGAAAGACGACGAAAAACGGTAAAACAAATTTTACGGCCTGCAATTTCATTATTTTCAAGTTGTGCATATGAAGTATGTGTATTCTACCAGATTTCTACCAGTATTCTTCCAAAAAAAAAAAAAAAATAAAAGTTTTTTTTGTATTTTTAATCTAGTTGGTGAGATATAAAGGCATTTTTTGATTTTATCTATAATTTTATAAATAATAAGGAAAAACCAGAAAAATGGAAACCAACATTTTTTTTGATTTTCGTGTAGTTTTCTTAATAATTGGGTGAAACCGGAAAAAAATCAGAAAGAACTAGAAAATTTAAAAAAATATTGATCCGTTATTTATTTATTATAACTCAATTTAAAATATTCTTAAAAACATGCAATTTTGTTATGAAACCTATATTTGACTTCTCTAAACGTTTTAATTTGTTCAAAACATGTTTGAGATTTCTTAACTGTTCAAAAACATTTTGTGTTTTTCAATTTTTCACATAGTTTTTATTTAGTACGTGGACCTAATTATATGACCGATAGAAATGCTTTAAAATTGAACAGGCGATTTATTATAAATTGTACTAAGTAATAATAAAAAAAAAGTTAAGTGCAATGTAGTCATTTTAGAATTCTAAGTGGAGTGAGGATTATATTTGTTTTACAATGATATTTATTATTATAATTATTATGTTTTTTCTTTGAACTACTTTTCTACCAAAAATATTGCTCTGATTTTCAAGTATAGCGATTTTTCTGAAAATAAATCTGACTAGGTTGTCACTTTAATGATGTCATTTTCACATGTGTTTAATTAATGATTGGAAACAACCGGGAAAAAATGTAGGAAAACCGGAAAAATGTTTGCAGTGTATTATATTTTCAAATTTTTGTTATTTCTTTTCTTTTGTTTTGGCTTAGTTCAAAATTTTTGTAGAGACTTGATATTCGGGCAGTAAACTTACATTTGTCTTTTATTGACGTGGTAAAATTTCAAATCATTTTGGCCTTTTCTAAGCTATTTATAGACAGATTCATTGTGTAAAATTTTTATTCGGTGGATACTCTAGCTCTGGATAAAATGGTTAAACCAAATAAAAATGTTTGAAAAACTAACAAGATGCTCATTATAATTCGTAATTTGTGTTAAAAAAATGAATCTATGTCATGTAGAATTTTTTTTTAAATCTTAATTTTTATATCAAATCTTGATGAAATTCACCTTACAAAGCAACACAATGGTTCATAATTACTTTCAGGTATATATTAAGTAATTTACGTATATCTTACAATTTCAACGTAATTTACCTAATAGATAAACTATTAATAACCTTAACATCATCAATTTGCGTTATCGCATCGACTGGTTTGTTTTTATCCACTCTTACTTGTGTCTCGTCTTCTGTACGTCAATTTTAGTAAATTGGTCTACATCCCTGTATAGGTGTTTTCACTCAACTTTGTTTACTCTGTGAAATTTCCTGATGCGATTGGTAAAGGATACTCGGCGGTTAAGTGCCGAAGTCCGATGGCCAATAGTCATCAATTCTCTGTGGACAATCATCGATGGGTTATTTTATGTATCCGGATGCCAATAGCCGCTGCGTCATGCGCGCAATTCACATAGTCTTTCAATGTGTATTGGTTTGCGTTTTATTTATACCATATATTAGTAATAATCAGGGTTATTGTTTATTGAATATAGTTTATAATTATCAAGACATGATAACCTTGTTCAATTCACCAAATGTGTACCTATGTAATATAATGTAATTCAATTTAATTAGAAAAAAAATCACTGTAAAACAAGGTAAAAATAATTAAAACGTTTAATGTAGTTTATTTCGTATCTCGTTAGTGCCCAGCATTAAAAAGTTGCGATATAATTTGTGGTGCTAAATAAAATTTTCGATTTACTTGGCGAGAGTAAAATTTTACTTAGCACCATAAATTATAACACTATTTTATGATGCTGAACATTTACGAGATATTTACATTTTAACTGATAACTACATCAAATGGTATTTTACACGTAGCTGTTGAAGTATTTTTGTTGTAATTATAATTATATTCACCTATTATACTAGTCTAGTGTTCTTTTTTTTCAACCATTGATGTAACGAATTTTTTATTTCATTTGTATTGTTAGTTAAATATATGATTAATTATGTGAAATAGATTGTAAAGATGCCAAAAGTTGTGCCGAAAAAATGTTTTACACCGTTAAAGGTCAGTGTACTTTATTAGAAAATTAAGCATTTAGTTATTAAATCAATTAAAGGTGGCATAAGAAGAAATGTTGACCTGGGTATTCTTATTATGACCAACCCATACAATTCCTCCATTCCAGTTTAGTTATCAAAACCTAAATCATATTCTTAAACATTGACATGATCGTTCACGAGATTTATCACTAATATTTAAAACTTGTATTAATAACTCATAACGTGGGTACAGGTCGTTTAAAAGCTATTCGACAACCAACTGCTCATGAATCAGTTTTCGAATTCAAATTCGACCAATTTATTTTTTATTTTTTTCATAGTGTAAGTTATTTTAAATCAAAAATTGATTCTAAGAATCCATCATGTCACGATCATTGTAGTCACCACATGACGGTAATCGTTAAGTGGCAACCCAACAATCATCCGAAACCTGGAAACCTACGATGAGTTTCTAATCATAAAATCGTTCAAACATATGGTGCTAGTATTTTGTCGTTTTCTATCAACTTACAATAGTGCACTATAATAACATGATCAATTTGTTATAAAATATTTAACAAATTAATAAAAATATATATTAATATATATATATATATATAATAGGTATATACCTATATGATAATAGTAAAATTCAATTCTAAGTACTTAATTTCAATAAAAAAACAAATGCACTAAAAATATAAATTAAGTATGAATATTCAATTTAATTATTTTAAATTAACTTTAAAAAGTACAATTAAAAAAAAAAAAAAAACAAAATTGTATTTTATTATTTTATTTATCACTAGCTAACCCGGCAAAACATTGCTATTGCTAGATAATAGTGCAAATAATAATAATAACAGTTTTCTTGTTTGTGACAATTAAATTGGCATCCTTGTCGTCAAGGTAACCTATGAATAAACAAAAATAAATAAATAATCAATTAGATACTCTTAGCAAAATTTCCGAAAAACCAAGCTATTGTAACTTTCACAGGGATCTCCAATTTTTTTCAAAATAAAATACAGCATATTATGTTACTCACTGATAATGTAGCTTTTCGTAGCAGAAAGAAGTTTTAAAATCGGTCGAGAAGTTTTTGAGCTTATTCATTACAAACATACAAAGACATTTTTTCTCTTTATAATATTATAGTATAGATTAAATAGCTACCAGGTCAATTATGTTATAAAACTAATATTCAAAACAAAATATAAATGAAACTTAAATTTATTTTACTTTTTTTTTATAAATTTTATATTATTATCGTTTATTTAGATTTTGAGGGATTACAATGTAAGTATTTTAATTATGATAGATACTATTTTGTATATTTAGTTATTATAAAGGTATATTTTTGAAAAGCTTCATGAAAAGGTAATATTTATTTTAAACAAAAATATCATTGCGGTTCTATTTTACTCCTCAAGTTATAAACTTCAATAGTATGATCTAAATCAGTATAAATTGTTTATATCTCTGAGAATATAAATTATCTGTGCATTATTATTTTTTTTTTTCTAGTATATACAAAAACATATGTATTATATCTTTATAGAGAAATAGCGATAAGTAAGTTGTTGTGTAATCACTTATCACGAAATATTTAAATTATAATTTTAATTCATTTATCGATCTTTTATAATTTTAGATAGGTACTATTCTTACCGAAGTCGTACATATTTATTTATTTTAAAAATTATGTTTTTTTCCCACCTTCTCGGAAAAATGTCTGTAAAATTAACGTTTTACAGGTCATGGATTTATGATACTTAAAATTATAAAGTAACTGTTTAAGAGTCCTTGTTTTGAGAAATACCTGTTGAAAAATGACTCTCAAATGCTTAACTACTATAATAATTTATTTTGCTAAAAACGATCCTCCCATTTTATATTACTCTGTGATACTCAAATATTAATAATTAGAAAAAACTGAAAACAAATATTAATACATTTATGATATTAAGATTATATTATTTTAAATTTTTATGCAATCCATTTCTTATAAATATTTATCCAATTTAAAAATAACAAGAGGTCTTTTTTGTTGAAATTTTAATCTAGTTGGTAACCAATAAAATCGTTTTTTGATTTTTTTTGTAGTTTTTAAATAATTAAACAAATCTGAAAATTACACGGAAAGTATTGGAAAACTAACGAAAATAATTCTTTTATTTTTTTTAATTTAGTTTAACATAGTCTTAGAGTCTTGGAATTAAGACAGAAAATTTATTTATAGAAATTTAAATTTTGCAAGTTTTTACGTAATTTTTATTTGGAAGGTATTTGTGAATAAAATTGTTAGTCTAAAGAGAAATGCTTGGCAATATTACAGGAGATTCATTTTAAGTTGTACGTAAAAGTCAAAAATAAACTTAAGTGTAATGTAATATTTTTATATTTTTTTTAAAAGAGTTTTAAAATCAATTTTTGACGAAAATCACACCTTTCACAACATGTATAACCGAACTTCACTCAGAGTCGTTTTTCTTTAGCAATGATTAATCATAGGTTGATGTACATAATAATTAAATAGATTTATGTATACCATCTTCCATTATACTCATTTTTTTAGCAACTTTTTATTTCCTTTGTTTGTAGAATATAAAGATTATTTAATAACTCCAAACGAATATTGCAAAATCGTTTTCGGTTCGTAAAAATATATTGACATTTTTCAGTTTTATTGTATTATATTTTTGTTTTTAAAAAAAATGTAAATTAATGTTTATTTATATAGAAGACGATAGCGATCGGAACAAAATAAAAGATGAAATAGAAATGTATAAAAGTAAGATTTAAAACTGAATTTTGTAACCTGTGGCTGTAATGACATTCGTAATATGTTTAGTCTGATTACTTGCAACCTACTAGCCCTATGCGGCTGTACGAAAAAAATTAGGCTGATCAACGGCGTTTAATTTGATCGAATGATCAAGGGCAACTACAAGGGGGAAAAATGGACAACCTAGCTCCCTAGCTTTCCAGAAAGTTACAACGATTATATCTAAATTCAATATCTTAAAATTCCAAAATTCATTATTGGTACTAAAGTATATTGATATTTATCAATACAGCTTGATTGTTACCTAGTCGTTGGGTTAATTTTTATCACACTATTTAATATATGCTCAATGATTTAAAGTTGGTACCAACAACTCGTACTACAGCTGACATGCACATGACTTGCGGATTTTTTTTGTGGACAACTACTTGAGGTTATCTAATGTAAGGGAATCGTTTATCTGGATTATGTATATTAAGTTTACATAGGAAAAAAGTCGAAGAACTTAATTTAGCAGAAAAAGTTGTTGATGAACTTAGGAAAAATAAAATAAAATTAAAACTTGTGTTTAATTAGTTACTATAAGTATAAAATCTAATATTATATTATATTACTTTTAAACTTTTATAGAAATACACATAGGAATACACTAATAAAAGTGTTTGATTATTAATATAAACTAAGGCTGCTCCCAACCCCCTTCTGAATTTTCTCTTTCAGGTGCCCTCGTGAATGATAAACTATTGTTAGGCAGTGACGACAGCATCTGTTGTAATTTATAAAAGCGAAAAATATTATTATTATTATAGCTAGGATTTATATGCAATCTAATATGGATTCTATTTATTAAAATATGCGAAAAAAATAGTAAAACAATTTTTTTATTTTTTTCAAACTTATATTTTAAGTAAAAATGATTGTAAGTACCTATACAGCAATACAATTCAAGATGATGAAAAACATCCTCTGCTGTCGGTATATTGGAATGTTTGATATTGTTAGTACTATTGGGCTGTCTCACAATTACGTCGTTAAATAATATGTAGTTAATCCAATCTACTATTTATGACAATACGAAAAATAAAACAATATTCATATAACCGTCCAATAAATAAATACTATTTAAAATTCTTAAAATTTTCAAAAATCTAAATATGCAATTATGTTAAAAATATGGGAAAAAAATTGTTCTATTTAATTAAGAATAAGCCAAATTGTGAGCACATCTGACAACCAAGCAATTGAGGCTAATGGAAAAAATCATACAATTGCATAGAAATCCTAGGCCTAATTATTAGGATTCACTGCGCTTGGAAACATAGTTGCACCGTGATTTTAAAATATTCTACAACAAAATCGTCACGGCGTAGCGAACATGTAAGGAAATTGATAGTAATTTGATAATAACTTAGAATACTCATTATTAATGATGTATGATTAGTACTAACATAGTATATAAAAAAAGAAATATTCCAAGAGGGATAAGGGTCAAAACACTTAGACCTTCTCACATGTGACCTTTTAATTATTTGTTATAAACGAGCACATATTTTTTTATTATAGAATGCATTCATAAAAATAAAGCATATGGATTTTGGCGTAAGTAATAGGCATGAACCTATAAAATATAATTTATATTTAATTATAATTTGAGATCAAGGTAATAATTGAAAGGCCACGAATATTATCTGGCAGTATGTTACCACTGATATTACATGCATACTTTCAGGAAATATATTTTAGGGATATCAACTTTTATTTAATTCAATAACGTATGAATAAAAATATCAAATTAATAATATTTTTATTTTATAGATAAGTACGCTCATAGGACTGTGGTACAAGCTTTTTTTTTGTCAAGTATGTAGATTAAACTTAATTATTTGTTTACATTATCGGTAAATACTAATACTATATCTACTGAAATTTATTTATATATTTTTAAGTTTAATAAAAAAAAATCCATATACACAGTATAGGTGAACTACTATTGGTAAAAATATAGCAAGTTCATATGGCTTATTATTTGAAACATATTTAACAAATTTATATAAATGTAACCTCCAAATCTTTTATTTCCTCGGAAAACACTTTTTTGGTGAGGAAAAATACTTCAAATTGTTCATATCGTACCTTTAAAAATCGTGACATTTTTTCATCAAATTGGAAATGGTAGTTAATTTAAACATTTTTCAAAATTTCTAAGTCATCCAAATAAAAAAAAAAAAAAATGGAAACCCTAAAAACAAATGACAATACACCGGAGTATTATTGTTGATTTCTGTGTTATAAATATAAGAGGAAACCACAACTATTACTATTAATCCACACAACAGTTAATTAATTTGAATGGTCATCATCGTTGCATCAGTATATAAATTTATTTGGTAATTACCCTATATCCTATATGCGGTACCAATTTAACTAAACAACAGTAACCTATACCTATGGCGTGAACTTTTTTTCAATTTTTAATTAATTATACAATTTATCTGATTACTCATTTATTGGACTTTTATAGCAATTTTGAATTCACTTAATTTTGATATACTTTCGTAACTTATATAGAAAATGAACAAGATGGCGTAAAATTAGGTAAGTTCCTTTAATAATATTATTATTATGGTCGACTCTTTGCATTTAATTTGTACGTCATAATTTGATGAATAAGTGACAGTTGTTTATAGGTATTACAAATGAAAAAAAAATGTATATAATATTAATGAAATAAGTATATTAATCATTTAATTTGATTTATCAGTTAAATAAACGTGTTATAATATTTTTTTATTATAGACGAAAATTTTTTGGATATTGTAAAATCTGTTAAAACTAGATTCATCACCGATACTGAAGGTACCTACACGTATATTGTTATTTTTTTAGAAATCCATATAAGTAAATCCGTTCTAGTTTAGTAGAAAAGTAGTGCACAGTTTAAAAAAAAAAAATAATGAATAAACAACTTTGTAAAACCATAACCTTTTTTATACTCCACTCAGAATCTAAAATCACTCTGTACATTAAATTCCAATCCATATTCTACCTTCCAAACTTTCCACCTACAACAATGGCTGCAATCGTCCCCATTATTGGATAGCTTTTTTTTTAAATTATGAGTGTAGTATAGTACGTATAACAGGTAGTAGTTTGTTTGAAATCCAATAAATATTTTCAATAGTTTACCGGGTTTTAGGTACTTTTATTCAAGTTTTGTTAGATTCTGGTTTACCTTAGCAGGAAGGGTAGTATTATCACTACCACTGATACTATTACGCTCAGAATGGTTTTTCATTTGCATTGATTTATTGTATCATACAGAATTTAAGCTAAATTAATAGTGATCTATCCACAGAATGTTTGACTATTTCAATTGTGTTCTTAACAATTAGTTTGAATCAATTACAATGTGTTCAAATTATTTGAGAAAAATAGCATTTTATATTATTATCTTTAAACTCTCATCTAAATATAAAATTTTAGTTTTTTTAAGGGAAAGCAAAGTTCATAATTTAGTGTAGGTTTCCGGTTTCCACCATAAGTGGACCTTCCTTTTTTACACCAAAACCATATTATTTAATGCACCATTGATTCAATAGGTATATTATTTTAATATACAATATATAGGTTAGAAAATGTTAAATTGTATTTATAAAAATGTCAGGTTCATGATAAAAAAAATCACCCTGTATAGTTTCCTAGTTAATATGTTTTTAATAAAATTCTTAGATATATTTTTCACAAAATCGTATCCGAAATTTAAAACAACATTTTGTTTTAATAAATATGATATTTAGTATATTATTTTATTAAATGCAATATTATTGAAAGATAATTCCAATTATTCAATTTTTGTTATAATTCGGACATTTTTCTCCTTTAGTAGAAATGGGTAATAGTGGGGGAAAAAAAGGTCAACTTTTGTGGAATCGTGCTACGCCCATTTGAATATTTACTAACCTAACATTATAATTTAATTTTTATATTATTCTATTGTGTATAATAGTAATGAATTGGAAAGGAAAAAGAGGACCAACTGAATTTTGTTCAGGTAAAATTGATTTGTAATCGTAAATTTATACGATTTCATTAATTTATCTCTTTTAATAATATTACTACCCGAACCAGCTTGTTTTTACTTGTAATCAATTTGTTTCTACCTAGCCCTAAATAAATACTATGTTGCTAACCATGTAAATCTGGATTCACAAGGTTTACATGCCTACAAAGCACAATAAAATATTATCTGAACCATAATCTGGTCCAGGGATCAAATTTCTTATTTGTATGTGTTTTACAAGAAAACTGTGCATACCTGAAATATTTCATATTGTTTAAATTAAATTTGAAATAATTCCTGAACATTTTTAAGTTCATTTAAATTTTTATTTGAAAAAAAATTGCTTGGTTTATTAAACAATTTAGCTTTATAATCTATATATCTATCTATCTATCTATCTATATATATATAAATAAAAATAAATATAGTTATACATACAAATAAAATAAATAAATAAATGAATGCGCCGCCTGGAGTATTATGAATAGGTGTATTATACATCCGGTTTCGAATTATACACCTATCATAATACTCCAGGCAACGCATTCATTCATTTATTTATTTATTTTATTTGTATATATACATTTTTTATTTATATATTTTTTTTTTATATTTATTTACTTTGTTTATTAATAACTAACAAAACAAAATTACGAGCACCTATGATAATTGATATTATTTTAATTTAAACAATTCTAGCCAAGTGTATCGGTAAGAACATAGTAATATTATACAATCGAAATTTTTAAGAGCATATTATTTTAGATTACAATTTATGAAGTTATATTTTGTGTTTACACGGTGAACTGTATTATACAGTATTATACTGTATAATATACGGTATACGGTATACGGTGTACCTATACGGGTGTACTTAATCCAGTTTAATTATTATTAAAATAAAATAAATTTTAATATTTTACATTATTTTATGTATGTATACATGTATTGTACATAAAAGAAATATTAATGAATGCTAATGGTGACAGACAAACCTTTAGTTATAACCGATACAGCACGTTTAGGCATTAAAATAAAAATATTGATACCTTTTTTATAGAAGTATTTAAAATATATACATACATATACCATCAGGGGCGTGTTTTCAAATTTTTTGTGGGAGAAGAGTTTAAAATTTTTCTAAAAATGTAGTGATTTTATAATATTATAAAAAATACATATATGACATAAATTATATTATTATAAATACAAATTAAGAGTTATTTATAATAAAAAAGGTAAACGCCTTTTTTTTTGCCAGTTCATCAATAATTTCTTAAAATTACAATTGCTTAAAATTTATTTTAAAACCATTTTTAATTTTTACCTCTACTACATCAATTGTATATTATCTAATTTTTAATTTCCAATTAATAATAATAATTAATAACTCTTCCCCACTCCTCTGGTCTAAACTTTAAACAGTTATAACTTATAATGATTACGATAATGATTAATATAAGTTTTACCATTTCTGTAACTATTTGTACTGCTGAACGATCTTTCAACACGATACGAAGAGTAAAAACAGCTGTGCTCAACTATGACCGATACGAGCTCGATGCTTGATTCATGATGAATTTCCAAAAAAATAGGATAAAGAAGTTATTTAGTGGCAGTTTTACGGTACAATTTTTGAAAAAAAATTATAATCTCATTTATTTTATTTTTAAACATTTTTTTTAAATGTAAAAAATTCTCCGAAATCATTCTGCATATAGTATATTATTAACAGTTGACCCCCTCATAAAAAACTTTCTGCGGGCGCCTGATTAGAACCAGTAAATGTTAGCCCCCTTTTTAATAACGAATGTACACATACTTAGTTGAGTATTGTTCAAAACCAACTCTCAGTAGTTACACCTAAATAAATTATAACATAGACTTCAGAAATTGAATAGCAATAGTAGGTAATTTAGATCTTCATAAAATGTAACACAATTATTTGTATACTTTATTACATACTTAAGTCACTTAAGCTACACCTAAGTTAAGTTCAATCAATATTATATTATTTAATGAGTATAGAGTAGGTATACGTATAATAATATATTAAATCACAATTTTTATGTTCTAACAGATCAAATATCATATGCTTTTAATGGTAAGTTATTTTACAATTTCATTTTTATTTTATGCTAAAGGTAGAATATTTTCTCCGATAATTGCATTTGTCTACAGGATTTTATGTCTCTGAACAAACTTCCTGTGTTTCATGGAAATATACTAACATTTAAATATCTCCTGAGATAATAAAAATAATTAGTCTTTTATTTTTATTTTTTTATTACTCACAGAGATAAGGACTAAAAATATTTATGTTTTATTTTATTTTATAATACCATATACGCTTGCAGATTTTTAATTAATATATTCAGAGTATCACCCGGATTTTTTTTCTTATTTCATTTTGGCGCTTATGTCTTCCGCCGTAAAATATAATAAAAAAACTTCTCAAAAACACGATTAAAGATATACTAGTTGCCCAACGGGCTATGTCGTAAGGGATATTACATAGCAATTGAAATTGCTTGAAAATGATGTTTATTTTTTTTATCTGTGATCAACTTTTCTACTAGAAAACTTGCTCCAATTTCCAAATGTAGCACTCTTTCTGAAAGGACTGACTAGGAAGGTATATTTTAGGGAGGTTATTTTTTGATTTACCCAGAAGTTTTCTAAATACATTGGAAAAATACGGGAAAAAACGAGAAAATAAATACAATATTAAGCAATTATTAACGCTATTGTAATTATTTTATTATAATGTGATATATTGTATATTGTTGAAAACGTAACACTTTTAACCGGATTCCACTCAGAATAGTTTTTCGTTAGCAATGGTTAATCGTTGCATACAGATATACATTAAATTTCCCCTCTACCTTCCCCATCGCCACAGCTAAAAACAGTGGCCCACCCACGTATGAAGTATGTCCGTTTTTGTTCTCTGAACTATGAAAAATGATTGAAAATCGCAAATTTGATGAAATAAAAAGTTGAAATGTCAAAATGTTCAGAAGATAAAACTCTATAAAATTACTCTATTAAATTTTTTAACAAAACATAAAAATTGTATTCAAATATGAATGTTTATATTGTTCATCTCCATAAATTATTTAAAAAAATTACCTATTTTAAATCTATACTTCAGAGAAATTTTTTTTTTGTAGATTGTAAAAGTTTCAAAGAATGTGCCATTTTTGCATACAGATATCTAAGTAAGTATTTTAAATATTTAACACGTGACCACGTGACTAAAGATTACTTTTTGGGTCTAACATATTTTTTTAATAATTATCGTTTCAAGGTCCCAACACCACAAAATTTAATTTAAAATTTCCACTTTTAGGCTAGGAATTCTGTAATATAGAAATATATAGTTTTTTTTAGATTACAAACATTACAACAAATTTCAAACTGATTAATTTGAATTACATTGAAATGATTTTATTATAGTAAAAAAAGAGCTGAAGTGTAAGTTAATTTGCGTAATGTTATATGTTAAACAGAATTTAATTATGTCTAATAAATAATGGTGTATAAAACTTGATTGAAATCCAGCTATATTAATAATAATTAAGTAAAAATTATTTATTAATTTGTATATAATTAAATATTAGGAGTGGGGAAAGTGACTTTCCCATTGCCTAGGTTTACTGTTACCTGTAAGGAGCAGAATATGCAATAGCTATCACCTAACCTAAACTAACTTAACCGAACCTCCAATCTTAACTGATTGGAGGGGATTTGGTTTTCCATGTTGGGGGTTTTTCAACGGGCTAACAACCCACCACAGTAAAAACTCAAACGTTAAGACCACAAATATTCTGCCTCAGAATAATCGATCACAAGATTCAAGACTGGAAATTTGAAAATTAGCTTTACGTTTTGGCATCTAGCCATGTATGTTGGCCTTTTTATTTTAACTAGACATTGTCGATTCACTAAATTTTGTGTCATTTTCGTTCTATCGACGTAAAATATCATCTTTATTCCTCAAAACTTCAGCAACTTGCGTTTCAGCGATGTCAATATCAGCAAGTTTACAAATAGACAAACAAAGGTTGACAAACAATTATTAAAATGTTACCCCTAATAAGGGATGACTGGGTATCACAACATACTAATAATGGTGGAGTAATATCAGAATCTTATAATTTTAAATAATAGATACATTATTATTATACGACTAAAACGTCACTATGCGCTTTTTGAAATCATTAATACTCAATCTTTTCGTCAAAGAAAATTTCAATGAACATTTTTCAACTTCACACAATATGTAATGTGACGTTGAAAAATTTAAGTGTATTGTGCACCTAATTATTCTGAATAATATTATTTATAAATTAAAATATATCTTTTTGCAATAAAACATTGTTATTTTTAACTTTTATAAACGGCAATTGCATTGAAAATTAAAATCGTCATTTTAATTTTTAGTCTTTGCACTACAATACATGAAGTATCTTTATGAAAACATTGAAATCGGTAAGTATTTACATTATTTAACACAAATTAAAATTATACCTTTAATATAATATACAATAATACCTACTTGAATAATCTCTCTTTTTAATTATTAAGGAAAATATTCGATAAAATATGACTTAAACGACCTAACAAAAAAGGGAAAAATATCAACAATTGAAGAATCTATTGTGATGACTCCAAAATCTTTTTGTATTGTCATAGCAGGTTTGTTAAAGTTAAATTAAGTTTATTGAAAGTTATCAAATTTATAATAAATCGAAAAATAATTAAATTAAAAATAATTTTTATTTTACATTCTGAGTGTAATGACAAAGTAGTTATTTTTTTAAGATGTTTTTTTTTCCGAACACATTTTCTTACTCAATAAAAATACCTTTCGTAAATTAAAACATGTGAATTTGTTGGCCAGTAAAACTGAATATCAAAAAATTATTTTGGATTTCCAATAGTATCTCCAAAAATATAACAATTTCAAAAAGAAACGATGCACATATTTTGTTTTCGTTTATTTCTGTGTTCCATTAGTTCAATAAAAGGAAAAACAAAACTATGACTATAACCGTATAACTGGTATTTTACCAGTTTACCAAATTCCGTTCAGAATTGATGTGTATTTTTTAATTATGATTTGTTGTTGCTTTCAGTGTGTAAACTGAATAAACCTAAATTTCTTACCTATATATAAATTAATTCCTACTTATATAAAATTGCTTCGATCAATTATCTATAGAAACATTATTCTTTCATTTATATAATAGATTCTGTATATTTCTATAGATGAATTATGGTCAACCATAGTGATTGACATCGTTCAATGGTCAACACGTGCTAAAGGTAAAATTTTTAATTAGGTTTTTGACAGAATGATTTTATAAGTCTATTAATCGTCATCACTATTATTTAAATACTCGGAAATTAACCTAATTTAACTGTTAAACATATATATTTATGTAGGTACATTGGATATAATCTTTTACGTGTTACTTTAGGGAATTCCTATAGATGTTCCTCCCGGAACAAACTTAGCTTAAATTCGGGAAATAGAGTTGTTTTATATGCAAACAGAAGTGATGAATAGATTAAATTAAATTATATCGTTTCGGGAAGGTATTTTATTTATCTTAAAACACCTCTAATGACTCCCCCCCCCTCCCCCAATGAAGCCAAGGTTATGCGTTGTATCAGGAATTTGTTTTATATTTTGGGAAATTCAAAACTCAACTCCCATGGTCTCTCCCCTACTATTTGTTTACTAAAAAAAATCACAATTTCCTTGAAAGTATTATAGTTCTAGTATAGTTTAATATAGTATTGTATTAAGTATTATAGCATTTGGTTATTTATAGCTTATCAAAGTGGTGCCGATGATTGACAATCATATTTTTTTTTAACAGTTCTGATATAATCATGAACCAAGATTATAATTATGAACTAGATACGATACAAGATGGTTGGGTAGTTTTAAAATCGTCAAATCGTCTTAGTTCATGATTGTAATATACAATTTAACGGAGTACATGTTCGGTGGAGTCCATTATTCATTGAAATAAACTCTAATAATATTAACAATTATTATTATTAATTAATTTATTTATTTATTAATTATTTAATATTGTATCCTACGAGCCAAGGTACTTGTATGTCTATTCCACTAATGCGTATTTAGCATATTATACGTATTCAGCATTTCAGCATCGTGCCGTGAGGTGCCGATTAAATAAATTTTTTTGATCAACATCGTACCCTTCTGTTTTAGGTCGATTCACTTTCCAGCCAAATCGAAATTTCAATAGTTACTTTATGTCATATACTAGTTTTGTTGAAAATTATTAAAAATATAAGTTGTTTAAAAATTATATAATAATAATATATTTTAAACAATATATATTAGTTTTGTGAATAATTATTTAACTAGTAGCTGATCAGGACGATCAGCAAAAACATTAAAAAAATATTATTATATTTTAGAAAAATCAATCTAAAGTGTGGTGCAACTGTTTTCATGACTACAAAACCGAAGCAATTTAGTCAATCATTATTAAGCTGATATACATTTGAATGAAAATTAAACTTTTTTAATTTCTTTAATTTAACTTTTTAACTTCTTTAATTTTGATTGAAAAGTCGATCGACCGAAGAAGGAGGTATACGAAGGGGATTATTAATTCCGCCGCCTACACATTTTTACCTGCAGTTATCTTTTTTCCTTCTTAACCTTATTAAAATTACAATAACGTATTTTTGACTAAATTATGTAACTAATAATTATTATTCTAGTATAGGAACATTAATAAAAAAATGTATGATATAAAAGCTATTCAGTTAATAAATATTTAAAATTATGTGTTATATTTTTTATTTTTTATGTTTTTTTTGTGGGGTTTGGATGTCAACTTTTTAAATTCAAATGAGAACCTGTTTCCAAAATTCCATAAATAAATGGAGTGTTACAGTAAATACATTTTGGTGTTAATATTTTTGATTACTATCAACGCTTTGAAGAAGCGTTTCACTCTTTACTTTTGATAGGGAGAGAGTTGGATAGTTGGAACAATATGCACTTCTGTGATATCACGGCAGGTTTATGTGATAAACACCACATAATTATTATAAAAAATGTTCATCATATTGCGCACTATTTAATTTATTACCTGATAATCTGATCCATCAAGAATCAATCTGACTAGTATTTTGATGAGGAACATTGAAATTTATTGGATTGTTTATCTGATTGATAATTTGGTATTTGGTAACTGATATTGGGATTGCCAAGAAACACACATTATTTGTAAATTATAGGTATTTGTAATATAATTTGGTAAGTTAATATTTTCCTCGTAAATTTGAAATATCAGTTAAATTATCTGTTATATTATACGTATACTTGAGTAATAATTTCCAAAAATATTACTTAAAAATTAAGTTAAATATAAGTGTATTTTTTTATAAATTAAAATAAACCTAACCTACGTTAAGTACTATAAATTATAATAGGTATCCAAAAGTCGATGGTAAAGTGGCGAATTCAAAAATGCCCTCAGTTCTTTTGTTGCTTGTCTACTTTTGCCCATTATTAATAATATGCAATAAAATTTATCGGCCTAATCAAATAATAGTAATTAAAAATCAAATAAGACAAAAACTTAAATTATTTGTAAATTATCAACTAACTTTCAAACAGATCAAATATTAAAAAATATTTTCAAAACAATAAATTATAAATACATTAATAATATTAGATTTATATTAACATTTTGTTCAGTTGTTAAGAAAATAATTAATAACAAATCTATGAAGGTATATTCATACATAACACAATAAATGATACACAGAATATTTCACAAATGAGTGATATTATCTCCGGAGATAATACAAATAATCAAATTATAGTTTTTTTTTACATATTATGATTACATTGTGATTAGGACTACAAATATTTATACTGCAATTCATTTTTATACTTTGGTAAACAATTTAAAAAATAACTTTTTATTTCATTGTTATTGAAAAATTTTAAAATGAGCCATTTTATAAACTTTATTCTTCAGAAAATATTGATTCATCAATTTTTTATTTTCATAAAATTTGTGATTTTTAATAATTTTTTAAATTTCAGAGAAAAGAAGTGTACTGTAAATAAATCGTAATAATAATAATCAAATAGAGAATGCAATTACAGATTGCTGCATAATTATCAGTATTTTTCTCTGAACTTTAAAAAATTATTCAAAATCACCTTTTAATGAAAATAAAAAGTTTACACATCAACATTTTTTAACAAATAATTTCTATACAATTTTTTTTTTTAAAATTTACAAAAATAATAAAATGAAAAGTTATTTATTTAAGTTTTTAATTGAAGCATAATAAATTGATAGTAATATGAACATGTATAGTCCTTTTTTCTGTGAATAGTAAAAAAAAAGAAAAAAAGAAAATTTGATTATATTTATTGTCTCTGGAAATATTGTAATGGATATATCTTCGTTGGACATTATGTCTACAAAATATTTCTATTTATAATTGAATAATTTAAATTTAATTTCCCGGTATTATAGCTATATTTTATTGCACATGATTTTTTCACAAACATTTTACAATGACATCAAATTATAATATTATGCTAAAAGTCGATCATTGCCATGGATACTTGGCATATTGTGTTCTAACACAGACCGAATGGTAACAAAAATATTAATAATAAGGAGCAAAGGTACGCAACCAATAGTGAAATTTAAGATTCCGTACTATGTCATTGTTACTTATCTTGATTTTTCAATATTATCATTATTTTATAATACTTGCTTATGTATAAAAAACGATTTAAGATATCATTATTCGTGGTTTAAAACGATAGTTTTTCTTACCGTTTTGGATAGAAATACACGATTACATCAATTGAGGATTACGCTTTAGTGGAATTGACGCTCAGATAAACAATACTTACCTAAATATACTTATTTGTTAAAATTTTGAAAACATAAATAATAGGTATTGATAATGTTTATGTTGTGTTTTAAACCTAGCATGTTTCGGTAAGTATCCAATTTATTACACAAATTTGTTATTTATTTAAAATAAACTCGTAATATTCTATTAGAAACTTAGGTGCGATTGAGATATCTTAAAATAAAAATGTTAGCTAATAATATTGTGATCATAAATATCTGAATTTATTTAAATAGTCAATAGAATAATAAAATAATATTAATTTTAATTTTGTAATTGATTTATTTCTGAAACTATTATCAACAGACGATATGGTGGAATCCGGTATTGACTTAGGTACGTGAGTAATTTATCGTAATAAAGAAATAACGTAATTATGTATATTTGTTTCTTTAATATTTATATTTACTTTTTTTTTTTTACTTACAGACCAAATTCATGATATTTATAGAAGCATTGAATCCGGTAAACAATTTAAACTAAAACTAAAACCAAGACTATAGTAATATGTCCTATGTAAATCCGATGTCAGCTCAAATTCGCATCGCATATTACATCGTACGTTTCTCGTCGTTATATTATCATTTATTTTTCTTATCTTCCTATAGTATTCTTTCTCGAAGTGTTTATGATATGTGCTGAACTGCCTTGCGCTAAAATATTGTTGGATTATCGTACTCTTAAGTTATTAATAATTTTCGCGGATTCCTACGTGTTCTTCTGATTTCAATGATTCTAGGAATTTTTTAAAAATGTTAGGTTTTTCCTTGAACTTTATTGTCTGAATCATTATTATTTATAATTATTTGTTTTCAACTATTATTGTTATAATTGTATACTAGTAGGTACATTGTATTTAACTACACATTATAATTAACTGAATTCTTATACGATTTATATAATTTGCGAGATTGAAAGCTTAAAAGCTGTATTAATGTCGTTCAATATAACATATGATTATATTCGTTATTATTAATTTTATTAATAGTTTCAGTTACGCAATCGTTATATTATCTCTTCTTCAATTTTTTTTAAATTTTAACCTTAATCGAACTATACCCGTATCTACTCTCTCAGTTCAACTACCGGGTAACATACAAAACCAATGTTTATTAGCAGAATAAGTAAAATTAGCTTAATTTTGATTATAGAGCAAAAGTACCTATTATGACATTAATGGAGAGCAACATTTCGAAAAGAATATACATAGGGTTTTTGTATTATTCAAAATATACAGCTCGATATAAAAGTTAAAAAAACATTTTTAATTTTTGTTTTTTAAATAACTGTAATTTTTTTTAATAATTTATAATGCAAAATAAACCTATAACATATTCCCCCCAAATATTGTTCTCTATAAATTTCTGAATAGGTACTTTTACTCTGAAATCAAAATTAAGCTAGTTTTACTTGTTCTGCGTAAACATTGTTTTTGCATGTTACCCGGTAGTTGGACTGAGACAGTAGTTGCTGGTATATAATTTCTTAATTCTCTTTTCAAATCATTTATTTATGTTTACAGAATTGCAAAAACTAAAGACAAGTAATTGTAACATATTTGTTATACTTTATAATGATCCGCATTATATATAAAAATCATATATCATCTATTGTTTTAGGCTTTGTATGGCGATAGTGTAAAAATATTTACTTTGTTCTGAGGAGGGTGTGATTTAATTTGCCGAGCACCCCCTCTTCCGAAATCATATTATTTGTATAGCACTCATTATCATCATGCCTCTTATGATTGCAATAAATGCATTTCTAGTGTTATTTTATAAGTTATGTGTATAGTTAAGACGTGTATTATTATATAAGTTAAGCGGAGATCATGTTGTGGAGTTCACAATTGATAATTCGTCTTCTTCTTCTTTTTCGTCTGCATTCCGCTATTTTGAGACGGCCACCCTCTTTTTAAACTTCTACTCGACCCAACTTCTCACTTCGCATACACTGGTTATCCCTTAAGTGTCCTTATGTCATTTTCATTGTCATTTCATTCGTCCGCCTAAATATTATCATTTGAAAATCACTCATCGGTTGATAAAGCTAATTGAGATAAGCATTATGGAGATATTTATCAAAGTCTAAGTTGGAAACAGTCAAACAGAGCCAATATCAGTAATGTCAGGTTTGAGACATGGTGGTATATTATCACGGTTTTTTTTTTTTAATATAGTGTTAGAAAAAGTCATTAGAACAATGAACGTTAAATCTGACGAAGGAGTGAAACTGCAGGATTCTACACTAGGTCTATTAGCGTACATGAACAATTTAGTACTAATGGAAGAATCATCGAATGCACTGAAATCACAATTCAGTCGTCTACAAAGTGTGACATCGAAATTGGGCCTATAGATAAACGAAATCAAAACGGAGTGCATGGTCGTTGGCAGGCGGGAAATTGCAGGTGTATACCCATTATTGAATGTAAGAAACTGTGTTTTTAGTAGAACCAAGGAGTTCAAATATTTAGGGTCAGTTATAACTGAAAATGATGAGATAGTCAAGAAAATGTCAGCAAGGATACTTGCCGGCAATAGAGCTTTCTATGACCTGGTAAAACTGCTGGGATCTAGATTTATATCTATAGACCTTAGATCCACTTATATATGACATTACTGCATACAGTTATAACTTATGGAATGGAAATATGGCCACTACGAAAAGAAAATGAAAGCTGATAGTCTGGGAGAGAAAAGTTTTAAGGAGGATTTATGGACTAATGAAGGATAGAAATAGCAATGAGTAGAGGATAAGAACACATAATGAGCTAAAATTACTTTTCAAAAAGTCGAATATATTAGAAACAATAAGGAATAAAAGACTTAAGTTGGCTGGACATGCTTGGCGTAGTCAGAATCCTTCACTGCGTATAATATTAGAAAAAAGTCTATCAGGGAAAAAGTCACTGAGAAGACCTTGTATGAGATAGGAAGATCTGGTTAGAAAAGATGTAAGTGCCTTAGGTGGAGGATCAGATTGGAGGGAACGAAAATCCGACAGAGATGGCTTGTGGGAAGGGTGTTTGACGAGATGGTTCTAACGGCCGTTTACCCGAAGAAGAAGAAGAGATTCACTTATTCTTAATTTTTTTTTTTTGCTGTATACTACCCAGTACTCTAAATCAGGGGGCACCAATTAATATTTTTAAAGGGCCACATTAAGAATCTGGTAATTTTTCGAGAGCCATAAAAATTCTAAGTATATATATTTTATATCATAGGGCATATGTATTATTATAAAATTGAAAGTTGTGAGAATATAATTTTGTTATTATTTATTTATTATTTGTTAATGTTTAGAAACATTAAGAACACAATTAATATTACAAAATATTTGAAATAATTAAAAAAAAAAAAATGAATTAAACCTTTATAAAAAAAAAAAAAATAAATGAAAATTTTTGTTTTGTAAATGATAAATCTTGTAGCCATTTGGTAACCCCGGCTCTAAACTACAGAACATAGTCGGCTTCATCATGCTGTTATGGAAATAAGAATAAAATAAGAAGAAATAAATAAAATATCTGGAAATTCTCTTCACTTTATTCATTCACATATAATACAATATTTTAAATCATATTCTTTATTTTTTTCGCATACATCCTAGATTGGACAATTCGCCCAAGCCCTGTTTAACACTCCACAAACAATTTGACAAAATTTTTAGACCGGCTATTGACCTAAAAAAACCTCATTTGTCGCCTCTTACAATAGATAGAAATGGGAGTATACGTGAGAGTATTCTAATCTCCTCCTACAGAGAGAATGGTATTTTAAACCTTATGATGAATATACCATCATTTTCATGGTGGATGAATTAATACAGAAACAATAAAATAATAATATCAAATACCTAAATTTAGGAATTATATTCTAAACTATATTATTAACCAGTTATTTATTTCAACAAAATAAAATATTTTGAATTCTTTAAACTTTAGCTAAAGAAGATGGTAAGTTATGATTACTAATATATTTTATTTTAACAACAACAATAAAATAAAATAAGATAGGGTGTCGAAGAGACAATCCCCCTTGGCACCCTTAACAATAAAAATATTTTGTACGCCTATCGAAGGCCAACTACTGAGGACGGTCGGTCTAGTGACCCATTTTCTACCCGCTGGGATGGAACTATCCCTTGCCGGCATTGTTTCTTGTGTTCCACTTCTTTCTTAGCGGCCGTCAAGTCCTCCGTAATGTAAACCACCGTCCTCCTTTTTCCCAGGTGTTTCACCATTAAGGGAATCAGTTCTCCCGGATTAAGGGGTCCAATCACTTAGACTAGCCGTTCCCGGTTACTCTCAAACGCATCACAGCGTAAGAGAAAGTGGGAGGCATCTTCCGCTTCTTTCACGTAACCGTCGAGTGGCCCGCAATAGGAAAACTCGGCCTACGTGACACAACAGATTCTGTGGAAAAACTGATTGAAGCAATTGTGGCCCATCACTAGTTGCGTGAGATGAAATTTAATTTCCCTGTGTGACCTGTTGACTCAACGGCTCAATAGCTCTGAAGGAATTAGAGTTCAGATCCACTTGCGTCCGCTGACCCTGAAGCCTTTCAGTCCCACTTCGCCACCGTTGAAGCTCTCAGTCTCTGAGGTCCAAACTGCAGTGCTACTGTTGGTAAAGCTCCCGGTAGGAATGTATTTATGAAATTAATGATTATATGGATTTCCTAAATAACGTTTCTCCATTAATAACTGAAGATTTCAACTTCCAAAATAAAAATATTTTTTTAAACTAAATTTATCTACCGTTGATTTAACTACCAGAAAATAGAAACCTCTCTATAGTTATAAGAATCTACCAATCTCTATAACTGAAGTAGAAATATACGAGGAACTATCTGTACTAAAATTCAAAGTCATTTTAGTAACCCACCTACAAAACCGTTATAAATTACCAATTCCAATAGTCGTTGTTATTCTTGATAATTCGACGAAAAATATTTTCTCACTAGATCGTCGTCTTCAGTGTATAAGAACGGTAGAAAATTATAAACCCGATAACAATATATACCTAATGTCAAAATTTCCAATAATTCAATCATAAAATATGTCTGTAAATTACCCTTTAGATACATGAAATGCCCTGAAAAATACCACTACTCCGCTTGTACTAAAGATAAAAATAGTGAAAATCACCCGGCAAACTATAAAGGTTGCAACATTTATAAACAAATAACAAATTAAAAACCACAGTAAAGTCAAGACTCTCCAAAATCCGCCTAAACATTTATTAGATATTCCCAATTCTCATGTACATTACACGTCTCAACTCAATATTAGTTCTCAAACAATAAACTCACAAAACGATTCTTAAGCCAGTAAAGTTAAAACAATATTAATAAAAATGAAATCCCGACAGATAACCTAATATATGACCCAAATATTGCTAACGAACTCACAAAATCGTTAATGCTCTTTTTCATATATCTTATCTCAGAAATAATCAAATTTGTGATCACTTATCTTCCCGATTTATTAAATAACCTAAATTTCAATTAACTTAAATATTTCTAGTAACCTATTCATCATTAATTGGAATGCAAATGATATTAAGCGTAATCGAAATACATTCGCTGCATTCTTGTCTCATCAAAATGTCGATATATTCTATACACGTGAGACTTAATTATGCGCAAGTAACCTAATTAAATTTAATGGTTATTTAATTTATCGTAATGATCTGCCAGTTGTTCACATAAGACTTATTAGTCATTTAAACGCAATAGACGCAATTCCTCACTGTTAATTTGGTTTGAAATCAAACCACTTGACAACACAACAACTTCTACGAATAACAAAGCACATAAGAAATGGTTTCGAAAAAAGAGAACACACCAAAGCGACCTTCCTAGACATTGCTAAAGCGTACAACAAGATCTGGCATGACGGACCACTTTACAAAATAAAATGTCTTAACACACCTACTATTATTTTTAACATCATTAAATCTTTTCTCTCGCAGTTTCACCGTTAAAATAGATTGTACTAACTCGAATATCAAACAAACTAATCCAGGTGTACCACAAAGTTTAAAAATATCTCCTATACTTTTCAACTTATACATATCCGATTTCCCTACAAAAATGAACACGGAAATATCTATGCATGTAGACAATAGTGTCATATATTCTAGTTCAGATAAAATTGAAAACGTAACAAAAAACATACAAACTCATCTCAAAAATGGATGCGAAAATGGAAAATTATCCTCATTCTAGCCAAAAGCACAGCAGTTATTTTTACTCTTTGTAGACCCATTGATTATAATACTCTAAAGATCAACGGACAAAATATAGCATGGTATCATAATATAAAATATCTTGGAGTTATATTAGATAAAAAACTTACGGAAATCCTCATATCTTCTCAATTACAGCAAGGATACCAACGTTTAAAAATTCTATATTCACTAATTAATCGTCAAACCTCACTGAGATGGAAGTGTTCATTACTGTTGTTTAAATAAATTATTCGTCTCTACTACTGTAAGCTGTCCCGGTTTGGGGGTCAATGTGCTATAACTTAAATAAATAGAATTAAAGTCCTACAATCCAAAGTCCTTTGCGTTATTTTAAATGCTCCGTAATTTATTCGAAATGAAGCGCTGCACACTGACTTCAAATTACCAGCAATAAAGAATTGCATCAGGGACAGGTCGTACCTATTGGAGGCCTGAATTCAATACCTACAAATGATTAAAATTTTCTGCAAGTGTATAAATATATTGTAAACATTCAGCATTAATAAAATGCTAAAACTTTTATGGTATTAGTACCAATGATATTTTTATTGAGTTAATTTTGTTTTTCATTATTATATATTGTTGCATGAAGTAAAGAGAAGTTGCTCTTGATTTTACTAATAACTGTTATTATAAATATATTTTCCAGAACGTTTTAAAGAGGAAAAATATAAGTTTCTTCGTGAAGGTATGTAAATAAATATTAAATTATTCATAACTAGAGACATAATATACGCAATTTATTTAATGTGTATTTGTTAGGGCTTTTATTATTAACAATGTCAGTAGTGTTCTATGTAACACAATTTTCAAATTACTTATTCAAATAAAGAAGAGAACTATTAAAAAACCAACTACAAATAAATTTTTTTTTTAAAAAAAAAAAAACGATTAAATGATGTAAATATAGATATTAATAACCATCTTCCAATTAAGACAAAAAATTATTTTTTGAATTTTTTATCAGAAAACTAATTTATACAACTTAAAATAGAGATTACAAAGTAGTCCTCACTTCATCAAAATGTACACTATTGCATCTAAATCTATTCAAGGAGTAGCCTTTATAGTTATCTAAAACAAATTCTTTATAAGCTCCCTCCAGAAACTAAAATATTTTCAGCTGAATTCTAATCTATCTATGAAGCAATCATAATAGTCAACATTATCTCTTCTAATCATACATGAATTTTAAGTGATACTTCAGTGCTCAACTAACTTTACAAAATCCCCTACCTTAAAATGGAACTACCTAAAACTACTAAAAGTTATAAAAATTAACCCCAAAAACATTTAATTTATGTGAATATAGCATTACTACATCACATGTAGGTATAATAACTGTCAACGAAATTGTTGATAAGGCAACTGAATTCGCAAACTGAATAATCCTCTAATAATGACTAATAACTGACCTACCGACGAAAGATATAAAAAAAAAACTGTCAAACTAAAAATAATCCTTATGTATTAAAATTATTGAGACTCTATCCCAGCCCAGCGGTGTATTCAGTCCATCTTCCAGGGAGGGGGGGCGAAATTAGAATTTTAATTATACATATAAATTATTAGTTATAAAAGTATATGTCTATAAATGGCAGTGTTACATATTATAAATAGATTTATAGTTATTGAAAAAAAGGCTTGGAAAAAAGCCTATAGTTATTAATATAATGCATTTCAAAAAATAAAAAAATAAAAAAATAATTAGGTACCTATTCAAAAACATGATATACGTATATTGTTGCTTATTGCCTAACACGGTCCACGGTTGCAGAGTGCAGACAATAATTGCATAGATAAACACAATATGATTATTATAACCAACAGTAGGTATATGTTAATAATAGATACAATAACTCTAATCTATATCCATCTTTTAAGAAGTTTTTGATAACCATTTCCACACAAAAAAATCAAATTTTTTTTAGATTTTTGATTTATTTTATAATTCCAGCGACAGACGAGGTTATCATGTTATAAACAATGTCATTTCGACGTTAGAATTTTGGTAGTAAAAATGATTTACTAAAAGTAGGTAAGGCTATTCCGATTTTGTCAGTTTTTTCTTCTGACAAAAAACTTAGTAAGGTATTCTAGAGATTATTTAATCTAAATTTATAACAACAACACTCTTGGTTATGTGAAAGTCATTATATACAAAAATTGTTTTGTTGGCCGTTTGGTATACTATACGAAACATATATATTATTATTATAATTATAATTATTTTTGTTTTTAAATTCCATTATTGTTAAGTTTAAATTTGTTATGAACGGGAAGTGATAAATATTTGCCCTATTAAAAAAACACAACCAAAACCGTCACTTCAACAAAACAACAGGAAGTTATCATTACAAGATTTACAATCGGACACTCCTTCACAATTCACTCTTTTTTCATCAGAAAAAAATTCTCCACGGCTTCAACCACATACTATTAATGCCGAGCTGACCATCCATTATATTTTTCAAAATTGTGTGAAATATCAGGAAATACGGATCTCTATACCACTGAACATGAATGTAGCCCTCAACAAAAATAACACCACCAAAATCATGACATTCTTAACAAAAACTAAACTTATAAACACTATAACAAGTATATTAAACACTTTCTAAAAACTATAAAAATCGAATACTCAAGTTACCTAAGTAACATAAATTTGTACTTAGGCTAATAATCTGTGAAGTTGAAGCATTGTTTATAGGTAATAAAAAAGGAAGGATAAAATATTTACTTATATCTAGATTAAACAACTACGAATGTCATTATGCCAGTATACTATAATAAACCCAAACTATTACAGAAGTAAACAAATTTATATTATTCACTGATAATAATAGTATTATAATGGATTAATGGTATTATTAATTTACTTATAGTTTTAGATACATAAATATTAATCTACTTCAAATTTATTTTTTCGTGTTCGTTGATTCTTAATCTTCATTCTTCTTAATTTATTTATTTCAATTATGTTTATAGGACAGGAATCAATTGAAGGTAATATTATATTATTTACTAAGCTTTATAGCACTCGCGTTGTGTATAATCTATTAGTATTCTTGTTCTCCGTTTTTCTTTTATTTCTCTGTTTTCTCGCATTTAATGTAGTGTATCTGTTGTGCTTATTTGGGTTGTTCCGTTTGACCGTTGTTTTTTCTATAGTGTGAGTATAGGCGTTCTCACGAGAGGATATGGGGGATGGATCCCCTCATGGTTTTTTTTTTTTAGGTTATATGGAGTTTCCTGTTTAACTAACATTTAGTGATAATAATCAAATAAATAAATATAATTAATAAACATTTTTTTCACTAGTTATCATTTTCCACAATATTCGTATACTGATTACAGACCACGCACGATTAAAGACCGTGTGTGTACTTCATGTGTCTGTGATTACAGATTAATATCTTTATTGCGGTTCTAGATTTTAATCGGCTAAGTTCATATATTATTGATATAAACAATATATGGATTTCATGATACTACCACCGAATGAAAGTGTTAGGTAACACTAGTACAGTAACGACCACGGTGGAGATAGGATAGACAGCACGTTTGTTTGTTTTCTTCATTATCGCTTAAATTCATTATTTCTATATAATATACTTCTTATATAATAGCATCAACTTATCAGTAATGTCAAAGTCTTATCTTTAGCTAGCTATTCTTGTTGCCGATATGTTTCCGAATTATTCTGATTTAAATACTAGGGATAACAGTTTTTACAGGGACAGGGATTTAATATTAACTATGTATCGATAATTTCCTGTTTTGAATCGTGAAGTTATTATTGTTTGGTTTATAAAGTAGAATAACTCGGAAATCATTCGTTTAAATTTCGATTAAAACGAATCACCTGATTGATAAGTTGCATTACAACATATAGTTTCTCATTAGAAAAACCAAACTGGGTATTGTCATAGGATACTCATTAAGTGCTATGAAAAATCTAAGTTTTTGAAAATAAAATCTTTCAATATACTTACAAATTCCAAATATCACACTTTGAATTTATGTATAATTTAACCATAAAAACGGTATGAATACCGATTATGCTTGAAAAATCACTGTATAATAGTATAAATATTTAAAAAAATAACTTAATGGAAGGGTTACGTCCCACTCACCACAGTCATTAAATGAAACGAGATAATTCAACTAATATTCAAGTGTATTCAATTTTTTTCCAAAAAATAAAGTTTTTGCCTGCTATATGTATACTGATATATAGACAGTATAAAAGTTGATGGTATAGGTGATGTAGACAAAAGCAAATTGCCTGAATAGCCTAATGAAAATAGTTGTAGCGGTAGATAGAAAAGCCCCAATTACAACACAATATTTTTGAAGCCACCTACATACTAAGCGTTATCAACAGACTACAATCATAGCCTTCTAAAGTATACGCTTTTACTATATACCAATAACTAAAGGTTTAGTAACATGTCTACACCAACTTCACTACGAGTAAGTGAGTGGGTACTAACCTCAATTTGTACTTGGTATTTAGGGAATTTGATTCAATCTGTATTTTATTTAACTAATTATTAGTCCTTACTATCTCGTTTTTATCTCGTTGTTTACTTCAGTTGATGCATTAAAGAGATCATTTATTTCAATGGGTTTTCAAAATAATTTGGGAAAACCTGAAAGAAAATTATGCGTAAAACGACAAATATTTAAAATAAGATTTCATTGTTTTTAACTGTTTCAGACTATGTTTTCTACAAAAAATATTACTTTAATTTAAAACTGTCAAGAGACCATTTTTGTTGAATTATAGATCTAGATGGCTTAGAAAAAAGTAGTTTTCTGAATTTTGTCAATGGTTTTTTTAATAATTTAGCAAAATGGAACAAAAACGTAGAAAGAATATGAAAATTTACAAAATTAATTATTTTATTATTTTGAATTTAGTTTTTTTATTGTAACTTAGTTCAAAATATATGAAAACTTGAAATTTCGAAAAAATATTAAACTTAGTTTTTTTAAATATAGTAAAAGTTTAAAAATATTTAAACCATTGTTTAGACACATTTATTTTAAGAGTTTTTCTACGTAATATAATATAATACGTAAAAAGTATATTATATTTGTGTTACGGACTCTGTCCTTCACTTGTAAAGTTTTTTAATTGTAAATTAAGAATTCCACACGACAAGATATGAAATCGGTCGTCACATTAAGTATACGCACGTTAGGGCCATTAATACGGGTGTGGTAAACCGACGACGTTCCTGCAACAACGGATGATACGTGTTTATGGGCTAAAGGAAAAACGTGTCCGGGTACGGAAAACGTGCACCAGTAAACAACGGCTGCAGCGTTTACCATCATCTAAGCCCCGATTGAGGTGACAACCATATATATGGAGACCGGGATCATCACCACGGGCAAAACCTGAACTCAGTCAGAAGTCGAGACAGCTACACCACCATCGACGCACGAGAAGGGCCAGCACCGTCACCTCGATACAAACCCGTACAGACATTCCTTTAGTGTAGTTATATCTGATAATTACAACTAAGTCTTAACCCATGTCTGATGTCACAGGTTCTCCACTTACAAATACAACTTGTTAACTGTGATTTGTTCAAATTCTAATAAAAAATCATTTGTTGACCTAAAACACGTGTATATTTCCCTATCAAAAGGCTGTATCTGAACAGCCCATAACATTTGGTAAATTTTTGTGTTTAGTATTCAATGCATAGTCTACAATAAATGTTCTCTCTATGATTCTCTATCTTTTACAATGTATTTGAGCTGTTTATATAAATCAACTTCTGCATCGTTTATTATTTGACTTATATTGGCCTTTCCTTGTCACGCTGCTCTTCTATCATACCTTCCAATATGATATTTAGAGTTCTTCGTTATATCTCACTTATCAAATGCCAAGAACTTGAATTTTTGATCTTCAATTGTTTAATAAAGATCTCTTCTCCTTCACTATATCTAACACTTCTTTGTTTGTCTTCATTTCCGTACATTTTTTTTTTTTTTTTTTCATAAGTCAAATAACTATTAAAATGGAGTAGGTGTTATGCCAGTGGTGTCATAAAAGGACTTGACAAATCAATATTTTTATTTGACCTAAAATTTTTCTATGCAAGAAAAGTTGATAATAATAATTATTATGTAACTATTTTTCAGAGTCGAATAAAGGATATTTTGAACGAGTTTTCTTTCATATTTGTAAGTATATTTAAATTTAAATATTTATCATTTTTCGTACACGTGACCTTTGACATTACTTTTAAATGTGTTGATAAAGAAATTTATCATCGGGAATTTCAGTAGTGTATACATTTTAATTTGTCTAGATAATGATAAAATTAATTTGCAAAAATTATTTTGGAGTAATCCAGATTTACCTACATTTATATGATAATTACATGCAAATATTAGTATATTTAAATCTATTAATTATAAATCAATTTGTTTGTCAAAAACAATACTTTTTAAAAATATTTAAAATAGGTATTCGAATGCATAACTTCAACAACGCTAATTTGTTTGCTTGATTTTACTTAAGAGGACGTGATACCCAAATTTGTTCGCGTGCAACTCATGAGAGATAACGTTGCGCGCACCATATTTCCACTGTTGCGAAATAATTATTAGTCAAGGTTTTTTCCATTTTCCAGTAACTTATCTCAATAATTTTATATTCATAAATAAAAAACTTGATTTATTCACAAATTTTAAAAAGTAATATTTTTAAGCCTTTCTATATCAGCTAAAAAATAAAAACGCTACATTACAGCTAAAGTTCTACTTATTGAAAAAAAAAAATATTGTTGATCTATCATAATTATTAACAAAATAATTCTGTTAGTCGACAAACATGTTATTACACTCAAATTACGGGTGTATCAAGTCGCTAAAAATACTATCGCAATAATTGTTTACGATTTATTTTCAAATATTAGACAATAAATGTTTGTATGAATGTATATAAACATTTATTGTTGAATATTGAGCGAGTAGTGTTATATTATAATTTTTTTATCGATTGAAATAAAGAAACATTCAAATATTTAGATCTTAACTTTCAAACGTCTATAAACAATCAATAGGTATTTAATATTTACCGATTAGTTTTGAACATACATTTGAAGAGCAATTATAGAAAAATAACAACAATTTTTTGCTTAAAAAATTATATAACTGTAAACAATCATTGTTTATTGAATATTTCAGTGATTATGAATCACAATTCAATGCATCTATTGTAAAAATTGAAAAAATTGTTTACGCGTATTAATCGAATCGAAATATAACTTTCCAGAAAACTTTGTAAAATTTAAATGTTATTCGTCAAATATTTATTAGTTATATTTAAAAACTGCAAAATATTCTATACAATTTTATTTTCGCTTGCAAACATTAGTCTAATGTTTGACAAATATCATTTGAACCAGATTCTGTTATTCGATAAACAAGTAAATACAATCTTTGGCCAATTATCAGTCAAAAGATAAAAAATATTTTTAAATAAATTAAAATTTTGTGTAAAATTGTTTATTGAATAACACGATCTGGTTCAAATTACATTTGTCAACATTTGACTAATATTTGCCATGTGTAAATATAGTTTTATAGAAATATTGTATAATTTTTAAAAATAACTAATAAATATTTGACAAACAACATGCAAATTTTA